AGAAACCACCCCTCGGAGAGCATTGAAATGCCCCGAAAACACCGGGTCAGACATCGGCACAAATGGTCCAGCTGTTATGGCTCTGGCCATCTTAGCTCAGCGGTAGAGCAAGGGGATCGTAGACTCCAAGGTCGCGAATTCAATTCTCGCAGGTGGCTGAACTTTTGGCCTTTTGGCTCAAGCCGAGTCAAGCAAGTCAAGCCATCCCCTCGGACCTCTCAAGCAAGTCAAGCCCACGGTTTTGAGGCCTCAAGTCAAGCCAAGTCCAGGCTCCAGACTTGCTTGACTTGCTTGTGGCCACCTCTGATGTACGGAGGCTGGTCCTGGCCAGATGTGGCCAGCGGTCCCTCCTCACCAAAGACGAGACGAAGTCGATTCGCATCTTTACTACATTACTTGCTCAATATGTAATTCGCATTCGTCCTGATCGCAGGATGCCCCAGATCGGGGTTTGTTCCGATGAAAGTGTTCGGAATGCTTGGGCTCGCCTTATGGATGTATCGCACAAAGCTTCTGATGGGCGATCACTCTTGAGATCGACATAGCTCGCGTCCGCCAGCCGGCGGATTTGTACTCACTCTGTGCATTTGAAAGGCTCCGATGCCTGATTTCGCCGACAAAGACATATATCAACTGATCATGGCTCAGCCTTCAGATTTGGCGACTAAAACGGCGCATTTCCGTATATCTGAAATGTCTTAGCACTATGACGACCACAAGGGCGTCATGCTTTGTGCAGGGGCTAGAAGACTGGATTCATATACTACGATCAGCAGCTAGCAGAGAACCAAAGTTTCCATTTTGGCTTTATTGGGCAATTTGCTATAGAGACCGGCTCTTCTAATCGCAGGACCCTGGTCTCTATAGTGCAAATACTAGCGAAAAATGGGCGCATGGTACATCAACGCTAGATGCTCTATAAATCCCTAACGATATCTATATCTATTCTCACCGTGCCAGCGGTCGTGCTTCAGACAGAAACGCCCCGATCAATCCTGTTTGACGCCAATCTTGCCCACCCGACGCAATCCCAGTGCACCTGAAACAAATACCACAAGCATCATAGCGAACAGAGTCCAGAACACAGCGCGATAGCCATCCATCAAGGCTTTAGGGGATGACTTGTCGACTTCGTCCGACTTGGCCGTGACGGATTCCGTGATAACTTGAGTAATGGTCAATCCAATCGAGGTGCCTAGTTGCGCGCAGGTATTGAAGACTGCGCCGCCCAGGGCCTGGGTGCGGGAGGGGAAGACGGAAGAGATGATGAGCAGACCGACAGTGAAGAGGGTGTTGGTGCAGACTTGCAGGAAGACCTGGGTGGGAGCATGTCAGCAAAGTGTCATACTTTCTCAACGGCATATGATAGGTGATGGGATTCGCTTACTTGTGCAGGAAACGCCATATACCAGTATGGCCATTCAGGTTTGATGACAGCCATGAGAAGAGGCGATAGGGAGGCGATCGCGGCGGTAATTAATACGACCAACATGACCGGCAGTCGATTCACGAAATAGCCAACCGAAATGTTGATGAGCACCGCTGTGACGAGGGCTGGAAGGATACGAATCGATGCTTCCAGTGCTGAGAGACCTTGGACTTGCTGGAAGCTGGGAAATGGTCAATACTGGCTTTTTTCCGGACAGCATGAGGCACAGACTGAGCACTTACAACAGGCTGCAGAACAATTCCATATTATTGCTGACTGCGTTGGAAAGCATGACCATGATGCAAACGCTGGTGAAGCTGGCGTTGCGCCAGAGTGCGTTCGGCATCACTGCTGGACTGCTGTGCTTCACTTGATGGTTCATCCACCAGATGAAAACTGGGATGGTGGCAACACTGATGACCAACAGCGCAATATAGGTAGCATGGCGGATGTTGTTGATATCAGATGAGAGCATTCTGTCAATTGTAAGTCATCGTATCAGTAATACCAAAGACTTTTGAAAACTTACGCCAGAACGTATGACAGAATGGTGATTCCAGCACTGAGGATCCCCGTCCCCACCCAGTCAATGTCCAAAGCTAGTTGTTTGAACACCGTGCGGATGGGCCTGGGCTGAGGATCCTTTGGCAAAGCCCAGAAGCCAAACACACCCAACGCAGCAGTAGTAGCTCCAGCAAGGTAGAATGCTGGACGCCATCCGACACTGTCCACCATGACACCGCCCAGAACGAGACCCATCAAGAACCCGAGCGGACTTGAGAATCCAAGACAAGAAAAGCCCAGGTTCCGCGGCCGTCCATATGCAATGTTGGTCGAGATGATCGAAACCGACGCCGGGACCGCCATGGCGAATGAAACACCCTGCAGGCCACGGAACGCGATGAGTTCGCCTCCAGACCGCGCCGCGCCGCAGGCAAACGCACTCGCAATGAGCAGCATGTTCGCCGCTAGAATCATAGGCCGCGTACCCACAACATCTGCGATCGATCCCGCGAGCATCAAACAGGAACCAGCCGTTAGGTAGAAGACGGAAGTGGGCCAGAGGAGCAGGCCCGAGTCCAACTTGACCTCGTCGATGATCGCGGGCAGGCCGACCACGGCGATGCCGTTGCAGAAGCTGGAAAACAACTGCAGGCCGATCAATTGAGCGACGACGAATATTGCTCGACTTGTCGAAAGGACTGTGATTGCTTCGTTGCTTGGTGATCCATCGGGCTGTCCAGCAGCTGGCACCGCAAGTCGTTCATCGGACGGAGAGGAGACGGGAAGGGGAGAACTGTTGATCGTGACGTGGTCCGATTTTGGCTCAAAGGTCTGCAGCTCAATGGTCGTTGTTATGGTCGTTGCCATTTCAGAAGATCAATGGGAGAGTACCCGGGTACAGAATATGGGCATTGGAGATCATATTAAAACATTGGCAGGCAGTGGAGTCGCACGTCCGAGCTCGGGCTTGTTGGTAAGCACTAGTCGTCTAGTTAGATCCCGGGCGAAGTCGGGATTGAGGGATCAGCGGCACTCTCTGCGATGAAGATTGATTGAATCGAATTCGTGTCACACGATTTCGTGACTCAAGATTGATGAGAATTTGGTGATGTGAGATGTTATAGCGTTGAAAGGTTCGCCAGCGCATCCCGCTAGTTTTCTAGGGGCCTCCGCTTGTGATTTATGGGATAAGGGCACCAGGCGAAAAGTGGAAAGTCCTGGCGTGTGGAGTGGCACAGTCACACGACAGGTGAAACGAGGCATAGGAAGGTGTTATTACTGTATTACGACAAATGGAACGACCCGATACCCAACACATAGGAGAGAAACAAACGAGAAAGCACTCGGTCTTCAATGAACAAATTTCCCATTATCCATTTTCGACCTAAGTAAATTCATACAGTGTGGCGTTGTGGGTGAGCGAATGCTCTGCACTTTCACAAGTCTCTTCCATCATTCCTGATCATATCGGAGCAAAGGATATTCGAGACGGGGTTGCGTTTCATTTATTTGGCCTTGGCGAGACCGACGGCGTTGTTGCCCAGGTCGTAGATGGAGTACCACTTTCGGAGGAAAGCATCGCCGAGGATGGCAAGAGGACCGGCAGGGGCGGGGACATCGAAGCCCATGAAGGCGCTGATGCAGCTGCCCTGGACCTCAAGGATGTAGTCGTGGGCGTCAATGGTGAAGTTGTGGCCGGTCAAGGTGAAGGTGAGGTCGGGGAGGGTGTCGCGGGCCTTGCAGTCGACGGTGTACTGGCCGTTGAAGCCCTTCTTGGCGCCAATCTCCTTGTTGAGGAGCTCAGCGAACGCGCTGGGGAGACCAATGAGGGAAGTGCCGGTGTCGAGGATTACACCGGTGTTCTCGATCTCAGCGGTCTGGTCGCCGAAGGTGATGGCGTCGAGGTCAACCTCCCAGTAAGCCTTGCGGCGGAGAGGGATCTTGGTGATGGGACCGGTGTAGTGGTTCTCGTCGACGCCACCGAAGACAGCCTCGGACTGGGAGCCAGAGTTGGCGGTGTCGCTGAGGTAGAAAGCAAAGACGGGCTCGTCAATCAATCCCTGGTCGACCAGGTTGTAGAATGGAGGAGGGATCTTGTTGACGGAGATGGTGTCGTAACCAAGGCCGAGAATACCGTCGAAGCGGCCAAAGGCGAAAGCGAGACCAGGCTCGTTGGTGGCCTCAGCGAAGAGCTGGTTCTTGATGGTAAGATCACCCAGGGCGACGGTGTCCTGGCTGATGTAACCCTCAAGGCTGCCGGAACCGTACTGGATGGCGAAGTCGGAGCCGTTCTTCTTGTATGTGGTCGACTCGCCGTGGTCGTACTTGGAGTGCAGGTAGCAGGCGATGGATCCACAGTCGCGGCTGGGCACCCACAGGTTGGAGCTACCAGTGTCCATGACAACCTTGAACTCTTGCGGAGGAGTGCCGATCTCGATGGTGGAGAAGTATTGGGCGTTGAGGAAGTTGTCAACAGCGACCGGGTGGCCCTTCTGGGGACGGATGGAAGTCTCCTTGAACATCTCGCCCATGCGGTTCTGGCTCTTGCCGGTATACTTCTGGGTGAGGCGCTCAGCGTGCTGCTCGATGGTCATGCCAGCCTGGATTGATCATTAGCTCAAAGATCGTCTTGTCGGTATTGCGCATTTTAATGCTTACAAGCTGCTCGTCGAGAGAGATCTTCTCAAGCCTAGGTGACTGTTAGCACAGCTCGTTTCCAGCTCGACGGCGATCATGACCCACTTCATCTTGTGGACGGCCGCAGTGGCGCTGCCAGCGACGAGCGCGGCATTGAAGAGAGTGGAACCCTTCATGATTGCTGATCGATAGGGTGGGTGTTGTTATGGTATGATGGAGAGAGAGAGGAAGAGGAAGAGAGGAAGAGGGTTGTGTAGTTGTAGAGTGATGCCGTCAGACCAAAGCGGAGGCGACTGGGATGGACACGCGCGCTGGCTGTACCTCTCCAGCTAGCTATCGATGATGGAGCAGCTCTCTTCTCTCTCTGCTTAGCATGGCATGGCATGGCAGTTGCCTACCGCAACCGCCCGGGAAGTGGCTTGACTTGGACCACGTCATGTGTGTCGGCTAGATCCGTGGGGTGGAGGAGAGACTAGCCTGTGCCATGTTTTACCGCATCATCCTCTCCACACCCGGTATATTTCATACTGTACCTTGTCCACCAACAAGGCTGATGAGCACCAACTGTTGCTACGTTCTATTAATTGCTCCCAGATCGAGCACGCATGTGACCACGACTTGGGCACATCACGCTATCGATTCTCATCGTCAACGACACCATGTCCTCCATATTCGACCTGAAGCACGAAGTAGTACATACAGGGAAAGGAGTGGTGGAGACGGATTCCCGGCGCAGGTACAGTACAGTCTCGCCCACACGTCCCATCTCGATCTGGGTGCACAACATCCGCAAATCCAGCGCGTCAGCTGGCCCAGTCCGGTCCTGTAGTCCAAAGAATCGTCCTCGGTGACTGACAACGGATGATCACGTAATGCGCGACATATCTCACGTGCAAGTCCAGGTGAATCGCCATTCCCAGACAGATCCCACGCGTCCCTCTTCAATCACTTATTATTATTACACATATCAAGATTCCAGGTGTATGCTGTGATACTTTATGTCGTAACCTAATTCCCGTGTTGAGATGCGGCAAACACAGGTCCGGGAGAAGGCACAGCATTTACGCCGCAACGAGCCATAGATAGACACCGCGGGCTGGGGGGATATCTGCCTGGTTCAAGCGGCCCGATTACCGCGCACACGGAGGATTGCCCTACCGAGATCACGACCATGGCCCTTTCCTTCCGTAACATGCTCGTGTTGGGCACAAATTCATGCTGACGACATCGGAATGTGCATTATTCAAGATATGTCAAGTGTTCTGCTGTATCGATGTCGTAAACGTAGGATCTATGATTGATCTATGTCTGCCTGACTGGCTATGCTGTCGCCACGGCTTTGCGGAGGAAAGCACGAATGAAGCCAACCCTAACCCGAACATCACACACAGATGGATGTCATGAAAGCCCTCAGCTCGATTTAGATCTTTCGACCTCAGTAATTGAGTAACGAGACTTTCGTCCAAAGGCAGAGTTGATCACTGACCTGCTTCCTGCGGGTCGAAAATGTGTGCTTCCGCGATTTCTCCATGTCGGCGTTGTTCTTTCTCGTAGTGCTAGGACTACTCTTATACCTGGCCCTCAAGCCACCATTTGCAAGGGCATATATCTGCACAGCAGCCACACGGATGAATCTCCGTCCAATTCATGAGATCACACAACAACGCCTAAGGCCCTCCCTACGTGGTATCGGAGCAGCCCAAATGTCGTCGATACTCGAATCATCGGGATTGATGTTGCCTCAAAGACGGGAATCGACGAGCAGTGAAACCTCGTGACACTACCGCCCCCAGGCACGGCCAACTTCGCACCGCCGCGCTAACCCATGCAAGCACTTTAACCTCGCTTCACGCGTCATGGAGGTGCGCGTGTCCCAACATAAGGCACCCCATGGTGAAGAAAGGCGCGTTCGTTGATGATGCACGGATGAATGTATCCGAACAAAGGGAAAAAGATGAGCTGTTCGCTGAAGGTGCAGTGTTCCGCGTCTGAAAGGAGCAGATGTTACTGTAGTCCCCACATGCGCTGCGGCGGGATGAGGAGGAGGAGGAGGATAAGGTGGAGCTTGTTCCGGGAAGGTCACGACGCCCACGTGGCAGTGATAAAGCATCAGAAAGAAGGACGATGACATGAGCGCAGCCGAGGAATACGAGCCAAAACGACGAGAACATTGAGAGGAATTGGAGAGCATTGTTGGAGGAGTGAAAAGGTAGTTCTTTGATTGTTCGGGGGAAGTGAGCAACAAAATAGACATTATCCCGAGCAATCAACTTCTCTTCCCTTTCTCGCGATCGCTGGCTTTCTGTCCCAGGCGATGCGCGCGTGCATGTTTGTTTGCTATCAAGTGTTCCTTTGCTTTGGCTCTTGCGCTGTCCTCCGCTCCCTCCTCGACGATGATGATAATGGGGTGATATTGATGATGATGGAAAAACAAAAACCCCGTTCTATACCCATAAATTTCCCATGGTCTCTCGGACCTCTCTTCCTGGTCTTTCATATCTTCCCTTGTCCAATGTAAGCAGCCCCCCCCAGAATTGCCACTCCGAGAACACCTGTCCTTTGTTTTTGTCTTTCTTTCCCAGTGCATCTCAATAGAAAATCTCAAACACCGCGCCGTCAATGGGCCCGACAGATGTCCGTCAGAGCAGGCGTTGAGCGAAAGGCGCCTTGTTTCCCGTCGCGACAAGAAGTATTAAACTTTATTGCAAGAATTGGAGGGTCTCGTGCTTTTTGTGCAGATTAGGTGCAGGGGAGGTGGTTGTCGCTCGACGTTCGCGCCGAGGGTCAGCCCGTCTAGCTTTGGGTGATGTGACGAAATGGAGACGAACGAAAAAAGAAATGCACACTGAAAACGCCTTCGAGATGATAAACATCGCTTCCCAATGCAATTAAATGCTTCGCCGAGAAGCACCGGAAAGAAGAAAAAAACGCACAAGGCAAAAGCAAGCACACGCGGAAGAACAAATCATGGAGAGCGAGGCATGAAGGAAGCGGTAGGTCCACCGTCATCGTGTGCCCGACGAATCATGCTTGAATCGGCATCTGTGGCACACGCGTCTCTATTGTGCTCTTGTTTGTTCTTCCATTTCTGGAAACTTGCTGAGAGTTCGGGAACGCTTCGTGACACGCGGCCCACTTCATGGGGCGATGGTGCTGACATCCTTCCATTGTTTGAGAGCAAAATTCGGCTTCAAGCTCACCACGTATGTCAGCCTGTCGGTAAACAGATGGCATATCGCAGCGTGTAACGCGGGAATGGCACCGAACGCGAAACCGCCGATCGGGAAGAGGACGGCTTCCAGGATACCAGCGAACTGGAAGGTGTTATGGGTGAATCCATCGCCCTGCTTCATGTCCTCGAGCATGCCAGCACGACGCATCTCCTCTTGTCGGAGACCAACGCAGAGGCGGTGGTAGCGTTCGTACAGGTAGAAGAAGAAGAGCATGGTGCAGAAACCGCAAAGCCGGCACCAACCCGAAATGTCGAGCGCCATCTTCAAGGTCGGGGGAATCAGGAACGTCGGATAGAACAGGGTGTAGATTCCGCTTGTCGAGAGGATGACAGCCAAATGGATGGGAAGGAAGTGAGCCTCGAACAGACGGTGGAAGACGGTCATCAGGTTGTACTTGTTGATCGATCGAGGGGGGCAGCGCTCGCCATCGGCCATCTTCGGAATCAGAGACTTGTGGAGACCGGTGCTAGCGTAGAAAGCAGTCCAATTGGCCCTGTTGGAGGAAGAGGTCAGCACATGTTCTCCAGTGATAGATCTTGGGGATACGAACTCTGGTGAAGTAGTAGGCAAGTCACTCTCTTGAGCGCTGGCAGCCTTCTGGTGTCTTTGGAACATCTTCAACGCCTCACGAACGGCGAAACCACTGTCCAGGGAACCCCACATGTGACGGAGAGCTTGCTTGTATCGTGCGGCGAGACCGTCGTAGTAACCCTTGATGCCCTTGGTGTCGGCACTGACGTTGCATTGACTGGCGGAGGCGTAGACGATGCGGGTGGTGAGATTACCAGACAGAGCGAAGAAACACTTGAGGTACATGTGAAGATCTTCACCAATTGAACCTGGGTCGGTGTCCCATCCTCCGACATGTTCGACGAGAGTCATAGGCAGGGAGTAGACGGAGGTAGGGATGCAGACGGTGGAGGCGCTGTGCAGACTGGAAATTCCGGCTCCAGCCCACATCATATCGGCAGTTCGGACCGGGAGCGGGATGTTGTGGAGGTTACGGTCGAAGACAAGCGGAGGAACGTAGATGGTGGTCTCGTTGGTCTCGGCGTGTTCCGTGTGCATACGAGCGATCTGGGTGAAGTAGCGGGAGGAGAGGTGAGTGTCGGCTGTGAAAGGATAGACTAGTCAGCTATTGCTCAAAAAATGTGGTCTGGGAAGACTACTCACCATCCATGGTGGTGATGATCGTGTTTTGGCGAACGAGAGGGTCGGAGTATTCCTTCATGGCCTCCTTGGCAGCCCAGTTCTCGTTGCTGCTCTTGCCCTGTGCCTCACCAGGGATTCCAGCTGGGTGCATGGTGTAGCTCATACGGAAAAAGCACTTCTCGAAACCGGAGCACAAGCTGGCGGCCTTCAAGGCGGATTTCTCTTCCTTCTCCTCCATAGCCAGGTAGACCTGTTTTGCTGTTAGTCTCGACAACAAATTGAACAACAATCGAATGTTGTCCTGGGCACACTCACATGGTAGCTGTGCCTCGCCTGCGGGTGTGAAGCCAAAACGCGTAGGGTCTCTTCCAGGGTATCAACCTCCTCTTTGTATGCCGGAATCAGGATGACGAACAATGGGACGGGGAATTGAGCGGTGCCTTCGTCGTTCTTGATGCTCTGGACGCGTCGTCGGCGAGTGTTGGGCATGACGCTGGCGGCCTCGCGAATGTTCTTGGTCAAGTCGGACATGGCCCAAACCAGACGGAATGGGAAGATGACTGAGAGCATGTGTAGGAAGATGCAGTAGCCGCTGAGGAGCAGCTGTGGGTAGGTCGCTTCACCATGATGCTTGCCCTTCTCGCCGCGGCCGTAGGGAGCGACAACGAATGAGAGGAAGAGCAGGACACCAATGCCGACACAGCTGAGCACTGGTATGCACCGGGTAACCCACAGGTATGTGGATTGATTCATGTTGGAATTATCGCTGCGCGGCCTCGCTCATGCAAAAGGTATTAATTATGGTCGAAGGGTGTAGGCCGATTCGGATTCTCGAGGACAATCGCAACGATCACACACTGGAGGCCCCGTTCTTTCTCCGCCAACTGATTAGTAGGTGATGGTATGGAGAGAGAGTGAGGAGTGAGTGAGTGATTGACGAGTTGTCGAATTAATGTCTGACAGGAAGTCGAGTAACAGAGCGAGAATCGAGGGAGGTAAGAGAGAGAGTAAAAGGTGGGTATGAATTAGGCGGCGAAGGTGTCTGTATTGAGGATGTCCGAGAAAAAAACAAGGAGAGAGAGACGAGTGTGAGAGTAGGGAGAGAGAGTAGAGAGGCCAGTGTAGGGAGATTAGATGATGGTGGTGGTGGGCATAGGAGAGGTGTGTGTGTGTGTATAGCTTTCTGACAGACAAGTCACACCCAGAAAGTTGCTTGTGAGAGAGAGGGCGAGAGACGAGATGAGAGATGTGCGGCGTGGAGAGAGGGCGAGACTGAGAGCGCGAGAGTGACAGGCTGCGCGCAATGTGAGTGGTGGAGGGAGAATGCGAGAGCCAGGCCAAACGATACCCTGAGCTAGCGCGACGGGGGCCAGGAGATCTGCTACGCCTATTACCACAGCACTACTGTATATAGTAATGTTAATAAAAAAAAACACCACCACACAGGCCAGCACAGCCTTCGAGTGTCTAGATAGTACTCGGCAGTACAGTAGACAGAGACGTATACGACGCACAGCAATTTCGAGGCACAATGGACAATCCTGTGCTATATGTTGTGCCTACTCAGGCACTTCTCGTGCGTTATTACTCAGTGCTGACTCTCTATCCTTCGTGGAGCCGGATCGGAACCGTACCACGGTTGTAGCATCCATTCGGTGAGGGTCTCTATTAGACGCAGCGTCTGCATGGGAGGCGACCCGGTCGTAGCGCAGGCTGACAACAAGCGAAATGTATAAGAGCAATACTGCGTGGAATATTCCACCACCGCGGAACGACGGATCGTACAGCGACAATCCAATACCTTCCTGCTCCTGGTGAACAGAGACAGAAAAAGGCAACATAGGAAGGGCGATCGCTTGCGTGCCTCCGACTATCGTGCAGCACAGCAACCCAAAAGCAATGGGAAAAGAAAGGAGACGCGACCACAAGTCGGACCCGGGATATTTTCTGATGTGAGGCCGACCTTGCTCTCTCTCTCTCGGAGCACACAGGAGGGACGTCGTAGCAACTCTCATTTGATGAGCTCCAGCTGAGTTGGAGGGAAGTTGGCGCGACGGTTTAGGCCTAGTCCCGTAAAGCAAATGGGCATGCCAGGCTCAAACCACGTTGGGACGCGGGCAATTTGGTTGGCTCCAGTCGCTACTAGTGCCGCTCGCCCGGACCAGCTTAAGCACCTCCCCCTTCTTCTCTCTGTCACGTCCGTTGTCTCTGTCCTGTCTACCGTGCCCCGTTGGATTTAATTGATCGTGGACCTACTGTAAAGTTAAAATGTCGCCTCTTGAACTCTCGCTGTTGCTTCGTCCCCCTGATCGTTTTCGCCCGTGATGAGGCAAGCCCACCAGTTGAAATGTGCGGGAAGCGCGACACTTCTGGAACTTGGGGAGCGACACGCGACGCAAGCTTGGAGGAAAATTTCCGGAAACCGAGCTATATCATACATAGTAGAAGGCAAGAAGCAATTGCGCAGCAGTTGCGAAAGAGCTGTTGATGACTGACGATGAGTACACATGACAACGGTCATTTTGGCTTTCCCCAATGGTCCTCGCCGATCACCACATCCAATCCTCGGGGGCTTAGCATTTTCTTGAACGACCACCGAAGAAGAGGCTCCGATTAAAGGAGAAAGTTCTCGCTCAGGCGGAGACACGCCAAACAAAGACACCAGATCCTCCAGACGCGGCGCGGTGGAAGATTCAAATCAAGGAGGAACCATGGGCCTGTCGAGGAATAATCGCCAGGCTTCTCGGCTCGACTCGCCCGCGCGTGCGGCCGCACCCCTTTCTGCATGTCAGTCCGGGCACCTGCAGTATTCAATTCGTATTCTGCCTGCGCGGTTCATTTTAAATCGTGATTTTGGTTGGATCTCACTCGACGCCGCCAATGGGACTAGCAGCCCGCAAGAAAGTAGGGCTGTCCCCCCCGATCGGCAGCCTTGTAATTTCCATGGCCCGCCCCTCCCTCCTCCAATCTTCGATCCGGTATTCCTTTTTTCCTCCTCTGGTAATAATGATACATCGTGATACATCAATGCACACGCCCAATACGTCGATCTCTATCTCTCTACAGTAATATTTCTCCAAGACAATTTTCCGCTCCCGGGATCATCCCGTCGCATACCCACAAACATACACATCTTGAAACCGCGCTCCGAGCCTTTGCCGTCAATCCACCATGGACGTTACCATGTGCAACGCAGAGAAGCTCCACAATCTAATCCGCTTCATGTATCGATCGCCTCTTGTAGAAACTACCCATGCCTAATAGGACACACGGTACTTGCTGACATGTATAAAACTCATTCCTTGTCGTTCGCATGGCAAAAATGCGCTTCTTTCTCTCCCACTCCCCCTCCTCAAGAGAAGTGCCGGACAACAACCGTGTGCTGTCTAGGGCTTGAGGGTTCGAGAACGTGGCCTTTCGCCGCTGCGGCCGTGAACATTTCTGCGCGCTCTCTTGACGGTATCAAATGTATCCAGCACTTAATGAACATCAGACTCCTCACAGTCTTCACCCAATATCGCCATGGCCCGCGGTTGCGAAATGCTATTCGCTCATGTTTCAATAGCAACCCGACGTTCTCCTCTCCAGATAGATCTCGAGACAAAAAACGTCGCGAACCATTACCCCGACATGCCAACCAAACGGCAATACCGAATCTTGTTCAATGAACAGTATATCTCTCAACCATAGAAATGTGCCTCGATATGCCCTGGTCCTCTTCTCTCTGGCGGGGTGATTCTGGCAAGGCTGGCCGGCGTTGACATCAACGGCGTACACGCCCAGATTTTTCAGGCGATCCGTCACGCAAACAGGCACTGTAGTGTCAGAGGGCGTTCTCCAAGATCCTCCACGGGACGAGTCCTGACGCGTACCCTGCAACGACGGCTACGCAGTTTGTCGTATATATCGCTTTCGCATCATCCACTGCCAACAATTTGCTTATCTTGTAATAACAGGAATTCAAATCGTTCCCTCTCGGTAAGATATGGCGCCTATTCGCGTAGTGTCTGTATGCACCAGTATGGTCATCGGACCGCGCGAGGAAAAAAAACATCCCACCTGCATCATTTGTCTTGATTCGGCTGCGAACCCGCGGGGCGGCCTCTCTGTGCTACTAATCAGAGACTACTATAGCATTACAAAAAGAAAAAGGTACAGTAGTGCTGAACCACCACAGTCGCTTCTAGGCTGCAGCTTTCTTTCGCCCACTATTCCCAGCAGTGGTGGGAACCCATGACGAGGGTGATGGTAGACTGGCGCTGTGTAGCAATACATACAGCTGACAGGCGTTGTCTTAAGCTCGATTCAGCCTGGCCGCGCTCGTATACGCCAATTCCATGCAGTAGTAATGATCCAGAGTGCGTGGGCGGCAGAGCCTCCAGCACGCAACCGTCATGTACGATCTAGCCAGGTGAGGTGAGGGTGAGCGTGACGAGCAGAAAAGAAAAACCCGGAATAACATGATGTGCGGTGCATTGCATTGCAGTAGCATCGTCAGCGAGCTGCGACCCATCCGCGCAAGAGTCTGTCTCCCACCGCGGATGATTGGGTCCCTCGACCTTTGCACCGCCACCCTTCTCTTGCGCGTCCCACCGCAGACACGACGGCCCTCGCTTCGGGGGTGCCACATGAATGGCCGGGTCTCCTGTAGCTGCATACAATTGCTGCGGTGTATCGTCATCTGGACTCAGGCGGGTGGTCATCATGCAGGTGGAGGACGTGGTGCCTGACATGATGACGGCCCAGTGGGGAGAGCTATCTCTGTCGGCTGTGTGCAGCATTGCGCATTTGTGTATACGCGCACACATGTTCTGGATTTACTGTACGAGCTTACGACGTTTCGCTTGCATCAAGCATCCGCTTTGGATTTCTACGTGATTCTTACGTGGACGGAAAAGTAGGAAAGCCCGAGAGTTCCATCCGAGAATTGGAGCAACGATCGATTCATCCCGGCATCGTCTTCCCGGCCGATGCGCCCCTCGCAAGCGACTGGATTTGATGAATAGTGGAGCGCAATATTGTTGGGGTTGGGCTGACTTCGGAGATTATCTCCACGTGATGATAAATGCCTCAGGCTTGAAGCTCTTCGCAGAGTAGACGGATCGTTCCGGAACTCTCTCCCTCCAGAGATATCATTGGCTCGGTGTCTGCCGTCACTAGCTAAAGTCGAAGACCTGGGGATCGAACCCGCGCCATGGTACAAGAGCTGTCCATCTATCTGAGCAACGATGGATATCGGGCGAAGAGATAAGTGCAGGTCAGCCGGCAACGCTACGAGGCCGACCTGGCAACACAATGCCGAAAACAAGATGGAAATCGGTCCGTCCCTTAGTCGCGTTATCGGCCTAGCCAACCAGTGAGCAAACCACTCCGAAAGGCGCTTCCGAGTGACTGTCCGAGCAGTAGTAGAATAAACTGTAATATGGAAGCACCCACTGCTCATACGAAGCCATGATCTCAGGCTTGTCGAACGGGTTACATGTGCAAGCAACAGGAGTAAAAATACAGTAATATCGAAAATCTTCTCTTTCCCTGAGGCTTCGCGTTCGGCTTCGTCTCGAAAGCTTACCACACCTCCCGAAGAGGCGTACTGCAATCGCGTCAATCACCATCGATGTGTGGGCGAAGTACGTAGGTTTCATACCTGCATGCCCCGTTCTTTTATTATGGAAAAGTTTATCATGTATAATTTGTTGAAGCTCAAGACCACGTTTGAGATTCACCCAACCTCCCGAAGAGATGAAGTCCACCCACATGGGCACGACGCCTCACTAGGGTTTAGGGTTACGATTCATCACTTCCAGGCCCGAGGGTTGTGTTAGCATCGATATTGAACGAGCAACAACACGTCTGGATCACGTCCTGGAGCGTTTGTCTGACGTGCATTGCGCTTCATAGATACTGCGGGATAATTTTCGCCAAAGAACAAATCAAGCACGGTCAGGTGACGTGTGGTGGCACAACTCATTCACGACCGTGTAGAAAATAACCAGATTGAAAACCTTGATCGTCAATGTCAATTCAACTCAGCACTCGATGACTTTAATCAACATTCCACTCCAGAACCCGACGGATCATTGCACCGTGACAGCCATCCGTTCTCGATCAAAGTTAATGCCCTCCTTCGGCAGCCAGCCCACACCGACCCGCTCATACACATCCAAGTTGTCGAGCTTCTTCACAATCAATACGTAGTACTGCGAATTTGGCGATTCGCTGCCCTTATGCCGGGCGATGTTGACACACCGGACCGAATCGAGCGGCGACTCGTCGGCATCCCAGACCAGCTTGTACCCCGGATGAGTCCGGTGATTGACGCGTGCGACGAATTCTCGGGTCAGGACTTGCAGCTGGACAACGCCGCGATTCGTGGTCCGGCCGGCCCAAGCGGAGGTTTGAGTGGCGCTGTAGAATCTCCAGGGCTGCTTGGACCACGGCGACGACATTTCGCGGTCCGCCCATTCGACCTCGTCGAATGGTAAGTCGAGGAAGGTGATGCCGCCGATGTAGGCCATCCACGACCAAGAAGGCACGCGTTCTCTGTTGGAGCTGAACAGGATCCGTTCCAATCGATTTACGTTGGCCGCACGATGCCAGAGAATGCAGCGGCCGCGATAGCGTTCGAAGATGCCGAAACTCCCGTCGGTCTCGAATGCCCGGCACAGACGCTGTTCGAGACCCGCGATGGCGATGGGTCGGTCGAGGAAGGAGGTGAAAGCGAGTCGTGAATATTGTTCATAGAGATGCTGGAAATAGACGATCTGACCGCCTTTGGTGTTGTGGGCTGCGACACGAGGGAAATTTGCATCTCCGAGAAAGGCGGCTTCGCCACTGCTTGACCTGTCAGTGTGATTTCCCATTATGCTTTGTCATGATCTATTCATTCTCGCCGAGGTCCACGTACTTGTACATCTTAGTCAATGTCTCGCATCTTATGCCTTCTCCGCACTCCCAGTAGATTTGGCTTTCAGCAAAGTATATCGTTCGTCGCGCCAGCGCCCGCTCTTGAAGGACCCAACCACGCTGGTTTAGTTCTCCATCAATGACGTCGCGCTGGAAATGATCAATGTCTTCAGCGATAAATATGGACGGACTGTCAGGAATTGGCACGGTAATCACTTCGCGTTGTGGTCGTTCTACTAGAAATCCATCCGAGACGTCCGAAGCACGGCTGGCTGCAAGGACGCAATATGCGCCGCTGAATACCGTCTCCATGCGTTCCGCCTCGGTATCATAGTCGCCGCCTGGGCCTTGTATGATGCACAATGCATCAATCCAAATGTAACCCATGCCGATTGCTCTGGCCACTTCAATCGCATGTTGAAGAAGCAGAGGCAGACTTGCCAGGGATATTCCTTCCTCCTTCTTTTTCAAATTCGCCCGGGTGGTCTGATAATCGAGATGGCGCGACACATTGCCCCATCTATAGGACACTGCAGCATATTTTACAGCTGTCCCTGGATGCACGACCCTGATGATGGATTCTAAAGGCATGCCAATCGCGACCAATCTTGTTGGAAGTTCCACCTGGGCAAGGACGTGTAGATCAGGATCACGACGACATCGCGTGTGATGATCGCAGTCTTGAAGCCATTGGCGAAGAAGTTCGAAGACGGCAAAGCTTCTGATGCCAAACAGTTGCGGCGATGACACCTGAATAGTCTTGTGTTGATGCTTGGACGTTGGGTCTAAATATCATAAAAGTTAGCGTTTGGGTGATCTTCTCACGAGCCGCAACACCATGACATACCATAAGCTTGACCCAAGCACAAAGAACGAGCTGGCTGTCCGTTCCGGCTGATAGCGAGTCTCGAGCCAATTCTCCCAACCTGTATGGTATAGCCGAACCCAAGATCAAGTTGGTTTGACGATGAGATGCGTCGAAGGAGCGAACAAAGGGCACATGTTCCATTCCAATCGCGGCTGCGGCGAGTAACGTCGGGGCGAGAGAGTAGCTGTATAACCATGAGAAAGCAATTGTGACACAGCTTATCGCTTGCCCTCCGAGTTGCAAGGCCGAGCTTGTTGGCAACTGTCGACATGTATGCCACAGAGAATTCATTGTCAAGAAGGTGCTTCCAGTCGTTCCGGTCGATCTTGAACAGCTCAGTCAGGTTCTGGCAGAGGCACTTTGTGAGGCAATGCTTACCGGCTACAGCGAGTCAGCTACAGACGGCCTTGAAATCGTTATGGTATAGATTATCTTACCTCCTGCATATTCATGATGAGTTGAATTTAGATGGCAGTGTCAAAAACAAGACGATTCACGACTCACATGCTACATGGAATGTCAGCAATTGAACCGTGACGAGTCAAACAGGATTCGTACATGCTGCGATCGATGTGGTCAGTGAAGTTCCACCAGGTTTGAGAGAATTTCAATTACGTACATACTGTTATACCGTTAGCTGCCATCTACCCAGCGACGGCAAGGGTACTCACAGTCTGCCCATTAGCATTGTCATTTCACCAGGAATCATGTTCGGTGGTTGGTCGACGTACTTCCTGGAAAGAAATGTCGTGAGTATGTCACTAGCACCGGTTTTGTCATCATCTTGAGAGCACTTACTCTTTGAGCAGCCCCAGGCACGGCAAGGAGTGCAGCGGTAGGCTGTGGAGAATCGACGGCGATCGGAATCTTGCGCGGTCGGCCCGAGTTACGAAGAATGTTTGGCAGCAGATAATCTGCACCACCACGACCATTGGCTTTGTCGACGATGTTTGTCATTTCTGTCAGGAGACTTCCTGCATCGATGCGACACGAGGATGATTCGCTGAAGTCAGGAAGGTCGACAACGAGAACTTTCTCCTGTATCAATATGAGCAGATCTCGGAGAGCACAACCTGGTGGCCCAGCGCCTGTCAGGTCTTGAGCCAACATACGTTCCATCAAAAGGCTTGTGTGGCGATTGACTTTTGCTTGGTAGCCAACTGGCGCAGCACGTGTCGTGAAGAAGAGAGTGCCCCGGGCAGGGTCGACAGACAGATCCCAGAAGCTCTTGAGCCCTTGATGTCCATACAACAGCCAAATCATAGTCTCGAACATGATGCAGCCAAATGACCAGATGTCGTAGCGCCTCGAGCGGGGCCGCGCCGGCATAGTGATTGCTTCAGGCGGCTCATAAGACAATGTACCGTACTTGGTACTTGTGGCTTGCCGTCGGTGGACTGTCGGCGCATAATGCCGCTTCGCCAAGCCTAGATCACCGATCTTGAGCAGGCCGATTTGGCTGCCCGGTATGTTGAAGACGAGAATGTTTTCTGGTTTGAGGTCACCATGACGGAAGTGAATGTCGCTTTCTTGTGATGGATCGTCAGCGGCGACGATCTTCGGAAGCAGAGGTCGTCCTGGTACATCAGGCAGGGAATCTCTCATCGTAGCCGTACGAGATAGAGGATTCAATCTGTCTCCAGTGTGCAAAGCATGAATGGCGTTAGCTAGGCCTCTGAGTTGAATGAGCGTTTGACGAACAAGGCGCTCATCGAGTTTAGGCGTGGGGTTGCTTGACCAATATTTCCGCAGATCGCCCCCATCCGCCCATTGGGACAGCAGGATATACTTGTCGCCATATTCGATAGCTGCAATCCTGCCGACGATGTGGGGATGATCGAGTTGACTCAGATCGTGCAAGACAGTCGCCTCTCCTTCGAAAGCCCGTTGTGCTTCATCGCTGGTCTCCGCATCTTTCTGTGAGCGCTTGAACTCTTTCACAGCGACCCGACAAGGCGCGCCCTCCGGCTGTTGACACTCGGTCAGCAAAAAATACAACGACTGGTCCACGACCCTAAAAGCTTACCCAAGGGAAGTTCAAATGGTGGGCAGGATGTAGGACAGCTTCGTGCACCCATCCGAAATGACCTTGAGCAGAGCCTGGTCCCCATTGGATGAATGGGAAGCGAGTCAAGGGGTCGAAGGTATGCTCCAATTTATTTGCGGCATCGAAGACAGGTGCAAGAAAAGTCCATTGCAAATCATGAAAGTTGCTCCAGTGGAGATGATCGATACGTGTGTCGTCGCCATCCACACCCGCATCCGTATCGCTGTCGTCCGAGTCTGCAACGCTCTCGAAATCCGCAAATGCACGAAATTCGATGGTGGGCTCAATGTGTGCGTTATGTGCGTCATGGCTGGAGTAAGGCTTGATGGGTAGGCGCTTGTCGTCGAGGCCGATGTCGAAGCAGCGCCGGAGAAATGGCGTCAAGGGTCGATAGCCTCTGCTGATGACAGCAGTTGCAAAAACCTTCTGCGCCCTATTGGACAAAAATTCGACGAGATGGTCTGACGGGTTATCTAGACAAGCGCGAATTTTCTCCTCAGTGAACAATGTTGAGAAGACATCCCGTGGGAGAAATTGTTTCGTGAAGCCATTCCAGACGCAAATTTCAAGACTCTTGCCAAGCTTGGTGTGAAGCTTTCTCAGGGCACGAAGGTAGTCATCGGCGGGAACCTTCGTCGAGGCGTGAGAGTTCTCGTCCTGGGATGAGCGAGTCATGGTCTGTGAAGAGCGAGTATGCACAGCTCAGGAATGACGACGATAGATTCATCAGTGAAGTGTGACCGAGCGGGTTCGACCTATATAAGCAATCGCTGCAGCCTGCACATGCGAAATTCTTTACCGATGGAATACAGGCCGATGCAACATCAGGAGAGCATTCTTGGAACTGGGGCGGCCTCTCACAGCCCAATAAATCTTGACATGCATGGGCGGAGAAGCATGGCTTCGAGCTTGTCGACAATTATCGAGCTACATGCGAGTTTTTGATAGCGTCGCTGTGCAATGAACTCACCTTATCCAGCTACAGATACCCACAAATCTGTAGATATCACTGGCGAACCAAATTTCCCGAGCGTCGAACTCACCGGTCGGAAGCGCGCCGCTTCAAGCCTTGCGAATGTACACCTACCTGCAAATCTAATTCCATCTGAAGGGTGCCGTTGGGCTCTGTTGCCACATTATTGAGGGAGGATTCTTTCCAGATAGGTCGTGGTTGTTGCGCCGACGTGTCACTTGGACGGCATCTCATCTCACGGCTGTGGTAGGGCTCGGGATGGCGTGCGCGCGGCTGGGACTTGCACTTAGACAACGGATCCTGGGCTCAATTTACTCGCTCGACGTCCTCGCCAGGGCGTGCATCGGTCATTGTAGCTGCAATGGAAGCACCTGCTGGCACCACGCCGACACGCCGACAAAGGGTGCTATTGCAAGGCAAGCTTGCCTCGGTTCTCTAAACACGTAAGGCTGCTCATCGCTGCTCCTGCAGCTGCCGGGAGATAGCTTCAGTGCCGGCTTAGGTGTGGCCTCCTACGATCATCCTGATAAGAATCGATTCGTGGTGTGCGGGCATAATGCGCAGTCGTATGAGACTGCAGATCTATGCTTGCTATCCAACGCGTGCTGCGATAGGTCCCGGTGGTTCGATGATCCAATCGACCCCGCACAAATTGGACGTGATGGAGTCGGCGCGTACATGTGACGGCAGTGAATCATGCATATCATCGATCGAGGGTCACGCAAGAACCTCGCGCGACAACTTGCAGTGAGCGTCTTCCACGGTGGTATCCACAATCAGTGCAGAGAAAGGTAGTATTGAAGGTGACAGCGACTTGACAGCGACTTGACTGCGATCTTGTGGTAACTGGAGCCTGCCGGTTCAAGCACCGACGTCGTCACTTCGGGACAGAAGGAGATCCTAGTCCGATCGTGTGTGAGCTGTGGTGCGCCAGCTGCACTTTGCCATGTGCTCGATCTGCCGTCATACGCCAAAACACTGGCGGCGAGCTTGTCGCTTCATGTGTACACGGGGTGCTGTGTTATGCGCCGATCGTGCTAGAAACTGCACCCCGTTTGCTCCTGCCACCGGTGTACACCCTCGCCGTCTTGTCGTCTTCTCTCGTCTGGTCGTCTCAAGCTACCGAGAATCCGGATGGATATGATCTTCGGAGTCGCGGCCATTTCAACACGGGTCGTATAGTTCATTGAAATCTCCGATCGGAATCGTGGCATCTTCGGGTGCCGTTTTGACAGCTGCTAGATATACTTCCTGTGCTGTAGGTCCCTAGTACAGGATGTATTAATTACTCCAGGGCTGCATGTACTGTTCCTGTTCTCCGCAGGTGTAGCGGGAATGTCGTGGCTGTTGCCTACTACTGGCCATCGACAATTGACGTCGCCATGATTTGTTGCCCGACCTACTAGGTTTAGGAGGATATCTGAGTTCTTCCTGTTCTTATCGGATCATCACACAACTTCCAGTGGTGAAGAAACTGCCTGGGATATATTTCTGAACACTTCTCAAAGATTACTAAAGACCACCCGGGCACATATACAGTATTGGACTACCGCTCCCACAGCTCTCCCACTTCCGCGGGGCTTCGGGATGCAGCTGAATAAGAGCAACATCATCACTTGACTCATCAGACAACGAGCTGTCTTTCAGCCTGTTCTGACCGAACTCAAGATAAATAAACGAATCGCGCGTGCGTAGAAAGGCAGCAAAGCCTACAATAATGTTGAAGCTTATCGCAGAAATGCCTGCAGCGCATATCTCGTGTTAACCACAGCGTTCACCAGTCATCTGACCTGTTGAAACACATCGCTGCACGAGATCTAGTCCGAGTGATATTGCGAGTCATTTCAGTCCGTGACGGATATCAGCGGTCAAGTCATTGTCGCTCACCTGTAGCTGATTGCCCGCCATGTCGACATCGTCGTCGTCCTCAACGTCTGCCTCTTCCATACTGCCACGGCTACCACGGAATAACTCTCTCAAAGCTCGTGCTATGCACAAATCTTTCCTCGAGCGCGGCGGAAAGGGCGATCGCGCTGATGCTGTCCTTACACCCGAAATGGCTCTCCCGGAACGATTCCGAGCGTCGCCAGACAATGACGAAGACGATGGAGTCGGCGACACAGACTCACCGCTTTCAGCACGGAGTATGTATGGTCTGCTCGCGGTATCTCAATCACAAACCGCACTCCCAACGGTACTGCGGAGAGGAAGCGACAGTGATCCGGAAGACAGCACGAGACTAGGCGAGGTCACAGGTCGAGGGCGTATCAGTCAATCGACGGCGGCTATACCACCCAAGAGCAGGTCGAGTTTCGACGCTTGGCGATCCAAGAGGAGGCTTGCGGAAGGGCAAAGGAGAGCGAATCTGACGGCAAACATGCCATCATTGAAGGAGCGTGGTGACAATGGGGAGCGCGAAGAGGAGGGTGACAAAGCAGAGGAGATTGGAACGATGTCGGAGTCGCAGATCCTAGTCCGACCTACAGACACACAACGGAGTTCAGGAGGTCGAAGCTCTTCAATACCACAAGCTAGACCAGGCTCGGAATCTCTGTCGTCAAGTCCTGGCGTTGCACCCATTCCTGGAGGACAGTCGAGCGCTACAGAGCTGGCTGGGAGGGGAGGGACTGGGACATCACCGCCACCAACCAGCGCCGACCCTCGTCCGCTATCACAGGTCATCGCCGAGATATTCAACTTTGCCGAACCCGAGGAAGTTGTCGCCGAGTACCCGTGCTGGTACCTGCAGAATGTTCTACTTCAAGGATACATGTACATCACGCATAGGCATGTCTGCTTCTACGCCTACTTGCAGAAGCGCACGAACGACGTTGAGAAGAGCGGACAACTTGGAAAGCAAGGCCGCCACAGCTATAGTTACCGGCGATATCACTTCATCCTTAAGGGAGACACCTTCTCCTACTACCGTGATGCCTCGGACCCCTATTTTCCGCTCGGAATGGTGGATCTACGTTATGCCAAATCCGCAGAGGTAACACTCGAGGGAGAGAACGAGACGTCCGACTTTACCATCACGACTGCTGACCGGATATATCTCTACCGTGCAGACACAGCCGCTTCTGCAAAGTCATGGGTCAAGCAGCTGCAGAAAGTTATATTTCGAACGCATAACCAGGGCGACAGTATCAAGATTTCACTGCCGATCGTAAACCTGGACGACATTGAGCGAATGCCTATGTTAGACTTTGCGGAAACAGTCAAGTTACGTGTACTGGACAGCGACGAGACTTTTGCCGTTGACGAATACTTCTTCACGTTCTTTGGAGAGTCTGGGAGCAAGGCGCTCGAAAGCTTACAACATGTCGTGGAGGAGGCTGAAAGCTCAAGAGAGCAGCAAAAACATGCGAATACAAAGCGACGACGGGACAAAGCTAACAAGCAAAATGACACGTCTTCGTCGAACAGATTTGGCGATAATCAGGCTCATGAATCTGCGGATAGCCTCGCAACGTCTTCAAACCAGGGAGAAAGCTCGGATAGTGACGAGGAGATGGATCCGAACATGTCTGCCAGCCAGATGTTGACTGGTGACAAGGTATTCGGCCAGCCTACACTCAAGGTTCCCCAAAGCATTCGAGAAAAATCGCAAGGAGGATCTTCAGGCTCGAGTGAGGACCCGAGGGCACCTCTGCATCGAACAACGACAGAGCAGTTGCTTCATTCGGATCGGCCTGTATCTCGCACATCCTCCGAACTGGACCCATCTCGGAGACCATCTACAGATGGCTCTGCCATAGCTCGAAGCAAGCTTGCTGCATTGTCCGTCGCGAATGTGGTTCGTTCTTCCGGAAAGCGTATGGGATCGTACCTGGGCACCAGTCCGACCGGCTATATCAACAAATTTGCAGAAGCTGTGATAGGTGGAGCGCGACACTATGAGGAGTCCGAACACGCTGCCTGCCCAGACTCGCGCCAGCGGGACGTAGATGCAGTCTCAGATACGGCCTTCCGACAGCAAAGATTTCAGGAACACTTTGCTTTGCCAGCCATAGAAAAGCTGGAAGCTACTTATTTCTGCTATTTGCACAAGAATTTACCCATGTATGGAAAAATCTATATGAGCGCCCGCCGTTTCTGCTTCCGGAGTCTGATCTATGGAGTCCGGACGAAGCTCGTCATTCCATTCCGCGAGATTGCGAACGTCGAGATGCAACGTGGGTTCCGATTAGGATACTCGGGCATCGTCCTTGTCATTCACGGCCATGAGGAGCTATTCTTTGAATTCCGTACAGAGAATGCTCGCAACGACTGTGCTGGCACTATTTTCAGGAAGCTCGACCATAACCAAGCTATCGCCGATTCGACAATACTGCTCTCGGAAAAGCAAGCACACGAAGCCGAAGGTGCAGCAGCCGAGAACCGGCTTCTCCAGGCGGCGCGCAAAGACCGCCCCGAGTCGGCATCATTAGATATTTCAGGCGAAGACGACAGCACAGGCGTCTTATCGGACGATCCGACAGCATCGCTCGTGGATATTCCCACACCCCCTTCGATGCTTGTGACTTGTCTCACCATTGGTTCACGAGGCGATGTGCAGCCCTACATCGCGTTATGTAAAGGACTGATGGCGCAAGGTCACCGAGCACGGATTGCCACACATGGAGAGTTCCGCGGCTGGGTCGAGAGCCACGGTATCGAGTTCGCTGAAGTCGCTGGCGACCCAGCAGAGTTGATGCGGGTCTGCGTCGAAAATGGCATGTTCACAATTCCATTCTTCATCGAAGCGAACTCCAAATTCCGCTCATGGCTTGATGGTTTACTTCTCACCGCATGGGAAGCCTGCCAGGGTTCCGACTTGGTGATTGAAAGTCCTTCCGCTATGTGCGGGATCCACATCGCCGAAGCGCTCGGAGTGCCATATTTCAGAGCTTTCACCATGCCCTGGACCCGCACACGCGCATATCCTCACGCCTTTGCCGTAAGGAATGCAAAGATGGGCGGCGCTTACAATTACATGACATACACGCTCTTCGACAATGTATTTTGGACGTGGACCGAGGGGCAAATCAACAGCTGGCGAGTGAAGACCTTGGGTATTCGCCCTACGAATCTTGATAAACTGCAGCAGAACAAGGTGCCCTTCCTGTACAATTTCTCGCCGAGTGTGGTCCCTCCACCATTGGACTTCAGCGATTGGGTCAAGGTCACTGGTTACTGGTTTCTCAATGAAGGCAGTGACTACGAACCTCCTGCGGATTTATCGGCGTTTATCAAGAAAGCTCGAGACGACGGCATGAAATTGGTGTACATCGGGTTCGGTTCTGTCGTCGTCAACGATTCCCGCAAACTCACCGAGCAAATCATCAATGCAGTCCAGAAAGCCGACGTTCGCTGCATTCTCTCCAAGGGCTGGTCCGATCGCTTTGACAAGAAAGATGCAAACGTCCCAGACATCGTCTTACCATCATGCATTCACGCCATCCGCTCAGCTCCGCACGATTGGCTCTTTACACAGATCGATGCCGTAGTCCACCACGGCGGTGCAGGAACGACGGGCGCAAGTCTGCGGGCGGGCAAGCCCACTATCATCAAGCCATTCTTCGGCGATCAATACTTCTTCGCCACGCGCGTAGAAGACCTCGGCGTCGGCATCCACCTGTCCAAGGCGACAGAGCACCAGCTAGGCAAAGCCCTCTGGACCGCAGTGCACGACGACCGCATGCAGACCAAAGCCCGCTTACTCGGCGAAGCCATCCGCTCTCAAGACGGCGTGCAAACCGCCATCCGCGCCATCTACTCCGATCTAGACTATGCGCGCTCGCTCATCAAACAAAAGACCCAACCGGCGCAACAACCCTCCTCTGCGGCCGGGACCTCTGCTTCACCGAAGGACAAAACTGCGGAAAAGGCGGACCTGGAGACAGGTGCACCGGTGCTCGACGAAGACACGGAGGAGAACTGGACCTTCGTCGATGTCACCGCCCATGACGATGCTGCTACATCAGCAGGTCTCGAGCTCGACCGTTTAGCTGCCAGCACTCCACCGCCCACGATGCAGCAGCAGCAGCAGCCGGCACCACCGAGACGAGGTCTGAGTAATCTTCGCCTCGCTCCGTCGCTGTTGGGCAGAAAATAAGTTCGTGAATGAATATTGGGCATTTCACAGGAGTTTTTGGAGTAGTGAGGTGCTTTTTTGATTTCCAGCGTTTCCCTTTTTGTTGGTATTGAAGTTTGGTATGTGGGTTGATGGATTAGACGAGATTACGATTTCCACGAGTGCAAGATTCGAATGTCAACGATAGCGTGTGCAATATTACCTACCTCCTCTCATCGGGATGTGTGTGTGCCCTGCTGCGACACCAATCGCAGTCTCAGTATAAGTCATCAAGGTGCCTCGTTTTGAACGTGACTTGTCCATATTGAAGTTCCGGCCGTTATGCGAATTTGGCCGATGCCGGGGTATCTTGCTCTATAAGAGCGAGGAAAGCTACGGTCCTCGCCGCTCCCAAATCCAATGCTTGTACATCGGTATCTCATCACCCGTCCAGGCGACGCGATTCCACCGATCGCACCCCCCTCCCACTCAGGGTAATTCCCGTCTGCTCCCGTTTCGATTTATGCCTGGCAGCTCGGCAGGCTCCACTGCTCGCGAATCCAACTCCGATGGTGGCGCAGCTGCCTGCCACTCTGAATCATAGTAGTTGTTATCGAGTACGGGTTCTTTCACATCGTGTACCTCTGCAGCCCTGATGCTGGATGCCGTCGCTCTGCGTCGCGCTTTGAACCTCAGAAATAGCCATGCGCCCAGTGCGGCTGCGACGACTGCCGCGACGGCGACACCGATGCCGATTCCCGCTTTGGCGCCTGAAGTCAGCTCACTGGGTTGCGAGGAGGGAGCTGCGGAGTTGGCTCCTGTTGATGATGACGATGATGGTGATGATGATGGGGGTGCTGAAGTTCTGGTCGTGGGCGACGTAGATGAACTGGCGGTGGAAGTGGCTGTCATTGGGAATTGCGAAGTGGTGAAATCCTTCCTTCCGGAGAGATAGCCCGCTACTCCAGCATCGAAGATCGCACTCGGGTCGCTGCAACACCCGGAATATAAAGCTGGATCGTCCGTGGGTAGTGCAGACGCGTTGAATGCGTACGTCGAGCAGCAGTATGTCGTTTGAGAGCAAGCGACCACCAGCTGTGGTGTATTCGATAATTTGCCGGCTGCAGGACGTTCAGCATGTCAGCTAGTGATAGGACCCAGGACGATCCCTTGCGATTCACTTACTAGCTCGGTCGGTCTTGCAGTACTGGGCGCAATTCGGCGAATTCCAACTTGGATCGGTGCATCCGTTCCTCCAGAGGAGAGAGCTGTTCGCGAAGAAGTTCCATTTGCAGAAGCCATTCGTCGTACACATATCTGAGTTACCGCAGCAGTTGCTGAATCCATCTTTGGCCTGGACGTCACATGCTGGATAGTCAGTGAATTTGGTTCCGTCTGGCCAGTAGCAGTCCGCACATGCTGTCGCAATGAACCAGGATGCCAGTAATGGTAGGATGAGTGATAGCTTTGCCATTTTTTGAAAGGATTTTCGGTAGGTGAAAGGAGCAGCGTAGATCAGGAAGTAGCAGATGTTTAAAAGCTCCCGTGAAGCGAGTCTTGGGATTTGAAGGATTCTGGCGTCGATCGAGTATTCAGGTGTCGATCACGGACTCAGCCCCCACCACAGCCACCTTCGCGACGAAGGAGCACCGCACCCACATCAAGCCAATCTCATCACGAACACAACTCGACGCGTCCTTTACCGGTCGTGCAAATGAGATCAGCGTGCGCATGTCTTCGGGCACACCATGCTCTTTGGCCCCACGACGATGGTTACGAATCTGGCTGACAATTCGCAGAGCGGCAAATCTGGAATATGCAGCACAAGGGCTTACATGTCATCGTGGGCCCTCATTGGGTGCTGCAGACGTCGGTGGACATAGGTCGTTATCTCCATGCTGTGTGACCGTCGCGCTGAAGGGACGGGAGCAGAATAAATTGCACCTTGTACACTGGGCTCCTGTCTGCCGAGACTGTCTTGTTGCACCTGTCCTTCACATAACCCTGCAGTAGTGGCGCGGGCTGGCTTGCGATGAAACTGAAACCAAGAGGTGCCGTCGTGGAGTTTGCTACACGCTAACATCACTAGCGTCCACGAGCCCGTTGCTTTGCTGACGCGGGCAAGAAGCCGTCGGTGTGAAAGCTGCGAGGTGTCAGACGGAGTTCACATCAAAACATCCATCGTTGCGGTCGTCACCTGCAGCCTTGGCATCGTGACCATCGATCGTCACATCATTGTCTGGGACAATCTGCACCTAGCAGTCATGATCCAATAGCACGTGTTGAGATCATCGCTCGAACTCAAGACGCCGTCACATGACCGCAGATGGCGGGACCCTCACGCCCGGGACTTGCCCCCGATACCCGTAATGGACGCTCGGTGAGTATCTAATCTCGTGCTTGATAAACTTTTGTGTGCCAGGGTAAGCTGACAACCATGGAGTTTCCACGAGCAAGCTTCATCCTGCCCAAGACAGGTGAGCGCTCGACCCGGAAATTCACATTACGTGAAGCATCGAGCCGATCCCGCGCTCATCGAGATGCTGCCGCTCTCTTCGGAGAAGACGGCCCTTTCGAAACCGACGATGCTGATGCTGGACGTCCCTTGACTCGGACGGAAATATGGAAGAAGAAAGCGCATCGGCAAGGTCTCCGAGCTCTGCATTTCTTGACCTCCCGGACCGGCAAGGCTATCCTGAAATGCTCCATCGCCTATGCTATTGGTAGCATGGCAACGTTCGTTCCGGCTGTCTCAAATCTATTCGGCCACCGACAGGATAGCAAGCATCTTGTGGCGACGGTGATTGTGTATTTCCATCCGGCGAGGACGATCGGCAGTATGCATGAGGCTACCATTCTGGCTACCATCGCTGTAGCCTATGCTGCATTCATCTCGTTCACCAGCATGGCTCTCTCAATGTTCTTCGGTGCCCATGGCTTACTTGCTTTCGGGCACATGGTCGTTTTGGTACTGTTCGTTGGAGGCGGGCTTGGTACGATCGCCTTGGTCAAGCAGCGGTTAGGGAACCCGCTGGTGAACGTCGCCGCTTCTCTAGCCTCGCTTGGATGCATCACGGTTCTCATAAAAGAAGGTTCGGTTCAAGCTGGACGATTCTCACATCAGAAAGTCTTGCAAATCTTGTGCATGGTCATAATGGGAATCATCATCACGACAGTCGTGAACTTCTTGCTCTTCCCAATCCTCGCTCGCAAAAGACTCGCTGCGGACATGACGCAGAACACAGACCTTCTCGGTGAAATGCTGGTCTCGATCACGAGAGCCTTTCTTCGTGGTGATGAGGAGGACTTGTCTGGCGACTACTACAAGCAGATGAATGCCGAGCATCAAGCTTCGTTGAACACCATGAAGCAGAACTTGCGTGAAGCGAAGATGGAATTCTTGGTTATCGGGAAAGAGAAGCTGTACGATCTCCAAGCACGCATCGTATCATGCCTTTCAGAACTGTCTCAGGACCTCGGTGGCCTTCACAGCGCAGCTAATGCGCAATTCTCCTTTATCAGCCAGACAGCATCGGACGGCGGTCTTGAACAGACAACAAATTTCAGCACTGGCAACTTTGTTACAAGTCCGACGCAGGAACTCACTCAGTACCCTGGCCTGGGTATTATATCGGAGAATGGCGAAGGAGAATCGCAATTGTCGAGTAGTGTATCCACGATCAGACATTTCAAAGACCCGAGGACCAACTGGACATCGTCACTGACCGTACCTGGTGTCGACACTCCTCCAAGGCTTACTATGGAATCTCCGACGCCAGAGTCGACAGATGTATACAACTCGACAAACCTCATGCAGAGCCCAGGCGAGATGTTCATTGCCTTTATCAGCCGTCTTGGGCCTCCAACAAAGTCTTTGGTGTTCACAATGAAGCAAATCTTAGATGAGTTGCCTTTCCGCGATAAGCCCGAATCGGCCGAGGGATGGAATCCATGGATCCACCGATCACTCGAAGTCGCCATAGATGAGCAATTGCATTCGAGTCTACGTCTCGCTGTTGAGATGTATCGGCAGTCTCGTATGGAAGCTCTTGCCGAGCTGCATCAAAGTCGAGCCATGAATGCTGCAATCAATGCTCAGCAGGGCTTGAAGTCCAAATTCGGCCAGCGTAGTGCTACCACGTCGACCGCGAACGATCCCAAAGCTGGTAAGACGCCGCCAGTTTCGCAATTCTACCAGAAGCAAGACGAGATCTTGGCCGATATCGAAGAGGTCTCGGCTTGCTGCGGGCATTTTAGTTTCTCGTTACTCGATTTTGCCGAGGATGTTCTAAACTATCTGGAGATCTTGCAAGAACTCAAAGCGGAAATGGAGGCTGGAAGACGCTCATGGAACTGGCTACAATTCTGGAGCCGGCATAGAGCTGCGGACGAACAGCCTCATGTCGCACCTCCAGCAATGCGAACTCACGGGATAGACAGTGAAGTCGGCGTGGAAGTTGCCGCGCACATCCGAAAGCTCGACCAATCCATGGACTCCTCGCGTCTGCCCAAGCCGTGGTACACCAGAGTCCACCGAGCTTTGCGAGTGCTGCGGCGAGATGACGTAGTCTTTGCGATCAAGGTCGGTATCGGTGCGATAATCTATGCATTCCCCGCCTTTCTTAATTCTACAAGGCCATTCTTTTCTCAATGGCGTGGTGAATGGGGCCTGGTCACATACATGCTGGTATGCTGCATGACGGTCGGGGCCTCCAACACGACCGGGCTCAATCGATTCGTCGGTACATTCATTGGATCGTGTCTGGCCATCGTGGCGTGGGTCATGTCAAGTCACCATGGAGTAGCCGATCCGGTCCTACTCGGTTTCTTGGGATTCTTGGTCTCACTCCCTTGCTTCTACATCAACATTGCGAAGAAGGACGGACCTTTCTGCCGATTTATTCTACTCACGTACAACCTCGGAGCGCTATATTCCTACAGCTTGTCCATTCACGACGACGACAACGATGACGACGAAGGTGGGATTGATCCCGCGATCTGGGATATTGTACTGCATCGATTTGTGTCAGTCATCGTGGGAGTCATTTGGGGTCTCATCGTCTCCCGCGTCATCTGGCCCGTAAAGGCCCGGCGCAAACTCACCGACGGTCTTTCCGTGCTGTGGCTACGCATGGGATTGATTTTTCGCCGCGATCCATTGATGACAATCATCCTCGGCGACCCAAACTCCCACTACATGGATATCCGTGAAGAATCAGAACTACACACCTTCCTTGGCACACTGAAAACCACCTGCAAAGCTGCAGCGTCCGAATTCGAGCTAGAGGGACCTTTTCCAAACGACATTTTCAATCGCACTCTTTCCCGCACCGAGCGCATGCTCGACGCCTTCCACGCCCTCAACGTGGTGATTCGGAAAAATCTCCAATTCACCCCCGGAGAAGCCGCGGTCCTCCGCTTCACGCGCGCCGAACGCATGAAGCTCTCCGCACGTATCTCCCATCTGTTCACCGTCCTCGCCAGCAGCATCAAGCTCGAGTACCCCATTAGCGATGCTCTACCAGATATCGAAAACAGCCGCGATCAGCTTCTTGCGAGGATCTCGGAGTATCGCCGTCATGGAGGCGGAAGGGAGATCACGACGGAGCAGGATTATGAATTACTCTATGCGTATGTCTTGGTCACGGGACAGCTGGCGCGGGATATTCACGCGATTGTGCCGGAGATTGAGACGCTTTATGGGACTCTTAATGAGGAGAACTTGAAGTTGGAATAGATTAAAAGCTATATGATTATTTCGCTAGCTCCGCCCTTCCACTTTGTATACATAGCTGCACTCATCGTCACATGTGGTGGTACATGAAAAGAGCGAGGCTGCTTAATACCTCTCCTCCATGTGTTTTGGGGCGGACTTTGCTCCGAAGACAGCCTGTGCATTGATTTGGGTATATAGTGGGAACAAAAATCCCGGCATCCAACCGCACTTATTCAGAAGTCGCGCGTACATATGTTTACGGTATGAACATGACTGTGAAGACTCAGGCAAGACTGCTCGGGGGTCTCGTGCAAATAGAAATGTGGAACGAACGTTTCATGGAAAAGATATGCACGCGTGTATATACCACGAGTCCGGCTCAGCAACCCTGCTCTCCCATCCAGTGACATTATGAAGGATGACTCCATCTCCCGCTCTGCATACTACCACCATCCCACATGAGCTCAAGCTTCCCGACGTAGAAGACGCTGCACAAAAATGTTCTTCCTCTTATCTCCTAGAGGCTATCATAACCAGCACTTCTCAACGCGATTCCTGTAGTTCCAAACGTACGCTCGTCAAAAATACCATAACTACCATTCACGGTATCAACTCCTGCTATCACAAATTAGCGATTTGCCGAGGACCTCGCGCACCCACTCCCACTGAAGATTATGGCGTTACCGCCCCTCGCAGAAAGTTTCGTGGGGCTCGCGACGAATGCAATGACAAGCAACGAGGATCTGGTTGATTCCACAGAATACATCTCACTCTTCCCGCATTTTCACAGCAAAATTCAGGCGGCAATGCTCTTAAGCGGAATCGTGTACAATTGGAAACCCCCATCGGAACAGCGCCTCATGCTTAGCTACAACGAGATTCCGATCGAAGGTCTTTTCGTATGCACAACCAAGAAATGCAATCTGCGACGCTGGCATAGCTGCAGCGTCCTCATGATCATCTGTATTTACGAGGGCTATTACTACGATGTGGCCATATGGCATCAAAAGTGCAAGATCTGTCGAAACTGGGGGAGGCCACTGCCGGTTGAAACTTCCTACGTACAGAAGGTCGTGTTTCAGCTGATGGTTTGGAACAATATTCCCGTGAAAGCACCTCCCCGTCGTCGTTCTCATCACACCACAAACCCCCATCTGGAATACCTTTGTGCTGTGTGTCTACTGGGAAAACGATGTCGTGCGGCGGAGGAGGCACGGCGCAAAGGGGTGACAGCTACTACCCTATAGCAGTGGCATGATCCCTGCTTTTGCCTACCTTGTTGAGACTTCGTGTGCTTTCCATCAGGATCATCCTGTGAAGGTGGAGGAGACTTTTCTCACGGAAGGAGGGCATGGTAATGAAACCCGACACACGGCGTACTATCGATAGGGTGTGGTGGCGCGATGCGGTAGCAATACAATAGCACAACTCACAAATTTGTTGGAACCCTATCTTCGGCGTGGATACACGTTCAGAGACATCTTGCGCTGGATATTCATGCATTTCTACCGACAGAAAGAGGTACCCCTTCGTCCCAATTTGGGATTCATCACCAATTCTGACGGTGAGTGTGGCGGTTGAACAAAAAGCCGAAAATTGGGCCACCTGAAAGGAATCTTGAGGTTCATGGCGATTGCTGCAGGTACGTATCAGGCGTGAGTTGTCTACGGAGCATCCCCCTCGGGACCATAAACCTGCATATCTCTCGCATACTCCCGGTTCTCTGCAGAGCGTCAGGGTGTTTGCACATTGACCGGTGCGGGGCATCACACGAAAGCCCTTGTTTGAGCTTGATACCTCCCTATACAACCCATCCTTTGGCTTAACGACTGTAGCGTGATTTGTCGAAACAAAGCGGAGCGCTCTCCGAACGACGGACCAACACGCTAGTCTAGTATAACCGCACGTCTTCTCTCATTCATTTTTGATGGTCCTGTGCAACAAATACGAGCGAGGCCAAAGATCTGATGGGATACTATTGCTATCGATACGTTATCCAATGTGTCGCCATGCAGAGCAGTAGAGGCCAACACACGGGCCAATGAAGCGTGCATGCATGTCCGCGGCATGCACCCAGCCCCGCGGCTTGGATAAGGTAATTTGGAAGTATTCAAATAAATTGTGCAGCTTCTACACCCACTTCAATGTGGTTCTGAGTCACAATCCTGGCAAAGCCGTAGGCGTGTGTAAGTATGCCCAACGATGATGTCTTCAAAGCGAGGACCGAGGACCGAGCGGTACGAGCAACACGCGCCTTTTTGACCAACAGGCCCCTGCTCTTCCAAAACACAGCCAGCCAATGCGACCAAGGATTGATACACATATATTGACGGTGTTCCCACACGTGAGCTGTATGATATCCCATCACATAGACTTTCACTTTATCAATTCTTCTTCCGCTCGCGTTTCACCCCCAATCAAGCTGCTTTGCCCAGGATGCCCGACAGACACTATTATTCCAGCGGCACAGCTGATTCTGTCGTCTCCCGATCGCCCTCGCGCTCTACCACTCAAAAGTCGACTCAGCCCCAAGCGCTCGTGCACCTGAAGAAGTTTATTGTTAGGTTCCCTGAGCACGACAATGCAGTCTCGGACGTTATCGAGTCTGATGGCCTTCACTATACCTGGAAGCCGCTGATGGAAGCCAAGGCCATGATCAAAGCACACCGTACCAAGATCGAGGGCGAATACGACTGCTCGTCGGTCAGTTGCAATTCTCGCAAATGGCACAGCTTCTGTCTTCCCGTCCACATCCGCCACTATGAAGGAAATCGCTACGATGCAGAAGTCTATCCTCAGCTCTGCCAGAAGTGTAACAACTGGGGGAAGCCCAATCCATATACCGAGTCGTACGTCAAGAGACTGTCGGATTGCCTGAAATACTGGAACTATATCCCTGTTGAGCGCCCGCTGCGCCTCAACCACACAGTCGAGCCTCATCAAGAGCGTTTGTGCGGTGCCTGTCTTTCTGGCCAACCTTGTCGCCGGGCCCGTGAGTACTTTGACCTCGATTTTCGCCCCGAGGATCATTGAGCGGCTCGAGCTTCGCTCCGGGCATTGGTCGAGGATTAAGGCGCAAACTACGTGGAGCACACCATGAGAATTGATATACATCACCTCGATGTGGAGGTGATGGACGCCACTGCTCGGAGTGTGCTTGACGCGGCGTGCGCCTTAACATTCGACCTGTTTCTGTGACCGAAACTCGTTGCGGTTCACCGTTGGGTATGTCATGTTGGATCAGATCATTGTTGGCGATGACTTGGAACTTGAGCCCGATTTTCAAAATCATGCTCGAAAGGGTGTTCGGCTTCTTGTCAAATGAGTGCATACGCCCGGGTTGGCTCGTCAGCTTCATTTCCTTTGTAGTACACGTATCCAACGGCTCTTCAGCTTTTCTTTTGTAGCAAACTATCCCTTCACTTCCCAAAATGCCAAGAGACGTAGAACGCACGAATCATGCTTGATTGTAACATAGTTTTCACTAGCGATAGCCTTCCATGATTTGCTTCTCTCATCCCTTGCTCCGACTGTAGCCTATTATATGATGTCCCTGCTTCTGAGAGTAGATAGGAATGAGCATGATATCAAGCTACGCAGCCGTAAAAGGAAACAAAGAGGGGCATGCAACATTACACTTCAAAGTATCATAAGACGTTCGACTTCAAAGCCTATCTGAATACTTACCAGACTCTTTCTCTCTCATCATCGAATCTAGTTCATATCAGAATCTGCAATCATGCCGAAAGAGTTCAAAGACTCCACAATGTGGCCGGAGCTCCACGAAGCGGTTTCGGGCGAGATCGAAGAGTACAACCTCTACTACGCCTTTCAACACAAGAACCGTGACGCGCGATGTATTGACGACTGGGACACCAACATCATGGGCCGCTTTGGATGTCCCAACGAGGCGTGCCGCTCAACAGGATGGAGTAGCAAGAAGATCGCCACCACCATCCGTCACTATCCCAACAACAGACACAACGCCAAAGTCTGGTATCAGCGCTGCAAGAGATGCGACACCAAGGGCGTCATCACTCTTAACGTCGAAAGCTACGTCGAACGAGTCGTCTATTGGCTCAAGAGATGGAATGATATTCCCACGGAGAAACACTATCATTCGGGCGCAAGCAAGGGCCCTCATCTGCGAAAGTACTGTGAGGGATGCAAAGCGGGTCGTTGTGCTGCAGCTGATGCTGAGGACCTCGCGAACTTGATGAGTTCTCTCAAGTGGGACTGATCGTGACACAAACGACAGCGATTCATTGCTGTCCCAGGAGATAGCCAACTGTGGAACGTATGGCTAACGGGCTGACCTATTATGTCTGTTGACTTGAACAATCACAACAGACCGATGTTGCCGCTCGTGATTGATGGGCGTTTCACATCGCGTTGGTGTAAGCTGGAGGTAAACCGGAAATCATGTTGGCAATCGTCAAACACGTCAACGATCTCATCCGTAGCAGAGCCGTATGATTATGATTTGAGTTGATGAAACAGTGATGATCCCGCCATGACGCATTGGCGTATGCGTTTACCTTTGAAAGGTGTCGAATGTCGAACGCTGCCCAGGTACACGTGCAAGGCAGCAGTCTCGACATGTCACTTGTTTACCATATATGACATGCTTCACCTCGATTTTTTTGCCGTGAAGTCACATTTTCCCTCCAAGCTGTCGATTCCATCGATCTACTTCCGCTCTCTACACTGCAGAATCATACTCATACTGGACTTCTCGCACTACCACACAAAACGATCCATTACAGTCAGAGTCTCGCCAGCAGCATCGCTACCAAAATGGCTTCAAAGTGGTCTCGATCAAAAAAGCCGCGCAGAGCGGGATTCGCACGTGAAGTCCTAGAAGTCAGTCCCGGACAAGGAAAACGCTGGTCGGTATGGCCAAGGTGCCTCGATGACATCCAGCAGTCTTTGAGACTCGGACTCAAATACACCTTCGAGCCTTCGCGCTTGGCTTCAGGACGTACCGACATTTGCGAGACGTTGCTGAAGGGAAGCTTCAAATGCACCAACGTCAAATGCTCGGGCAGATTCTGGACCACTGGAGGCATCGCCACGAACATACAGCGCTATTCTGCCCGACGCCAGTTCAACGTGACGATCGAACACCAGAAATGCGGCAGGTGTGGTAAATTCGGCAGGCCAAGTCTAAACAAGCATGCCTTCATCAAAGTCGTCTCTCAGTGCCTCCGATTCTGGAACGGTCTCGCGGATGAGCTTCCTTTCCGGGCCAAGAAATTCAACAACAAGTCCCGTCATCACGCCAGGTTATGTGGCGGTTGCAAAAAGAGCACCTGTCATGAAGGGCGCCTAGTCAAGCCTGAAGAATTTGACAAGCACGACATTGAATTCGAATCCGAAGACTCTGATGGGTCTGAAGACTGTGTAGACTTTGTAGACCCTGAGGATTTTATCAACGTCCAGCGCAATTTCATCAATGCCATTGGTACCGGGTCCAAGAAACCAATGAATGAGCAAACGACCTGATGCTCCCGTCCAGCGTTCGCATCGCGGCTGCGCGGTCGGGATACTTTTTTGAGATCGGTTTGATTGATTAGAGTGTTATTCACGAACGCGAGTCCAGACCCTCATCTACTCAAGTTCAGACGATGCATGCCCAACTTGGCTTCTTGCCTCCTTCACCGGGTAAGACCTCCACGAAATCCTCGCCAACCGTCCCACCGACGCGCTCTGTTCTGACATCTTTTCCACTCACGGGCTTTGTTCTTTTCATCAAAAAAGCACACCATTAGCATACGTCGCTCTTATAAAAACCCCCAAGAACAAGCCAGAAACGTACGAGATTTTCACCATGCCCTCTTCGAATTCACTGCCTTTGTCCAGAACGTCGACAGTCCTCACTCCCTTCGAATTGTCGGGTTGATCGCTCGTAGTCGATGATGATGATGATGGCTCGGGCTCTCCATTCCCGCGCTGGAAGTATTTGAAGAAGGAAGAGAGGATAGTTGATTGATTGCTAGGAGTCATCGCTCAGAGCTTCGCGGAGGATGATTGCCTCGATATTATTTCTGTGTTATTTCTGATCGCGAAAAGGCTGCTTGTGAATACCGAATATCTTGCGAATGTTCATGCGATAACGATGGGGGGGAATTTGCGCGACAAACGAGACGTCGATAGCAGAATTATCAACTTCGTCAACAGCGCTGTGCCTTCCATGTGATCTTGAATGCCTTTGCTCTTCCTCCACGAACGTGACCCAGGCTTCGAGTAATGATTCACAGAAGAGCAAGAGCTGCTTGCAGCACGTTACTACTCTCACCGGTGAAGCGCAACAGAATTGTTCGTGACTCTGGGACAGGTGCTCATGATGGATGAAAGAATCAGTTTTTCGATTCGGGTATGTAAAAGCACTCTCTGCCCGGGGTATCAATTTGCTTCCCATCGCATTCCTCAAACGCCAAGATCAATAATCGGAAGCAGAACACCTCCCAAGTCGTACTGTCGTAGGCAAAAGGAAAAAAAAGAGGTTCATTAATCAAGCCCATCCCGCAAAATCTCCACTCATGAATCACGCCTCCAGGGTTTGCAGGATCCGCATTAATCATCGACGCGAGCGATGCTGTCCTTCGACTTGCGCATCTGCGTCGCCATCTGCGGCGTCCACACGCCCATGAACAGCGCCTCGCACTCATCCTCATCCTGGCTGTCGAATTCCACGTCGTCCTCTACCAGACCACCTTTCCCAGCACGGCCCTCAGCAGGAGGCATCTCATTGGGCGCGACGGCGGAACTCCTCCTTCTTTCATCCCTCGACGAAGGATTCGTCCTCGCCACTGCTCCCTCGTCGACATCGTCCAACGCCCACGACCCATCCCGATAAACCCGCTTTGCCTCCAGGATGAATTTGCCGACCTTATACCGTTGACTCTCCTGTTCCGCGGCGACGTATTTCCATCCGAGACAAGCGCCGCAAGTGCGGCAGTGGACGTCGCTGACCGTGTGTGCGCCGGTGACGAGTTGGCGGGGCACGGGGCGGTCGGTGAAGGTATTGGGGAGGTTCGGGAGGGCGGCGTTGAAGGCTCGCGCATTGTTGGAATTTACTGGGAGGGACATGTCGATGAGGGACGACGGGGAGGTGGAGGGTGCGACGAGGTAGGCTCGTCCGTGCCGGCCGGTGAAGCCTTTCGAGACGATCTGCGAGGTGAAGGCTAGGTCGGAGAGGCAACGGCTACAGCGGAGGTGGGAGGTCGTGTTGGTGAGGTAGGATGTCGAGGGTGGTGAGTTGTTGCTGGAGACGCTGCTTGCGCTGCTCGATTGGCGGCGGCGGAAGGGTATGGAAGGGACGAGGTAGGTGGGAAACGTCGGGAAAGTCATTTTTCTCAGGAGTATGGATGGAATGCGCTTGTAGATGTTGATCTGTGAGGCGTCGCAATGTCCTGTCGACCCTTTCTTGCTTCGAGACCTCGCCGTCACGGTGTCTCAAGAATGGAAATCAACCTCGGGCGGTGTCGCTGTGATCTCGGCAGTGGTGAGTGTCACGAGAAAACGAGAGTCTGACGGTTGTGTTTGCGCGTACGCAAAATCCCCGAAAGTGCAGGCGTGCGTGTGTTTGTATTCAACTCAACGATGACCTACCGGGAATGCTGCAAGATGTTGTTCTACTCTTGCGCAACTGTACAATGATAAGAGGCGAGGACGCGAACATCGGCGATGATCGATGCACGAGGTCAGGCTCATGCATGACCGAAAGCTTATACTCACCCATCAGATACTGGATGATGGAGAGAGGGTCCCAAAATGCACCAGAGAGGCATTCAAGTGTCAGGTTGGGTCAGCTGCTGACGGTCCACGATAGTGAACAGAAACAGCGCCCGGGCGGACCGGAGTCATCTGATGATGGTGAATGATGTTGTGGAGGGGAATACCTAGATAGTGGGAGATCCTTCGTTGGCTAGAGCCGCATGCGGACAAGTCAGCGCATGCCCGCCGTTGTTGCCGCTGTATGTATGCCCTGATTTAATCCGACCTTCCCCCATCACACACTACCACCGGGCATGTCGCAAGAGGGCGGACCTCGAATACAGCACATACAGTACCTGGGTACAGTAGGTATCCAAAGTTCGTTGACGGACATCGTCGAGGTCTGTCACTACTGTACTACACCTCGCAAATGTCTCTTCCGACCTCACCAGTGGCATGCCAAAGTAAATATGAAAGCAATGTGAGATCCATCACTCTGAACGTTCAGATCCAGAGAGGGAGACGGGACGTCACCGGCGCACCTTATCGCACTGTACATTCGTCATGATACTGGAGATAAGCGGGGCAGCAATTGGCGGCTTGTTTCGCCCAAGCAAGTGCCGACCCTAACGTTTCATCCGCTCCAGCTCCAGGGCTGTGACGAAGTAGTTCGCAGCTCGGTGTGGAGGTCACGCACGAGCCACCCAGGAACGCGTCTTCCTGCGCCGAAAAGTCCGAGGGAGCAATGCTTCGATAAGTCATGTTCCGATAGATCGGTGTCATTCAAGATGAGTGCGCCATCATTGCTTCGACACGCATCGCTTGTACCGTCAGTCGTCCGGTTAGCATCTCGATCCTCAAGACCCCGCCCATGTATCGTTGCGAAATGGCTCGGCAGTCGTGGCCTCACCACCGCGCCCGACCATCTCCAGGACGCCGTACCACTTCGGAAACATCTCAAGGATGAAGCAAAAAGGAAGAAGTTGGAGTCACGGCACGCTACTGGCCAGAAAACAGATGCTAGCTCCCTGAGAAAAGATGCCGTAGATCCGCTGTTGGAAAAGTGGGAATTGACGGTGGGGATTGAAATCCACGCGGAATTGAACACGGCTTGCAAGCTATTTTCTACGGCGTCTGCGTCGGCTCCTGCTGGGGCGGAAGAGGAGGGAGATGTAGCCAATGCTCGCGTGGCATTGTTCGATGCGGCAATGCCTGGCGCACAACCACAATTCCAAATCGCAACGCTATTGCCAGCGATCAGGGCTGCGGTGGCATTGGGCTGTACAGTGCAGCGCAAGAGTGCTTGGGACCGGAAACATTACTTCCATTGGGATCAACCAAATGGATATCAGATCACGCAGTATTATGGTCAGTCATGACGAAGGAACGTGGACCTGGTTGACTGGCGCTGACGCTTGACACAATTACAGATCCGTTTGCGAAAGACGGAAGCATCACTCTGACAGCCGATGATGGCGTCCCACAATCGGACCTGAATGGTGCTGACTCTCTCACAATCGGCATCAAGCAACTACAGATGGAGCAAGACACAGCCAAGACGACTCATCATCCACCTGCAACGTACCATATCGATCTCAACCGATCGGGTCATCCGCTTGTCGAGATCATCACTCTCCCGCAAATCCATTCGCCACAGACTGCTGCTGCTGTCGTACGGAAGATCCAGGCAATCCTCAGAAGCGTCGACTCGTGTGTGACTGGAATGGAATTCGGAGGGCTCCGAGCGGATGTAAATGTGTCAATTCGCGAGCGAGGCACAGATGGCACTGCATCAAGCTATGCCGGAGTCTCTGGTCTTGGTCAGCGCACCGAAATCAAAAATCTGTCATCGTTCAAAGCTGTTGAGGACGCCATTGTCGCTGAAAGAAATCGCCAGATCGGCATTTTGGAGGCCGGCGGAGTGGTTGCGGGAGAGACACGTGGTTGGACGCTTGGTGCTGCGGAGACGACTCGTCTGCGTGGAAAAGAAGGCGAGGTGGACTACAGATATATGCCGGATGCGGACCTGCCACCGTTATTGATCAGCCCCGAGCTCGTGCAGCATTTGAAAGAGACACTGCCTGAGTTGCCCGATCAGACTGTGACTCGAGTTCAGAGTGCCTACGGATTGAGCCTGAAAGATGCGAAGACGCTGGTGATTCTAGATGATGGTGACAGATTGGAGTATCTTGAGGAAACAGTGGCGCTCATCCTCGAACGAACTTCGGCTCCGTCGCCATCCCACCAAGACAACTCCACAGATGCCACACAGCATTTCGGACGCATTACCGGCAACTGGATCCTCCACGAGATCGGTGGTCTGCTCTCCACCGACTCTTCCTCCTCCGACGGGACCTCCGACACCTGGGCGACCCTCACAATCACCCCGACCGAGCTCGCCGCCATCCTGCTCGAACTCCACCACCACCAGACCATCACCACCCGCGCCGCCAAATCTCTCCTCTCGACCTTGTACCCCACCCCAGCCGGTCCCTCCCGCCCCACCGTCGAGCAACTCATCCTCGAAGGCAACATGCGTCTCCGTCAACTCTCCGATTCCGATTATGAACTTCTCGGGAAAGCTATCATCGACCAAAGCCCGGATATGGTCAAGGCGGTGAGGAAAGCGGCTAAGGCCGGTGGGAAGAAGGCTGAGGGGAAAATTATGTGGTTTGTTGGGCAGATGGTCCGCAGAGGCGAGGAGGAGGGTGGTAGGGTCGAGCCGGAGAGGGCGAAGGGTGTTGTGGGGAGATTGTTGGTGGAGAATGATGAATAGAGAGCGTAATCTGCCATTGATCGTGCTGCAGAGCCAACACAAGCTACCTGATGTCAACGGGATCTCGACCAACCGAAGTCTGCGAGTCGTTTCGGATCGAAGGGCTCTCTCTCTTGATGCAGCAGATACTTCCGTATTTGAAGCGGCGTCGAAACGATATGGTGGAGCGGCGGATGGAAAAGTGTCACCGATGTGGGAAAGCCCTTTCACTGGTGATCAGGGTGTGGGTCGGCCGCCCTGCAATTTCACTTGCCGTGGTACCCTGCCTCCGACGCATATTTACAAAACAAATCTGCTTCACATCAAAGTTCTTGACTTCTTCCTCCCCTCAACATGCAACAGCCTTCAATCGTATCCGGGCTGCAACCGGCAGTAATCGACATATTGCCATGGCGCCGACGATAGCTGAGTTGGAGCAGCACCGCCAGAACTTGATGATCGAATACAACGGTTCGTGAGAAAAGCCGCCGTTGATGAACCTCAAACTGAAGATTAACGCAGTGACCAAACTGGTCAATACCAGCATGGAGGTCAAGCTGGCTGGTCAAAAAGGTATCGGCCTCTTCGCTAAACGAGACATATCATTCTACGACTGCACCGGCACCAAGAACCCGTACGAAGAGCAGCCTCTTTTCGTCGTCAATCAATCCTTGTCGTCTGTCAACCAATGGACGATCCAGGAGAAGCTCAACTCCTTGAGGCCAATCGACCTACAAGCACTCGAGCACGTTCCTGCAGTCCAAATCCTCGACCGCAACTCGCTGCTCGGGCTCTTTCGCGCTACCGCCTTCGCTCTGAGTCATCGCAGCGTGACGCCCTTCTACACCATCTACGCCCTCGCGAACCCTTCTTGTACTCCTACCATCTTTTTCTGTGTCCATCCCTTCGCCATCGGACTTTTTGTCTTCATGGAATGCGACGTGAAGGCCGGTGACGAGCTCTGCTACGCGTACACCGCCAGCGTAGCATGTATGACCACTGCAGAACGCCAGGAGTTCTTCAGCGATGCTCGTCACATCGACGCCTTCACCTGTCGTTGCGAGCTCTGCAGCGCGCCGCCGGATCACATCAGACAGCTCAGCGACATGCGACGCTGCGCCATGCGCCACCTTCTCTACCTTCTCAAGGGCTGTGATCTTCCGGACGTCCCGCGCCGGATTCCCCGCATGAGGAGAGACCCACCTGGGAGCAAGCTGCGGGTCTGGCACAATTAGCTGTACAGATTGCTGGCTGAGGCGGAGAAAGTCTGGCCTCTGGCCAGGTCGTTGAATGGCAATGATGGTTGGGCACCCCGGGATCAGGCTATGTTTCGGAGTCTGTGAGATTGGATACGCATTTTGCGTTTGCATATTTGTTTCTTGCGATCGAGGCTCGCGATCGAGCGATGCTTCGGGTGCTTGTCTAAAGCGTCATGTCTGTTTCAATGGACTAGGCCTCGTTGCAAGCCAGATGGATGGTTGAAGACTGCTAAAGAAATGCTTGAAGTTTTCAAAAAGCTCCACTCTGCCACCGTCGCCATGCCATTCAACCAACTCGTCAGCAACGCGGATATTACGCTTTGTGCTTTTCTGAGATCTGACCAAGGCACTGGCCGTGATTTATAATTGTCGACACCACCAAGCGGTGAATGCCAGCATTGCAGGGCCTTTTCACTTCCGATACAGGACACGACACGCTACAGAGCATGTAATGTATGTGTAAGGTGAATCTCGATTTCCCTTCCTAGATCATGGGTGAAATGATACATGCCTTCAAGCTCCTTGTAAACGATTCTAGTATTTCAAGTGAAGCTAGGAGAGCGGCGACTACCTGGGCACGCAGACTCGTGCTCTGCTCTTAGATTTGATAGAAACATACACCGAAGTCTTGGGAAATCTGCCTGTGTGTAGCCTTCCGCCTCCTCTATTCCAAGGTGGACGCGCCCCTGGCTGCGTCGAAAATTCATACCTGGATCCATCACCAACGCTTTTCACTTGTGCGATGATGCCTGGTCGATACGCGTGACGCGACGCTGACGCTTTCTTCTACGAGGGCGGACACTCAAACGCCTAGGTACTTCTGAAGCTCGAACAAATCTGGATCATTCACATTGATGTTGCAACAAGCGAAGTCACCCGTTCTCGCTCGCTTCCCAATCACGCACAATCACCATGTCACCATCGATGGGCCAGCTCAGAAGGTTTCACGGAGAACTTGCTAAAGACTACAATGGTTTGTAACGACTGAGATTCCATGTTGAAATCAAAGCTGACGAAACGCACAGCCTCGACGCTTGTCGGTACGGGTCTGGAAGTCAAATTAGCTGGCCAGCAGGGCGTAGGTCTCTTCGCAAACAAGGCTATGCGTACGCAACGACTGCCGCTGTACGATTAACCTGCCCTCGTCACCATCAAGCAGAAGGGTTCGAGCGTAGAGACAACGAGACTCTGCGTCTGGCCGTCAAAGAGCTTCATCCCGCAAAGCAAGGTGAGTTCAAGTTATTGCCAGTCAGAGGAGATGTCGATCGAACGAGTCTGCTCTCCATCTTCCGCGTGACGGCATTTTGTCCTCTATCTTTTCTCTCGTCCTGCTACAACATCTTCGCGACGATGAATCCCTCCTGCCGCCCCAATCTCCACCTGCTCCTCCACCAAACCAAAAACTACGACTTCGCCATCTTCCTCGTCAACGATGTCAAGGCAGGAGAAGAGCCATGGAACACCGAGACGCACAGCATATGCTGCATGACAACCGCCCAACGGCAGGAATTCTTCACTGATCCCTGCTCTCAATGGCCTTACCAATGCCGCTGCGAGCTCTGTACTGCACCTCCCTCCGTCCGCCAGATCAGCGACCGCCGTCGAAATTTCATGCGTCACTTGCATTATTTAATCAACGGGAGGGATCTTCCGGATGCTCCACCTACCATCCGAGGCCTGAGGGCTGACGCTCCTGGTAGCAGGCTTCGGGCCTGGCATAAGGACATGTTCGACAAGCTCGCCGAGGCGGAAGGCACGACGTGGATGACGCACACTCTGAAGTGAGATTCATTCCCACTAAGGAGATTTCGGCGAGTATTTCAATTGTTACGATCGGGGAAGTCGAATGGTCCATTCGCGGGATTCGAGTTGCTGCATGTGTGTTGCATCGATTGAACCCTGATGCCCGGCAGATTTCCTCTAGACCCTGCCGAAGAAACACAGAGGCTGCAGAGAGGACTATGAGAGACAGTAAAGTTCATCTTGATACATCTTGTGAGCTCATAAAAGCTCACGCTGAATCTGATATATGTTTCGTACTCCTGCATTCTGCAACAAGGTATCGACGTATCCAAGATGTAACGATCCTGCGTGATACCCCCTGAATTCCAAAGCGCACAAGAGACTGACCTTCGAGCTGCTAGAACTGTATGATGAACGACAAATACAATCGCATTCGAATAAACTTTTCAAATTATCTGTATTTTTTCACAAACGCTCTACATACTGTGCAGTTGGTAAATAGTGCCATGAGGTACCAATCCTGGGTCTCCAGCTACATTGTTTGCTAGTTTCCCGACCTTGACGCAAACATCCGGCAGGCTGCATTCTTGAGAGCTGCCTGCAATTTAACCTCTCTCCCTTTCTTTCCCAATTCGAGCATGTCATCCCTCCAAGTAATTCCGTCACATCGGTGTGGCTCAAACTACAACTAAACTGGAGCAGCGCCGTCGAAAATTGGTAGCAGGAAACAGCGGTCAGTGGAAATAATCATGCCCGTGACACTGAACTTCGCAATGTCAGGCGACTATCGCATCTATATCATGTCACAAAAGCCTCGCGATAACAAGCAACTCAGGAATTCCAGAGGTCAGACATAATCTCTCAATAGTGCCATAGGACTAGTAAGTCATGCACAGAAATGGGCATAGACATTGGGCGACGATTTCTGGGAACACAAATTTCGTGTGCTGATTCCTGTGACGTACACTGATATCTGATAAACAAACATCGGACGCCGTGGACGACGAGTTTGTACGTGTGAAAGGCTCCTTTCCTTTCACTTGCTCGGTGGCGCTGCTAGGTCATATTCCTCCAAGATATTCAGGATTGTGCGTCGCACATCAAATCTGGGAAAACGATGCCATTTCCGTCATCTGCTTCTACCATATTTCCCGTCAAATTCCGATTCCTTTGACGATCGAAAAAGCGACTGAAACGTAACGGAAGTTTGATACCAACTCTCTATCATCAACGAATGAGAATTGGCTGCGTAGATTCAACGCCGCCATCTTCGCCATCATTTACAAAGCAGGCAGCGGCGGTGATCATGGCTCCCACGGCAAAAAAGCTGAAACTGTTTCGTCGAGAGATCGCGCAAGATTACAACGGTCGGAGTAACCGCATCAATCCTCAAAGGGCGCCAGACTGACATGATGCCTAGCAACCAAACTCGCTACGACGGTCATAGAAGCCAAGCTCGCCGGCCAGAAAGGTATCGGTCTGTTCGCCAGACATGACCTGATCGCCGCAGACTTTCTCAAAGGGGGCTCCATACCATTCATGTACGAGGAACCCGCCATGTTCACCCTCGACCAGCCATTTCGCACAGTCCGCGAACGCGACCTCCGCAAGAAATTCAAATCGCTCACTACCGCCCAAACCCATACCTTCGTCCATCTCCCAACCATCACGCCCACAGATCGCACCTCCTTGAAGGAAATATTCATTGACACCATAGTCGGCGACTTTCTGAACTTCTCGTCCTGCTTCGTCGTCTACAGCCTCATGAACCCTTCATGCACACCCAACACCCGCATCATGGTGAACACCTTCACGCACGACATCGCGCTATTCCTCGGAAATGACGCTTCGGCTGGAGACGAGCTCTGCTATCCCGTCACGCACAGCTTATCATGTATGACGACGGCGGAGCGCAGAAGTCATCTACAGCAGAGCCAAGGTAACGGGATTTTCGTGTGTGGCTGTGCGACATGCCGTCGGACGAGATCAGGAGAACCAGTGATCTGAGGAGATGCGTTATGTGGCATTTGCTGTACTTGATCAAGGGTTGTGATTTGCCTGATGTCGAGCCGACGGTCCCTGAGTGGAAGCAAGATTTGGTTGGCAGCAGGATCTGGGAGTTATATCTTGAGTTGTTTGATCTGTTGGCGGAAGCAGAGCGTGTTGCGTGGTTGGTGCCGTATCTGAAGTGATATCTCGACACTTATGCAAGAGAGTGCCCATCGATTATCAGTGGTGCACGCATAAAGAGGTCATTGTCTTGCTGTAGCTATATTGTCCAAGTCCCGAGAGCACTTTGCACTTGCGGGCTAGACTTCGTCAAGTATCGACAAGAGCAGACAGCCAGAATTGTAGTAGATGAAAGCAGACCCCCAATATTTGAGCGACTATGAACGGTACCCCAGACATATGCTTTGCAACGATAAAAATGCCGGACCAGCCAGATAGTTTCTCTAGATCATGTCGATCCTGGTGACAAGAACTTTGCCATAGGACTTATGAACGCCTCGTGAAGCATGCGGCCATGGCCGAGGTAATCGACTCGGTCCGAAGCAAAGCAATTGCTTGAAAATGGTGACGATATGTAGTACTGGAAATAAATGCAACGCCATGTGTAAACTGCCTCTGAAAACTCCGACCCAGGGCCTGGGCGAATCACAGGAATAGTCGGGGTTCGAAGAGTGTCAGCTTCCCCACACGACTGCCACACGACTGCCACATGGCGTTCTGGTGGCGTTGCTTACACGGAACTTTAGATCATGAACCAATCGAGACTGACATCAGGGCTTCTTCAATGCGGCATCGCAAACTACTCCTCGGCAATTAAATACGAATGCTCAATTGAAATGGCTGCATCTACGATGAACCGATCGGAAGGAGAAATTCCATGTACGGCTTCAGTTTGGGGGCATCCCCATTTGCCATATGAGCGCAGTGAAGCGGACAAGCCCAGATGTGAAAACGCGATCACGGAAGATATCGCTCAGCTATATAAAGGTGCTCTTCTCCGGCCCCTGATCATCCTCCGGTCACAAAACTACAATCGACAACCATGCACGCACAGATCCTCGACTGTCTCGCCCTTGCGAGTCTCTTCGTGACCGTGACCGCTGGCGCCGCCCCACCAGCGTACAACAAACCTACCACGAAGAAGGCTGGTACATGGACATACTACTCGACCAGCACCGTCACCACCACTGTTCCCACCGTCACCTGGCCATATCAAGCATACGATGATCGACGGATCACCGTGACGAACAGCAGTACCGTGACCAACACGTACACCCAATATGATTTGGCGGTCTATGACTTCACGGCAACGATCACAGAGACTAATACCTGCTGGCACGACCATAGTCAATCCTTCTCCAGCTACCACGAGCATCTCAACCACGACGGTTCCGGTAGGTCGCACATCCGATGTCTCCCAACGACTCGTCCCTCCGAAGGAAGTCTGAAGATGCTAATCAACTGTCTCTCACTGAGATCCCCGCCAATTTCACCCCAATCTTGTCTGAATTCCCCTATACGGCCAGCTTGAAAAATATCTCTGTGGGCGAGACAACCACGATGGGTTCAAACGTCGAATATACCGCGGGTACTTCGACGTTAACCCTCACGGGCACAACCACCATCGGACCTCAATATATAGACCAGTAGTTTACCATCGCCAAGACCCTGACCGTGACGACAGCAGCGTCGTTGTCGTCGACAAATCGACAACCGTGACCTCGACCCGGCTCACGCTCCCCACGCACCACGCAATCTGCGATGAGACCTCGGGAAATTGTGAGTTGCTCCCTCTCCCGCAAGTTGGATAAATCACATCCTCAAGTAAATGCCTCCCCTCTCCCTCACAGAAATCGACCACTTCCCCTTCCCGGCTCCCTTTGGCGTGACCGCGTACAACTACTACGGCGGCAATCAGTCCGTCGGGGACACGCGGCCTTACACGCCCCATCCGGCGGAGTTCGATTTCGTTGAGACCAAGCTCGTCGCGGAAAAGGTCGCGTGCTGCAATTTCGCCATGACACAGGGCCTCGCGGCGTTCGGTTACTGGATGCCTGCGGACGTATACGGGCAGCCACGGTGCTACGTCTTCAACGTCAAGGACAAGAAGCGCTGCCAGCCGCAAAGGGTCCAATTCACGCTGTTGGATGGCAGTCGCAATTCGGCCAAGGGCTCGGGTTATTTCGCCTTGTGAGTTCTCTGCCTTTTTCTCCCTTTCCCTCGCTCTATCCGCCTGGCTGAACGAAGACTCTATCATCTGACTCGGATTGTGTCGCAGTAACGGAAAGTGTGGTCAGATCGTACCGGATCAGCATGGTTATAGTTACTATGATAAATGATCGATGGCAATGACTATTGGTCTTATATATATTTGCACACGTGCGCTCCATAAGCTTCGGCTGATAAAGGCGATCACCGAGCATTTCTCCAAATAAATATCGCGGCCTGAGATGCAGCCGAATCTCTTCGCGTTCGACTTGACGACGATTAATCTCGTCAGGCGCCACGCCAGAGGCAATCACGACCTTCTTGCATCAATAATATACAATGTATACTAAAAGTGGGCGAAGATGGAAATACGGCTTATTACGACTTTCACTTTTTGCAACGACACCTTTCCTTTCAATTTTGAGCCCAAGAAGGTAATCCCGAATACTAAACCTGCATATAAAAACGGCATTGAGCCTTTAGTGATCAAATTGGTCTGACATGTCATATACGCCTAGAAAATTCCTCGTCACCTCCGGGGGCCACATGTGCATACCTGGTGTTGATTTGATGAGTAATTGATAAGGTGGGATTGCGGAAATAATTCCGACACGATGTTCACCTGAGGGACTGCCCATGCACGAACTGTGCGGTCACAGGACAGGCCCCAGACGCCGTCGGATTGTTAGTGATGAATGGTAAGCGCCAACGCGAGACTAATGTAAGATGAGCTATAATCGTTACGCCTTGGCATATTGGTCCACGTCAACGGTGATGTTGGTTTCTGTGAGGTGTTAAAGGTTACGCCGCACTGCGCCGTAATCGTCTCATTCAGCGCCCCACTTCCAACAACGGTCCATCAAGTGACTGACAGTCCGAAGGGACTCGCTCAGTTTTGAGGCCGAGTCATGAGGGGAGATGTAATCATCCGTGTTACTGGCCCACTTGCGGACAGCCTGCTCGGTACATCTCACATGAAAGACTAGGTTTCCAAATCTAATCTGCGTTTGACATATCCTGCGGACGACCTCCTCTAACCTCTGTACAATGTCTTATCGCTTGGCAACCAGAAGACTCATCGTCAACGCGCAGTCTCGCTGCAAAGATGTCGCATTTGCTGAGTCTCCCAGCGGAACTCATCGTGCAGATTATGTGCGAATGCCCCGACATCAGATCACTGCTACATGTCGCATCCACATGCCGAAGCATGCAACAAGTCTGGCTTGACAACACCGCCATCATCGCTTGTTCAGTGTTGTCATTCACAATGTCGGAGCTATTGGAATATGTGGAAATATTCGGGCTCCAGACAGACGCTATGCCACAGCAATCATGTCAAATACAGAGCCGTGATCTCAATCCAGAAATCCGCACACATCTGTCTTTCATTGAGCGCTCAGCATATGCAGTCACAGCCATTCGCGAGTCTCGTATGACGAAAGTCGGCGAAGTTTCTCTGAACTCATCCGAGACGAGCTTCCTCGCTCCCAACAACGGCCCACCAGATGCCCGTCAAGGATTTCTGATCATCCGACGACTTGTCACGGGTTATGATCACATGTCCCTATTGTCGAAGGCATACGCTTTCTTGCATGGCATCCCAGTGGACCACATTCATGGATTACTTGATGTTGCTAGTGCACTCGAAGAACATTGCGAGAGCCACTGGACACGCATGGGTATAGAGAGGCAGGAACCAGGACCGGCATATTGGCAGGACAAGTTGTTTCCAAAGAACAACTTCCTGCCCCTGTCGTGGGCGTTCGCGGTCCACGTGGTCGAGATGGAATGTAGCTGGCGCGGTGTTAACCGCGAGTTCCCAGTCGAAGAGGGAATCCAGCGCGAATACCAGTTTATGCGCGATGCATTTGGCAGAGAGAGGATGCTTGCCATGTTCGGCGAAGATAAGCCTCCTTGGACCGAGCGGAGATGCACGATCCGCAAGAAGTGGCTAGAGAAGCATCCCACCGAGCCGGACATGGGGATGATTGTAGGAAGTAGCAGGAGTGTTCACCTCATGACATCCGATAGACTCTCCTACGTCAAGTAACATACAACAGAAGTGCGATCGAGGGGGGAGGTTCAGGATGATATTGTCTTACGGGATCGTGAAAACATGTGTTCGGTGTCGTGTCGGCTGTCACGCTTTACTGTAGTCGAGAGGCATATGACTCACAAAACGTATCACTATCGAATCGCTATCAAATGCGACCAGAAGCTAGTTGTCGCATTTCTGCAAGATTCGCGACGTGACAAAATTCCGAACAACAGTCGTGAGATGACGAATAATTCGCCCATCTATGGCGTGAATTTTGCAGCAATTTAGATGTGAATATGTTCGGCATGGGCTTTTTCACTCAACGGAGAAAAGGACCTCATGTGTCATCAATTTCCTGCTCTGTAAACGCGAGGCCCTATGCACGTTTCTGAAAGGAACAGTCCGTGTTGCCACGATCCCTCAGGGGATTCAGGAAATGCCAGGTGTCGGTTATATTTGTGTACTGAAGATGTACTAGAGCTTCGGTCTGACAGGATCAGTGGCGAAGCATGCTTGGCACGGGCTCTGACTAATCAGATGCGCAGAAATCTCGAGGATAATGTTGGTGGCTGAAAAACGACCAACACTCTCTCTCTCGACAATCTGTGCATTATGAGCGATGACAGTCACCACCAACAGACGAGGCGACAGGGTGTCTAGGCGCACCGAGACATCTTCTCCACGACAAGGGCCTCCTGTCGCCGACATCGCCAGGTGTCCATCCTTTCCTGGAGAAAAGAAAAGTGTGTCGGTCTCACTCCACGCACATGCGAGCTCACGGCCGTCTCCAAGACAGATGTCGACAGCGACTATTTGCGTGCGTGCGCGGAACTGTTCCGCTAACCCAACATGACGGCAACCACCATAAGCAAACATCAACCAACGCTGGGGAGCGAGCTCGAACGACTGCGCCCATTATTCACGAATGGACCAACACATTGCCCATCCGCAACGACAGACCTGTATGCTCTTGTCAATTGATCCGCGATGTGTTGGGCGGGAGTTCTTCCGGCTGTCTCAAGGATAAGTAGACAGCTACTCCTCAAGAGCATGCCCCCTTGACATCTCACTTCTCTCGTCGGCTGACTTTATCGCCATGCCGCCCTACTTATCCGGCCTTTATTTGACCACATCTCCATTACATGTCGCGACATCAGCGGTGATAATACTTGTCGCGTGCATCGCAGGATATCGCTGGCTTTTGCTGCCTCGGCCGCTGCTAGGTATCCCCTACAACTCGGTCTCCGCTCGTCGAGTCCTCGGCGATATCCCATCACTGAGCTCCCATCCTGAAGGTCTAGCAGAATGGTGTATTCAGCAGCTGGGCAAATTGGAAAGCCCGATCTGCCAAGTGTTACTGGGCCCGAGTTGGTTGCAGAAACCTATTGTTCTGGTCGCTGATGTCGATGGAATTCGAGAAACCATTCTTGGAAGGACGGAGTTCGACCGCTCGTCATACGTCATCAGCCGGTTTTCGCTCTTCGGAAACTTCCATTTGAACTTCAAGACGGATGACAGTTGGAAGCTTGCTCGCCACTGGGTCAAAGACCTTTTGACACCAAAATACATGACGGAGGTCGCTTGTCCATCTATCGAATCATCGGCAACCAGGCTCATTAAGTTATGGGGTACCAAAGCGCAGCGAGCTAACGGCATGGCCTTCGACATGATCGAGGACGTGAAGTGCATGAGCATCGACGTCATCTCAACATTCCTTTTCGGTGACGATGTCGAGGAGTCAATGATGATAAGGGAACTTCAGCAAGCCCAAGGATTTGAATTCGCAAAGCTGAGCGCCGGGAACCACAGCGCCGAAATCATTTTCCCTCGAGCTGAAGTCAGCGATTTCTCTAAAAGGCTTATCGTGATTGGCGATCGACTCACTGCGCTGTTCGCAAGTCTGTGGCCTCCTTCACTTGCTGCTCGATGGACGCTCTACATGTGTCCACAGTTTCGCAGACATTTCTTCGAGAAAGATACGTCCATCCGAGAGCTTATCGATCGCTCGATCGCTCGGGCGACGCACGGTGATGCCTCCGTCAAATCCGGACTTGATCACATGGTCTGGCGAGAAACCAAGGCGGCAGCCAAGGCCGGGCGTCCGTCAAAGGCATTCACACAAACAATGATCGACGAGGTAAGATTCTGCAAGTTTTCCGCGATAAGCGAATGAGACTTGCTCAAGTACCGTACTGATTCGGAACTCCTCGCTCCAGACATACGGTATGCTCGTCGCAGGCCAGCATACCACCAGCGCCGCGATTGTCTGGATGCTAAAGTATCTTAGTGGTTTTCCAGAAGTCCAAACCCGACTTCGCCAAGAGCTTCACGATGTGTGCGGTCTAGCTTTGAGAGAGCATCGATTGCCGACAAGCATGGAGATCTCGGAGTCCCTGGGCCAATTACCTTACCTACGGGCGGTTATCGAGGAGATGCTTCGCTTGCGCCAAGCGGTGCTTATCCCACGAGACGCTGTGCGCGATACCGAGTTGCTGGGGTATCGCATACCGGCAGGTACGGCCATCATGATAGTCTGCCAAGCTCCGACGCCGCCATCGCTTCACTCTCCCTACAGTGAAACTTCGGACACGTCGCATGGACGGCCCGGCAAGATCGCGTATCATCCGAGTATTTTCGACCCGGAACGATGGCTGGTCTACGATCAAAGCGGCAAGGCGACATTCAATTCCAATGCTCGTCCCCATCTCGCCTTCGGTGGTGGCACCCGAGCCTGTTGGGGCCGGAAATTGGCGGATCTCGAGATCCAAATCGTGACGGCCATGCTTGTGTGGAGCTTCGATTTCCTTGCTGTGCCCGAAGCTTTATCGACCCACAAGGCCCTGTACGATATCACATACCGCGCGAAACAAGGGTTCGTCAATCTGAGGGTCCGCGCGTTGTAGATTGGATACCTGGCTCGGCGACGACGATTAGAATCTGCGGCGCACGGCTGCCGCATTTGAAGGTAGTGTGCACCACGACGTAGACTGGGCCTCGTAGATAGTCAGCTCCGTTTGGGTGATCGGCTTCCATGCTCCGAAGGAATGCTTAACCCTTACTCATCCGCGACGCTGTATGTGCCTTGTCGAAGATAGTCAAAATCAAGAGCAGACACGGCCATTTACTTTTTGAAACCTGGATAATGTGTCTCCCATTGAAGCTGAAAGCTGATAATTGACGACCGCAGTAACGCATGTGCTCGCCAATGCACGTGAGCTCATGGAGATACAGTAGTTGATAATAAGCTCAAAACGGCGCAAACATGCTGCTACCGTCGACCTCTACAGCTGTAAGTTGTCATTCCTATTCCAGGTGTTGTTACTAGTTGACACTACACCATTAAGACTGTGCTTGATAGCTTATCCATGCCTGAGAACCAATCAAGCCACATAGCGACAGCGATCTCACGAATTTTCAGATCTGTGCATATGATGTTTTACTACAGCGGCTTGCGCCGGCCAGGGCATGGGAGTCGCCCCATGGTCCCGATACGGAACGGTTACCACAGCCGAAAATTTTCGGCCGACCCTAAATTCCGGCAAAGCAGCGGGCGGCCGCCGGAGGGAGGAGATCTTAACGCCGCGTGCGAGCCGCGAGAACATCACAACCGACAGGCAATGAGACGGCATGCGCATGGCAAGGAAATAGATAAATAACCATGAGATTTCCTGAGTATCGTCAAATGGTTTTCCTTCTCCGAGCGACTCTTGCCAATCCTCTTCCCATTCACCCCTTCTTCGTCACAATCCTATTGAAGCTCCTCTCACCAATGTCTGACTTGACTTTTGCTTCGCACGGAGGCTGCCAGCAACCCAATATGGCTCAAGTTTCGGACGAGCCTCCCAATGATACAAATTCGAGGGATGGTTTTCATCCGAGGGATGTGAAGACTGACGGGGATAAAGATGAACAAATCGAAGCAATTCCTCGAGACTTGAAAGGATACAAGTGGATCGTCTGTGTTCTCGCCATATTCTCTTCCGTCTTCCTATACGCCCTCGACAATACCATCGTCGCCACGATTCAGCCCGCGATCATTCAAAGTTTGGGCGAGCTGGAGAAGTTGTCGTGGGTCTCGGTGGCATATCAAGTGACATCTGTCGCATCCGATTTGACCTGGTGAGTCTTCCGTCCCATCATCCACCATCTTCAGACAGCTCACGTCCGTACAGGGGCAAGCTCTACGGCAAATTCAATGGCAAGACACTGTTTCTCGCCTCCGTCCTCATTTTCGAAATTGGCTCTGCTATCTGCGGCGCCGCGCCAACCGTGGATTCAGAGATCATTGGCAGAGCCATCTGCGGCGTTGGCGGCATCGGCATCTACATGGGTGCCCTCAATATCCTGGCGGTCATGACCACCAGCGCCGAGCGACCGGTGTACATCAGCTTGATGGGCATCTGCTGGGGCTCGGGTACCGTCCTCGGACCGATCATCGGAGGCGCCTTCACGGACAGCTCGGCGACATGGCGCTGGTCGTTTTACATCAACTTGGTCATCGGAGTGGTCGTCGCGCCCGCCTTTTTTCTCTTGCTTCCGTCTACAAACGGTCATCTGCGCGAGAGCAGCTTCTTCGCTCGGGTGAAGACGATAGATTGGGTTGGTACTATCGTCATCTCTGGCGCGGTGGTATCCGGTGTGATGGGAATCAGTTTTGGGGGTGTGCTCTATCCGTGGAACAGTGGATTCATTATTGGATGTTTTGTCTGTTCCGGCGTTTTGTGGATTCTGTTCGGCTTTCAACAGGTCTATTGTATCTTCACGACGGAGGAAGATAGGATATTCCCCTGTGATATCGTCCTCAATTGGGAGGCCAGCAGGCTTTTTGCTCACACCGCCGGAGGGCTCGGCGCGAGTGTTGTGACGATATATTTCATAGCGGTGAGTTGTTCGCGAAGAGACAGACGTGAGTGGGTCTTGCTGACAGATGACAGCTCTTCTTTCAATTCGTTCAGCACGAAAGGACCCTCGAAGCCGGAGTCAGGTTGCTGCCGATGATGTTCCTTATGATTGCCGCCAGCATTTTCACAGGGACTTGCCTGAGCAGAGGATCCTGGTTCATGCCCTTCGCACTATGTGGGGGAGGACTGGTCCTCATTGGCAGTGTCCTCATGTTCACTTTGGTTCGAGCGGACACGAGTGCCTCATACGTCTATGGCTTTAGTGTATTGATCGGTCTCGGAGCTGGGCTGTACACCCAGGGCTCGATCTCCGTCGTGCAGTCCCTCTTCCCAGCAAGCCGGATTTCAGACGCTACCGCTTTTATCGGATTTGGTCAAGTTCTGGGGATTGCCATCATGCTTGCCGTCGCGAACGCCATTTTTCTCAACAAAGCGTTAAATGGGATTCAAAGTCTTTTGCCGGAAGCGCCATTCTCAGAGGTACAATCTGCGATCCTGGGGGTGCCGAGCAGCATCGTCGACAACGCTAGTGCACTGTCAGAGCGAGTATAGATGCAGTGGTCGTTGATGCCATCAACAATGCATACATACTCGTCATGGTGGCCGGAGCATTAACGATTGTGTTGGCACCGTGCATGAGACGTCACGCAAACCCGTGAGTAGTCAAAAATGCAAGAGGCGCTGGTTATCCGACCCGGATACCAGGCCATCAAAGATGTATCTGATACTTGGGCGTGCATCGTTTGAACGGGTCGCTTTGTATGGCGCATGTGGATCAGCTTAGAAGAATAAAATGCGAGGTTGATCGATATACTTGAGTCTAAATAGATAGCGATATCTTCATGGTGGCTTTGCTTGATAGAAATATTTACCATCCAGGCGTGTGTTTTGTGATTCTGTTCGTCGACTGTTGCGATGGGTGCGGGACAGAGGAGGACCAATGAACTTCACTTGATGCTCAACTCTTTTAGGATGACCACAATTGATGCGCCCATGCATTTTCCTCCAGAGAATTTGGTTCTCCAATCATCGACCTTGACCCGCTCCCATTTATAACGCTAGAGTAGAGTTGAGTTAGAGTCTTTGCTCCAGCCGCTGCCATGTCGTTCACAGCTGCAAGGGTCTGCAGCCGGCTCAGGGCTATCTCCGCTGCTCTGATCATCTCCGCACGGCTGACACTCCCCGATGGGATACTCTTCTTCAAAAGACTGCCGTGATCATCCTCAAGTCGAAGGTCGGCATGGGTGCAAAGTGTCAAAATGATAACGGCAGCCTCAAAGGTGTTGAAGACAATGGTACCAAAATGGGAGCAACCATCGGGAAACAAGGCGTGTAGAGATGATACTGCTTCGAGTTCGCGTACCGCGGCGTTGGCGATGGTTTGTTTTTGGGATCTCAACAGTACGCGCTTGTATTCAGGCAGTGGGGCGATCTGATCGGGTCGCAGCAGTAGTGCTGGACGGAAATTCCAGCATATCGAATCATAGATGTAAATGTGCAGAAGCTGTCTTTGAGCGCGTAGTCTTGGAAGCTCATCATCCCATTTCTTCTGGGGTGTCAGGGAGAATGCTGACGGCAATCGCCCAAGGAATTCTTCATGGAGCCTCTCGTGTCGCTCTTCGGCTTGAACTGGATCGTAACAAGAGTCTCGGGCAGGAGAGACCAGCCTCCAGAACCTGGCAAGGCGAAATTGTAGATATCGCTCGGTGAAAAGTGCTGGCTCATCGACGGCGAAATTACACTGCGCATCGAACTCTTCATTTGAAGGAATCTCGGCAGAATAGTAATCGACGAAGCTGTCTGGGAGAAATGGGACACGATCGAGCTGTCTGACGAGATAACTGTAGCTGATCAGCAAGAGTATAACCATCAGGCATGATCACGCGACTCACCAATCGAAGATGTACAAGCTACACATAACTCTTCGCCGCATTTCGGCGTCCATGTCCCATCTCACATCATTTTTGGCTGAGCGACGGTGGATTTCGGCACGTTGCGCAGCTTGAGTCGCTCGTGCAATGCCCTCCCAGTACTTATCTGTTCTTCCCTCGCAGGAATATCTGATGGCCGCATACAAGCAGTGGTGGACCCGGACTAGAAACCCCTTCCAGTCTAATGCAACGCACACTTTTGCAAGACTGTTGCCGATCTCCGAGCAAGCAGCTCGGATTTCTGGGAGCGGTAAAATGGTCTCGCGGTCGATGGTTCGCAGAGCTGAAGACGTAAAATGTGCTGTGTATAGGCAGACTCGCAGGATGAGGACCGCGAATTCTATGTCAGGAGCAGCCAGCGGTCGATCCTTTTTCCACCACTGCTCGTATTGTAGCAGGAATTGATGTGCATCGACTATTTGCTTCATCCTATTTGGGAACAGCATCAGCCCTCGTGTCGAAAGATCATCGCCACTGAAGCCGAGTTACCAATCAAGTTCGGTGACGAAATACCGAACGAGGGCATCGAGATATCGACGCTCCGGAATCCGAGCAAGATTCCATTCCACAGATTCGGTGATACACGGCAATGTAGTCCCGTCGCTCAGTGCTAACTCAGGAGCGCCGTTCGATTGCCACTATAGGATCCATTTCTTCAGCTATGGTACTTTGCAATTTGCGATCAATCACGCTCACCGTCTTGAGAAGCGCCATAGTGTTCGAGCTGCTCTCCCTTGCCCATCCGGACGACTCAACGAGTGACGGTCGCAAACCGACCTCGCGGGTCTCTGTCGCTGGTGGCTCTGCTTGATGAACATCGCGATTCAAAACCGTTGACGCCAAACGTGACGCCGGAACCGCATGATATGCACTTTCTTCCGCCCGTCGACGATGGGTGCAATGGTGGCAAGGAAATCGACGATTGCACTATCTTGGTGCGTCAGCGTCCAGCGCATGACCTGTCTTGTACATCTTCGTACCTTCTGTTTGCGATTATGGCAGGGTATACACGCAGTCACCACTCGTTTGTTACGAGCAGACATGACTTGTTGTCCGAGATATGCAGTTGCATCAATGAGTGTGTAACCTGTGGACATGGGTGAGACGGCAAAGCCTTGGGTGCTGGTGCATGGCACAGCTTCGCGGTCTTGGTCCCGGAGGTTGACCAGCGTCCTCGTAAATGAGCTGCGCTCGAAGCAACATCTTTAGCATATGACATACCTTTGCAGCAATCATGACAAGTTTATACACATCAGACACAAACTTGCACTTTCCACAAAGTAATGACGCGAGTGATCAAACACGAGACGGTGCTCGGCGATCCTCCTCACAGCTTGCGACAACCCAAACCCTAACCCTCTCGACCCCGTCCGCTCTCTTCGCACAGCCCCAAGTTCGCGCCGCTGGTCTATTGTAAAGAGTCGATGACCGTTTCCATTTTCCGATTTGCGAAAGCGCTGACACCGTCTCGCACAGGCTCCAGTGACTTATAACGTGACCCTATCCGTAGAGGGTGACCGGGTCTCATGTCGCGATAGAAGGATTCTAAGACCGCATGGAAGCATATAAATGCGTGTTGGGGACAGAGATCGCCGTGGCCAGTACTCTGGGTGCTTCTCACGTGGTCGCTTTGAGCACACCGAAGATAACATAATTAGGCATGTATGAATCGTGTCGTGCGAGACCACAGCCGCCTAGAGTCGCGGATAGTCATGTCAACGAGTCTCATGTCCAGGTACTCTTTATCTGTCTTCGTTGTCTCCCGCGGACTAATTCTTTCGCTTTATCAACGCACACGGGGCAAACCAGCGACTTCTCGCACCAAATTTCATCCACATTGCTGGCATCGAGCAGCCGCTCAGCCTGCATGAGGTAGATCATCGAGTGGTACGAGTAATGATAGGTCTCCGCCAACTGAAGCCATCCTCTCACAAAGCCGATGAGCGACGGCCATCGAATGCTTCGCAGCGCAGCGTCGTCAACGCCATCACACAGATGCTGGAGCTCTGTGTGGGCTGACCGACCCGTCATATTTGTCTCGATGTTCGCCCGGCGGAACTCGAAACCGAGTCTCTGATTTGGCACAATATGTAGCTCAAACGCTTCGTCTGTGTCCAAAATGACGAAGCGGGCTGCATCTTGCTTGTAGGGATGATAAAAATTAGGCTCGCTAATGTCGGGCAGTTGTTGATACAGCGCACTCTGAGCACGAATGGCCTCGATGGCTAATGTGAATTCTGAGCTTCGAACGCAGAGTTCGACATCCTAGTAGAGATCAGCAATGACATCTCGGCCAAGTCCTTCCTACTTCAACTCACGTGAACCACTATGTCAACACCGTGATAGCTCAATCCGAAGTCTCCGGTGACCACTGTGTCTACGCCGGCTGCCCGAAGAATCTCCTGCGCGACAGATACAGTCTCGAGTGAAATAGGAGCCATGAAGAGGTAAAAGCAAAATGCTTAGAGCTCGAGAAGCTGTTGTGTAAATAGAAGGAGATTGAGCGAAATGGACACGATATATCGGCGAGAAGTTGGGTGGTTGAATGTAAACGCGCGGAAGCGTCCGCGCGCCAATCACTCTCCCGGAGTCTTCGCAGCTTCTGCAAGGCCCTTCACAACTTCAATTAACAAGCGCTTCGGTTCAGTCATCCCCATGTAGCTGAATTTGAGGGGGGTCGAGATCTCCCTCCGGGCGTGCCTTCCAAGGTTCCTGGGATTGATGACACTAAGAAATTCACATGGGCGGCGCCCAACTCGGGACAGCTAGACCTGAGCCTTCTAGCCGAGAGGCTAGACCGATTGGTCCCCAGTGCATCTCCTGCACCCTCGAGCACTAGCACTGGGGCTGTGGGTAATGTGCGTGGGAACCAGGACTTGCTAATAAGACGTCTGCTCTTTCCGCACCGCACGCGTGGACATGATGCTGAGCGAATCACTTCTCCGACTTGTGGAGCTGCTGCTTTGACAGGCTGAGATCACTCCTTCCGTGACGACTGTAGAACCTACAAGGCAGCTACTGACTGCGTGACCGTTGATTACCGGAAAGTAGAAGATATAAACCGATATATAATACCCGCCTCGGTGCTCAGACCCATCCAGACTTATCCTCCATCAAATCATTACACAGGCCATTCTCTTCCCGCTTCCAATATCCGTTTGTCATTGCAGAAATTTGTCCAGAATGCCGAGCACCCCGAAGCTCAGCGATGCCGCTATCGCGATCAGCAAGGCTTTGGGTGACCAACTTGGAGTCGAGTTCGGGATCTTCGGCGGCTTCGCCATAGCTGTCCTTGGAGGACCGAGAGAAAGCAAGAACATCGATTGTGTTGTGAATTGCAGCAAAGAATGGCTTGTGAACAACCTGGGGAAGATAGATGGCTTCCGATCGACAGGCAACTCTCGGCCTGACCTAGCTTCATTCTTATACGGTGAAAATCATGTCCTCCTCGAATGCTTTCCCAGTGAGCTCTTCTTTGCAACGGTACCACAACTCCACTGACGACCATGCCAGCCTCCATGGAACAACTTGAGACAATGCGAGTCGAAGTCCGCGGAGAAAAAGCTGGTCTTGGACAGACTGCAATCTTGGACCCAGTGCTCTGCTTCAAGGGCAAATTGCAAGCGGCTGCGACCAGAGCCAAATTCTCCGATGCGGTCGGTTTACTCTTCCTTGAAGGGCAGCACGGACAGATGCTTCGAGACCGGAACAAGGAATTCAACAGGTACCATGTCGGCATGGCCATGAAGAGATATCCCCATCTGGAGCTTGCATTCGTCAGGCTTGGAGTGAATATGGAAGCTTGCAAAGCCGTTGCGAAAGATGTTGACGTCCACGTCATCGAGACACGCCCGCCAGAGCCGCATTCGGTCCAGAATGCGCTGCTGTACAATATGCGGGTGGCGTGAGTGCGGTGTTTAGATAAGAATGAAATAGTCACAATCGTGAAGAAACCTTTGCACTCAAAGTCTGATTGTGGCTCGCTCATCAAATGCACGATACATGGTCCGCTTCTGCCACCAAGTGAGCTTATTCGAATCATTACACAATTGATTGCTCGATACCTTGACTCCACCGGACGTGAAGTTACTGTTCCAATGAGTGTGTCCGAAAATCCAATGAGTGACATGTTTGGCACCCGGCCAGGTAAACATCTGCTGGAGAGCATTACTGGAGAAGCACTGGCTGACGGCGTTATTTTGGTTGAGTGGATGGCACGTCTTCTCAAATGCAGGAGCGTAATGGGTTGCGATGATGATCTTCCGTCCTGGATCTGTACGTGCGATCTCATCGATCGATGCCTGCAACCATGTCATGTCACGCTGGTGCTCTTCGTTATGATCTTTGATCCTCCAATTCTGAATTCGCTGGAAGTCGTTAGTTAACTTTGTGTACTCCGGCCCGATGTAGGACTGTAGCGTGCAACCAAGTAAGGTGTAATCTGACTCCGGGACGTCGAATCGGGACCTGTTCAGGAAGTGAAGTCGACCCTTCATCGCAGAATCGTCGACGAAGTCATGAGCGGTCCGTAGGCCAATCTCACGCGAAGAGCTGTAGAATTCATGATTTCCGGCTATCAAAAGGACGCGGTCAAATTGCTCGCACTGTTCAATGAGGAAATTTCGGTATTGATCTCGATCGTGGAAGCGCCCAATGTCGCCCACGAGCAGGAGAATGGGAGCGGCTTTTGTGACCGCAAAGCCGTATTTTATCCGTTCGAGATGAAGGTCAGACATGTACTGGATAGACGGAGGTGACGCATTTGGACCCCTCATTTTCGTACTTTCCGATGTCTGATCCTCACAAAGTAATGATCTAAAGAATAGCGTCTGGAGAGCTCTTATATCACTGCGCGTGGAGGGGAATAGATCCGGGTCTAAGTGCTTGCTCGAGGGAAAAAATGTACAGGTCTACGTATTGAGTCAAGTTCTCCTGAGCAGCACTGATTCATTTGCCATCCACATGGGAGGCTCGGTCACTGCCGAGATGCCTGAGGCACAAACTCATGATGACAAAAAAAAATATGACATTACTATCGCTTTCGATTATCTCTTACAGTTATCTTGCTTAACACGGGAGATTTTCTTCGGGTCAGTACCGAGGGCAACCGCCTCATCAATCCAAGCCTAGACATCGCGTGACAATTAGCGTCGAGGGTATAAGAAGATCAGCGAAGTAGGAAATGCATACCTGAATGTCCTTCTCCGCGGGCTGTCGCTCACGGCTCAGGATGAACAGAATGTCCCAGCTAGGGCTCTGGACGATGGCATATTTTGGATCGTACTCTGTTCTCGGTGTCAGTCTCTTGATGCGGTGGGTGATCGGTCGGGACGATTCTTACTCTGCACAATGTAGTTGGGGCCGGGGCAGCTGACTCCGCCGCCGGGCACACTCGGGAAGCGCACTTGCAACGCGCCTGGACCGTATGCGCTGTCGACAGGAGAGGCGGTGCCATTGATGGTGCTAGGGAAAATCCCACGCTGGCAGAAGTTGCTTACGGAGATGGATCCGGGAGTAGGCTTTGCACGAAATCATCAGTCATGGGGCAATAATAGAACACCAGAGCGGAGCGATCCTTACACCTAGACCGTAATCGGCGGAGATACAGGTGCAGCCCAGGGTGAATGTCGCAAAAGTTCCTGCGACCTGGTACCAGCGGCCGGTGTATTCCACGAGGTTATCGCCTGGAAAGTTTGGGTCACCGCGAGGATAGAAGCATTGGCCGTCGTAGGTGGCAGGGTTGACGTTGGCCGCGACGGTCGCGGCGAGGGCGAGAGTGGCGCCAATAATTGACTTCATGGTTCCTGGTTGTTGTTGAAGGTGAAGAGATCGAAGTCCAATGTTGATCTATCCCGTCGAAGTCCTAGGAGCTCTTCGTCTATGTATTTCCAATGCACGATCCTCGGAAGGCGCATTTACCTCTTTCGTATTTCGCGTTTCGACTTCTCCTACGTCACTACGCGGCTTGGCGGGCCGATCTCGACCCGCCTGTTCGATTGCCGAGGGTCTTTACGACGTGAAATTCGGGCCCATGCATGTCACTTCCCGAACGCCTCAGAGATGGGGGAATCGTCACCTTGGCTCAACTTCTACACGCCAACGCTGGGCTCACAGCAATGTCACTGACAAACCTCGGCACCCGCCGTCACAAATATGAAGGAGAACCGTAAATATGAGATTGCTTGCAGTATAGTTTTTTATGAATCCGTAAATCTGATGAAGCTTCCGGCATCATGAGGACTGGCTCCTCGATACCAAGGCCAACTATCGTGTGCCTGAGGTCCCAGAGTCATACACGTGCGCAGGAACATGTTCCCGCCACGTGCAGAACGCTCTTCTTCAAGCCGGCGAATCTCTGGCACTTGGACGAGAACCATCTCCCAAGATTAGCTCATGTTGACTTCCCGTCATGAAGAGGTTCACGATGGCTGTTGTGATGACTGGATCATTTTGTTCACCACCCACCATGCCGCTGCGACGACAGGACCTTGACTCAGGCTCATTTTATCTGCACGCTCCGGAGCATGCCATTAGACCTCAGACGAAGCCCAGGACCTTGGTTCTCGAGCACGAGAGAGTCTGTCATGGCTTGCCGTGAGCAATGGAAACAAGAGGCTTGGTCTGCTTTACCATCAACGAGATGCATCGATCAATCTGGTTCTCCGTCATGGGAATCGAAATTGGACCATCATCAATTCCCTCATTCATCGCATGGATTGAAGCTCTCCGCATCACAACAGGTCACAGCAAACACTTGCAGCGATCATGGTCGATTTCAGTGTCTTCGTGACCGTAGCCTTTGCCATTTTGGCACTTCCCGTAGCCGCTCTGGATCCAATCATCCAGGAGAAGTATCCGGTTATCCCGAACAGTTGTTGGGTCAAATCAAAACCCAATAACAATATCAATGCTTCCCTACCACCTCTGCGCCCAGTGGTCCCTGTATCCCCAGTAAGGATTATTGCAATCGACGACGACTACAAATTCCTCGTCCAGAGCGTGCCCGCCGAAGCCATTCCGGCAGTAGAAGCCCTTCCGTTTGTCGATGACGTCGAGCCGGATCGTGTCGTGCGCCCTTTGGCTATCGTCCAGCAACCTGACAATCCATGGGGCTTAGGTCGGATATTTGCGCGAGCTCGCGGTGCTCAGGACTATGTCTTTGAAGACAGCGTGGGCGCGGGTACTGTCGCCTACATCCTTGACTCCGGAACGGACCTCAACCATCCCGACAAAATTCACCACGGCAGCATGTCAGGCGGGGGAGAAAAAGGGGACGCGATTGAAACAAATACATCAGGAAATGTTTCTCTCATTGAAAATCGTAACTAAAAATTCCCGCCTCTTTTCCACACACTCAAGATCATCCCTCCAGAATGCGATCAAGCGTCGAGACAAACAAGCAGGCCATCATGATAGTATTGGTAGTAGTGACATCCTCGCATAAACATCGTAGCTTGCATTTACAAGCATTCCAAAAGTAGAACCGTCCTCCAACCGTCAGGACCGAATCATGGATCAAGCGTAAGACAAATCTCTAGTTGGAGGAGTTGCCACCCTTCTTGCCGGCCTCGACGGGATCGACCTTGCCGCCAGCGAACTCGCCCTTGCCGCCGGAGGCGGAGGAGGAGTCGGAGCTGCCCTCGGAGGAGCCGCCGGTGGCACCGCCCTGCTTGCCGGCCTCGACGGGGTCGACTTTGCCGTGGGCGAACTCTGCGTGATATGTTAGAAATGCGATCGCGAGAAGTGGTAGATGTGAGTGATGAACGTACCGCCGGTGCCGACGCGCTTGTCGGGCTGGCCGTCCTTGCGGAGACCGTCGTGCTCTGTGAGGGAGAAAACGTCAGCCTCGATCATCGGCGAAGAGAGGATTGTTTGCGAAGAGCCAACGAGTCGATGAGCAATTCATCGATGTCGAAGAGCAGAAGTGGGAGATAGTGCATGGAATATCGTACCAGTGGGCTTGTAGTCAGACATGTTGAAGAATGTGGTTGTTTGAGGTTGATTTGAAGTGTTGGTAGTTGTTGTTGATGATGAAGTTGCTTGATGATGAAGGAAGAGAAATGCTTGAAGGTGAGAAACAAGCTGATACTTATGCGTTTCGTTGCTTCTGCGATTCCTTTACTTCTGATTGTCATGGGGAAACCCCGTGTCATCATCATGACCATCATCGTCATCATTGCTTCGGGTGACAATGCATCACATTGTTTAATGACACATGATGCCGTGATGCTAGATCATTCCGGCGACATTCCTTCGCGCCGTGATGATCTAAAGCGTCCAGGCAGTCAGGGATGAAGTTTGGCATGATTTTTCCGTTTACAGCAGATGATGATGATGATTGATGAAGCAACCGAAGTACTATTCGTCCATGCGGAGCTAGAGCCCGCCTCCAGCATCATCTGCCGCCTGGCATGGGAAGAACTTGACGTAAACCTGACGTGGTGAGAAAAATCACGTACGGGCCATTGTGTCGTACCTGGAGCGAGCCAGAACGTAGACGATTGTTACAAAGAGTGAACACAACCCCTCTGCAGAATTGCAGGCCACAACCAGTCGGAAGTGAAGTCTTCGTGGGCCTAGCCTAGTAAGCACGAGCCATACCAGAGGATCGCCGAGTGAAATGTCGTGGATATGATGCGGCAATGAGGCCTCTCGTGATGCCCCTACCCAGCCTTGGAGGGTCAAGCCAATGACAAGAGATCCTCGATCGGCTCTAGTGATTTACCGTGAATGTGGAGAGGGGATCGATCGTTAATCATGAGGGAGGTATCCAGCTTCAAGTCACGCTAGAATCGTAGAGCGGCTATGCCTCCGTGTGGCCACGGCACGTAAAATCAGGGAGCTGCGAGATGTGTGCCCTTGCATGAGCCCGGCATGAACTAAACCTTTTGGTGCCTCTGAGTACAGATCTCTCCGTCGCAACGATCTCGTACGGCACTAATCTAATGCATGATACATCGTAGGACCATCGAGATCGTGCTTGGTCCCTTGCTGAGGAGGGGAACGAGCATTGCCCTGACAATAATGATGGAAAGGTGACGCGTACGTTTCGTGTGCGTGTCGCGTGACTTCTAAATTGAATGTCGAACATTCCATCGCGTCCGTGAGCCCTCATCGTGGGAGTATGGGAGCGTCATTGCAAACGGACTCGAGTGCATGATGGAGCGATACCGCTTGCTTCGTCTGTTTCCTGAGCAGTGACTCTTATATTCGAACAATACATAGACGACCTGCTCGACTCATGACTGCCATTATTCAGAATCTTGGAGACCTCATCGCATTCACAACGCAACAATAATTGCATGATTGGGCACAATGCAGGCGGTCAATAGATATGGCATGCGTGCGGTACGCGGGAACAGTGCAAGGGAGGTTGGAATTCCATCAGTTGTAGGTCATTATGACCCTTTGATATCGCGCTATATTGATGGACGCACGCGCTATCACGTTACTGCGCGCAATGTACACTCCCACTTTTGGCATCCCAGACATGACTTGCGACTTGTGAGAATTGATAACGATTGCAGTACACAGCCAGATTATACGTTTTATTTCGTCGAATGTTCGTGAGACGCGCACTATGCAAGCAGACTGGTAGATCGAACACCTCCCAAATCCACCAATATCTTGAGGAATAGCAGCACGAACAAGCGGTATGAACCATTCCACTTTCTAAACACCAAAGGCCCTCTCATGACAAATAAACCCCCCATCAATTCGTAATAACCTTCAACGCCTGCAATAAGAGCCCCGTCACCAGTCCCCTCGCGACACCAGGAGTCTGCAAGGCATCAAAAACCTTCCCCAAAGCCTCTCCACTCGCCGCCGCACCCATCACGCTCGTCAAAGCCTGCGGCATACCCTTAGTGACGAGTAACTTCCTCGCCTTCGTGCGCGTCTCGATTTTTTGCTCATCGGTAGGTTGAGGATATTCCGCCTTCCAAGCTTCCGTTTCATCGGCCGTCGGAAGGGCGTTCTCGCGGAGATGATAGATTTGGCTGGCGAGGCCGGCGTCGGAGAGATTGGCATCGAGGAGAGAGGTCTGGATCAACGTGCGGATGGATAGGAGTTGAGGGTTGCCTGGTCGGAGGAGGAAGGTCTTTGCGGCGGTGAGGAGGGTGCGGCGGAGAGACCAGGTGCTAGGGCTGAGTGTGTAAAGGTGTGTGATAAGGGCGAAAATGAGTTCGATGGTGATGGCGGTCTCGCGTTCTGTGAGAGGATCGGCAGGAGGAGGCGTGGGCTTGGAGAATTTTTTGATCGTGTATTGCGGCATGGTCAGGGACGACGTCGACTGCTTCAAATCATTTGAATCATCGTTTGTGGGTTCCTTGATAGAAGCGTGGGAGGCTGCCATGCTCTTCTTGCCAACTGCGGATGGTGCGTCGTAGTCCTCTGGCATTTCCGAAGGCGGCGGAGGCAGATGAATAGCCTGTTCCAAATTCGTGCTAGCTGAGCGAAGTCCAGCAATCGACGACTCTGGAGATTGTTCTGTCGCAGGCGTGAGTTGAGATTGGCTGGATAGACTGAAGGGCCGCGACGGTGTCGCAGGTGTGAGTGCGCGGGACTCTTCACTCGCGGTCGTTGCAACACTGCCACGCCGGTTCGATAATCGTGAAGAAGAAAGGGATTGCGTCTCCTGCGATTCGCGTTCCGATGTGACGTCGCCAGAAACACTGTCAGTCAGTGGGCTTCCAAAACTGGCCCGCTCTTTGGCCGGAGTGCCAAGTGCTGGCTTGTCAGATATCGTCACCGCTTCACTCCGAGCGATGTTCGATTGCGAGCCATTCAGCTTGATTCCGTTCGTCACAAGCCCGGCCATGCCCCCAAAGACCGCTTTGCCGCCACCCGCAACTTGCTTGGGCGCCTTGGTGAGGACGCTCATCATATCGCCGCCAATTTTGCCGAACGCATCTGGTGTCGGCCAGCCAAATCCTTTACCGCCAGACTTGGTCAAGCCGCGGTCCTTGTCGAGGAAGCGCTTCATCCCTTCGCTCTCGGCGAGTGGTTGTAGCCGCATCGCGTCACATAGGTACCGCTCGAGTTCCGTCCTGAGTGATGCTTTTGTATTGTTCCGCCACTTGGGTAGGTCGACGTGCGCGAAAGGAACACCAGAAATAACCGAGATGCGACGCAAGATCTCATGCAAGGTCTCGAAATCGGCATATTTCCGAGGTATCATCCAGCCCGAGAAAATCGACAGTGCGGGTTCGATCTGAATCATGTAATCTGTGGTGGGCTTTGCTTTGATCGATGAGCGCTCACCGGGAACACTGTCATCAAAAATGGTAATGCTGGCATTATGCAACGTCAGCGCCACAGCTTCTTTCGCCACCTCCTCGTTTTCCAAGACCTTCACGGCCGGTATTTGAGGTTCATCCATGAGAGCGGTAGGTTGTGCCGTTGTTGTTAATTGATCAAAAGATGTGAACTGTACAGGTGGCGGCTCTTCGCGAGGCATGTTGTCCTGAGTGACCGGCTCCAGGATTGATTCTTCCTCCACATTTGAATGAGACTCCGAGCCCCCGCGATTTTGCGTTGCCGCGTTTGGCTGTTCTGCCATATCTCTGGCAGCCTCTACTCTTTCCCGCTCTTCTCTAGCGACACGCTCATCTTCCGCAATCATTAATGCCGTTAATCGTCTAGCTTCTTCCATGGCTTCATCCATGGAGATCTCGGCTTTACTTCGCGTCCGTCTATGCTCTGATTTCATCTCGCTGCGTTGAGTCGCTTCGATGGTCGGAGTTGGCTCTGTGGCTGATTCCGTAGGTGTCTCTGGAACAAGAGGTAGTGGTTTCCCTTCGACGCCAGCATCGACGAGTCCCATCACTTCTTTCGTGGTCTTGGATTCTTCTAGACCATAGACAATCCAGTCATTTATCCAATTCGGCTCTGAACACAGCGTCACGGTGTATCCAAGGACCAGTTGCGCAAGCACTTCTTTGAGGAAGGCGTGGATTGGTGGACAGTTGTATGCTTTGGGGTCCAAGTAGGCCTGCAAAATATCTTCTGATACATCAGCCAGTTTTTCGGTCTGGGACTCCTGATCCAGCATGTAGGAAAGACTGCTGTCGGGTTTGGAGCTAATGTACGAGGAAATGGCCTCCTCCGCGGTGATGTTGGGTGAGGCATTCAACGCTGCCGCCAGTTCGGTCAAGAAGACGACGATGATGGAACTCGAATTCGACAGGAAGTCCAACAAGACATCCGCAGGGCGCTTCCTACCAAGGTGGCCGCCCAACGAGAGAAAAAAGGCTGTGAGAGTTCTCCGACATTGTTTTGGAAATGTCTCCTCGCCAGGGATCGTCGGCTCGTACCAGTATCGCACATAGTCCTTGATTATGGCATCAGTGAAGACATTCAACGCCTTTTCGGTCTCTGGGCTGAACTCTGAGTAATCCAGCTCTCGATTCGCAAAGACTTTGACATCCTCCGATCTTGTATTGGCCGCGCCGCGAAGTGTCCGGTAATCCAGAACCCTCCTGATTACATCAATGCTGGCTTCTCTCCTTCGCTCCTGCTCTTCTCTTTTCGTCTTCTCATCTCGGTCATCAATCCGCACGCCCTCCCATGTCGCTTGCAAAACCACCCCGCCCGCAATGCCAATGAACAACAACCCAATCCTACCAAGCAGAAGATATGTGCTTGCACTCAAACCAACTAGACAGGCTCCGATTGTCTCGTTACTGGCATGAGACAGAAAATAAAGTACTCGGTCTATCAAAGACTGTGCGAGAATGGCGAAAGAAGTGGGCGCGGGCGCATTTGTGGCTATCGCGGGAGTCTCGATCTTTGCGGCGATGTCACTGGCTGCATTCTCTTGCTGTACTTCGCGGTCCAGCGCAGATGAAGGTTTCGTATCATTCAAATCGTCCATTTTCGTGCCGGTCATACAGTCGTCTCATTCTGTTGTTCGTGCGAGCAACAGCAACAATGCGCACAATCAAAGAGATACCTGGTCAAGGCAACGTCGCGTCAGTGGGAATTCGCGGCGCAAACGGGGCAGGGAGTATGCCGTCAGATCCATAAATGTACGGAAGGCGAGGAAACACAACGTCATGGCCCAGTACAGTGCCTTTTCCAATGGCGGGGAACAAAACTATGCCAAAAACCATCGTGGGCTGTGAACTTTACATTGGTCGTGGTGTACTACAGATTGATCCGCTCATGGTCGATTATAGATCGTTTTATAGTCTGTTGGTTCGGTTTTTATCATATTCAGTAGTCATAAACACCCGTGTCGCCAAAAATGAGTTCAGGTACAATACTCGGACTGACATGCGACCTTCGTCATCGGCAACAGCTCCGAAGTACCAGCCCCGGAGAATCGCAGAACGATGAAACCAATCGATGGTTTGGCGCCCTGCTCGAACAATGGCTGATGCAATTGACGATTGAATACATTAGGTGCTGAATAAAAGACTGCTCTTGATCATGGTCATGATACCTGGTGTTATAAAACATCAGACGCATTCCCACGTGCGACATGATCGCGCCTAAGCGATCTCGGCGGGCACTAATAATTGGTAGGTGGTAAAAGTCTCCCGACTTCACAAGAATTCTTATCTACACTTTATGGGAAAACAAAATTTCCGAGTCAAGCTAGGATATGTGAAGCCCATGTATGACCATGCATGAGCAACGAGAATTAATCTGAAGCTGGAACCGCGTTATACACGCACTGACGACAAACATTCCCGACAAGGACCATGTCCGCCGACTTCTGGGCCGGTTACGTCTCCGGCGCCGTGAGCATCCTCGTCGGCAATCCGCTCGACATAATCAAAACCCGACTCCAAGCCGGCGGGAATGCCTCACTGTCCGGAGAGTCGACGCTCCACCACTCCACTGGGCCAAGCATCCCCACAACCACATCTGCCGCCTCCTCGACCACGACCACCCCTCTTCTCCAACACGCCCAATCTACTCTCCGGCCAAATACTTCCCTCACAACCCACTGGTCCAACCTCGTCCGGGGCTCTGCCGCTCCGATTCTCGGCTACGGCGCCCTCAATGCTCTCCTGTTCATGACCTATAACCGCTCGTTGTCACTGCTTCAGAACGGGACCCTTGATCCCTCGCCGCCGGGAAGCGCCTCGAACCTCAACATCTTCGCGGCAGGCGCACTCGGCGGACTCGCGACGTTCGTCGTCTCCGCCCCGACGGAACTCATCAAATGCCGGGCGCAGATCAGCCGGGTTTCGTCGGGAGAGGTCGCGAGGGAGCTGTGGAGGAGGGGAGGATTGAAGGGCGTGTATCTCGGAGGCGGAATCACGAGTCTGAGGGATGCGGTCGGGTATGGTTTTTAGTAAGTCTCGCCCCGCTGTTGCCAGTTCTATCTCTATCCAGGTCGAGAAGACGGCGTTCTTATCGACGACACACCACCTAGTTTCTGGTCATATGAACTCAGCAAGACCTGGCTCACTCGGCCCGACGACACCGACAATTCCGCCGCCGTCAAAGTCATGCTCTGCGGCGGTCTGGCAGGTGTCGTGACCTGGGCGTCCATCTTTCCTCTCGGTACAGTATCACAAACATCCCTACTGCGCCGCTCGCAATCGGAACAATCGCTGACAGGATCGATACATGAACGGATAGACGTCATCAAGACCCGCATCCAGACCTACGACCTCCTCCCGCCAACTTCAGCAGCAGCGACATCGACATCGAGACCCACACCGTCATCATCACCGCCAACACCCATATTAAACCCACGCGCCTCGTCCATCGCGTCGATCGCGTCAACCTCAACCTCATCCTCTCTCCCGCCTCGACCCAGCGCCCTGCAGATCGCCCAACAGGCCTACCGCACCGAAGGTCTAGGCGTGTTCTTCCGGGGTCTCGGGGTCTGCAGCATCCGGGCCTTCGTGGTGAACGCGGTGCAATGGGCGGTACGTGCACATCTCCTCGGGAGCGAAACGCTCCTTCGCGGAACACAGAGCACCCTTTTCTTTTTTTTTCCTTTGATGTCGCTGACGATCGTTCCAAATAAGATCTACGAATGGATGATGAAGGAATTGACGCGGGAGTCGTGAAACGAAGATTTCTGTGAGAGGAGAGCTTTTGCCAGCGATGTGGGAGAAGAAATCACCCGGAGATACAGATCTCGTGGACCGCTTGAGGAGAGGGAGAGGGAATGGTGGTGAGGACTGCAAGACGAAAACAGAGGAAATAAAATAGAACCACAGCACGACTGGGGAAAGGGAAAAGGTTCCATGGCATTCGATGACGAGCGAGGGATAGAAATACAGAGAGAGAGAGAGAGAGAGAGAGAGAGAGAGAGAGAGAGAGCAGTTGGATCACAGTCCACGGTACACAGAGGCGTGTGAAAGAAGATCCAGATAAGCTGCCGCGAAGCAGCAGCAGCAGTAGCAGCAGTAGGACCACGGAACTCATGAAACCCCCAGAAAGTTGCAAAAGTGCAGCGATGCCACGGGACGCAGGGCCGAAATATCAAAACACTCGTTCGATCATCTTAATTGTGTTTGTCAAACTTTTTTTTCCTTCCTCCCTTTCCAGCGCGGGGACTTCCCATCCCCGGCCTCCAGAGGCGATTGATTCCTACGACTGCTCTCCGCCGCGCAGACGACTTCTGCCACACGTATCTGCAACCACCACCGCAAAGAAAAAACCAAGAACCAAGGAAAACCGCCCGTCCGACTCAAAAGGCCTACAGCTGTGCTCTCGACCTCTTCACCGGCCTCGCCGAGTCCTCCAACATGGGACGATCCCTCAAGCTCAAGAACTCAGCGGCGGAAGGAGGAGGAAGAAGGCTATGTCCACTTCTGAACGGCATGGGACCCAGAGCGCAGCCTGGACCATTCGAAGAGCCGGAGGAGTACGAGGAGGCATTCTACATCTCCTGCATGCTGCCGGTGGGCTCCTGGCCTTCCATGGCGCCGGGGACACCTACGCCGACGCCACCGGCGACTCCGTTGTCAGAGGGGTACTTGGCGTAGTCGAGTTGGAGGGGACGGCCACCGTATTGGTAGCCTTGGAATTTCTCTGTGATTTGAAATCAGTATCGAGTCTTATTAAACGTTGAGAAAGGAGATGGACTGACCGATGGCAGTGTTGGCCTCGCTTGAGACGGCGAATTCGACGACACCGCTTCCGCGGGAGCGTCCGTTGGGCTCGTATTGGATCTCGGCGCGCTCGACTTTTCCGATGGTGGTGAAGAGCTCGACGAGATCCTCGTTGCTGGTGCTCCAGGGCAAGTTCTTGACGTGAATGAACTGGCTCTCGGCGCCACCGCTCGAGACGCCGTCAGTGAAGGGGTTGGGCGCAACGGTAGGAACGTTGAAGCCAGGACCGGTAGGAGCGCCGCCGAAGCCACCTCCAGCACCGCCAGCGAAACCGCCACGGCCACCCTGGAAGCCGCCACCGTAGGCTCCGCGACCACCCTGGAAGCCACCGCCGAATCCGCCACGGCCACCCTGGAAGGCACCGGGTCCACCGAAGTTGCCACGACCGCCGAAGCCGCCGCCGAAGCCACCACGGCCGCCGGCAAAGCCACCGCCAGCGTAGCGATCCTCACGGACCTCGAGAAGGCGACCTTGCCAGTCGTAACCGTTCATGATGTTGATGGCATTCTGGGCATCTTGGGGAGTGTCGAAGGCGACAACACCGGATCCCTTGGGTGTGCCGTCAGGAGCTTGGTGGACGTCAGCGCGAACGACGTTACCGGCTTGACGGAAGAGATCCTTGAGATCTTGCCAGCCGACCGAGAAGGGAAGCTGCGTTGAGCCGTGTGAGCAATCGATCTCTTCTCTTTTGAGCGTCGCCATATCATAAACTTACGTTGGAGACGTAGACTTGGGGACGTCCACCACCGGGGGCGCCACCGCCGTAGCCACCGCCCATGCCGCCCTGAAAGCCACCGGGACCACCTTGGAAGCCACCACGGCCGCCGAATCCGCCGCCGGCACCACCTCCGCGAGGGGCTCCAGCAAAGCGTGGCTCGGTCTCACGATCCTGGATGCAACCGTCAGCTGTCGTTCCATCGACAAGTAGATGTGCGTGCTCACCTCGCGGACGTAGACGAGACGGCCCATCAACTGTGTGTTGCTCATCGTGTCGATGGCAGTTTGTGCATCCTCGCGCGTAGCGTACTCCACAATACCACAACCCTATTTTCCGAACAAAGTTCCGTCAACCATCTGCCACGACCACTTCGTGTTGCCTGTGGACTCCCGCTTTCAATTTACCTTGCTCATTCCGTTGGGCATCGTGAGGACATCAGCGTGGGTGACTTCGAGAGTATTATCTAAAGCGGGTTGGGTCAGTCTCCAAAGCTATCCACGGAGCGGCTGTGTCACGGTCCGGGAACCTACCTTTACGCATGAAGTCCTTCAAATGGTGCCACTTGACATCGTACGACAAGTTGCCGACGTAGACGCGGCGGTCTTGTTGTGAGTCTTTAGACATGTTGGGGTCTTTGCTGGCTTGACGGTCGTCGTAGCGCTGAGGTCTTGATCGGTCGTTGTCGAAGCCGCCTTCGTTGTGTCCGTTCGCTGGTGCAGGCGAGCGGCGGCGGTGGTCGCGGGATTCACGTGGGGAGCGCGAACGACTGCGGTCGCGGTCGTCGTGTCGAGCGCGGCGAGGTGAGCGAGATCGTGAGCGTGCGGCCTGCGAGTCGGTGTGTTAGCACAATGTTATTCCCTCGTCTCCCGTTCCCGCCGTTCCCGGTCCTGGTATGTCCACCGCATATTTACGAGGTGTCAATGAAATGGCAGACGGTCGGTCAAGGCAGGCGTTGTTCCCGAGTCCTCCAGCTACTTGGGAACGTGCGGCTTTACTCGGCTGATATGCCGGAAGGTGGTCAATCGCGCGCACGCGCTTCTGGTCGTCAGAGACCGCGTCAATGCTTGTGTCGGTCGCGATCAAGACGATGAAAGTCAGGAATCAGAAGCGAAATGTGCAGCGATAAGGCTGAAATTAATTTCATCATGAGATGGATAGATTCTGGCTTGCAGTAATATTACGACCAGTTTCCCGTATCGCTGCGCCTTGACTTGAAGCTGCCGACCCGAAGTGCTAAGAAGTAGTCTCTTGACCGCCGACCGCAAGCATCCGAACCAGAAGACAACGCGACTGCCACATTGCGTTTCGCCTCTCAACCGACCGATGACCCGCGTACGATTTACGAGCCTGAACGTGCATAGTGCCAGCAGCTGCATGTTTGTCAAGTGTACCGCTCCGTGTGCGTTCATTAGCCTCGCGGCTTGCACATCACTGCTCATCGACGGAAGATCGGGATGCAGATACTGTGATGCGCCAATTGCGCAACACTTGCAAGCTAGACGTCGAATTTGGGTTCGTGGCAGAGGCGAGACTGCAAACGGTGCGCGCGCGGACGCCGCAATGAAGAGGAGCCATGCAGGAGACGTGGAGTAGACCGGCAACATGGTCGACATGCGAGCATCACCTCGGTTCATGTGACGGGTATGCAATCAATCGCAGAGCCATGGTACTCAGTCAAGCACTTCTCGCAGATCTACCATGACGGTCATCTCGCAGAAGTGCTGACTATGCCAATGAGAGAGTCTAAATGACAATCAAAGCGATGAACGTCCTCTCAGCTCTGGTCAGGAAACCACCCTTCACAGATCTGGCTCATTGTTCACGGTATGTGTCCTTCATCGTCCCATGCCTGGAAACTCTAGCGCTTCCTTGAGGCACCATGTGCAGCCCAGCGACCGGGTAGAACAGGCGTTGTTGGTGACTCTGTCGCGATGATCGGTGTCGGATTGCAAGGCGTGACTGTATCCCTTTCTTCCCTGGCGTGCAATATGTCTGCCGACGGGGTCCTTGGTGTCCAACGGCAGGCGAGGTGGTCCCGATGATCTACAAGAAGCAAACGCGCCAGAAAGCACTTACCGAGTCACGGTGTCCGCGAGAGCGATATTCGTCGTCGCCTTGAGATGAAAATGTAAGCTGATTGCAATGTTGTGCGATGCAAGAAGTGGTGGCGGACAGTTGTCTCTTGAGAGGCACGAGGCAGCAGGAGAGAAGGGGAATGAGGATCAGTCACCACACGCGCAGCGATGAGAGTGGTCGGTGCGACGAGGTAGTAAAAGAGGGTTGAAGTGTTCGTTGAGACGGTGAAGGTGAGGTAGAGGTGTTGGTGGTGGTGGTGGAGGAGGAGTGGGAAGGTCTTACCCATTGCGTATGTGTGTAAGGTGGAGGTAAGTAAGGTGTGTGGAGAAAGAAGCAGCAAGCCTGGAGGTGAGAGAGAGAGGTCGGTTCTCAGCAAGGAACTGTAAGAGGTAGGTTTAACACCGCAGAGCGAGATGGATGGTGGTGGTGCTGCTGCTGCCGCGTAGTTGCTTTGCTTGTGATTGCTTGCTGCGCGTCTGATGAGTAAAAGGGAATGCGACGGAGAATTGTCGAGGTAGAACTGAAGGGCGCGCTGCAGCAGCAGTGGCGGCGGCGGCAAGGCGGGCGCTCGGCCGGCTCCGTCGGGCGTGAACACAGCACAATCGTACTGAGGTAGGTACATTACCTAGGTACTACACACATTGACCCTTGATGTGCTCTACCACGTCGTGAGCAATGTCTACAACGACGACGATGTGATCTCACAACATGGTGTCAAGTCAGCCATGGCCTCCTCTCGAAGCGGTTTCTGTCGTGGCTATCCATTCTCGTCATCTCATCCGTGGCCGACAGTCCCTTCACGACTAATAAATTGCGCAGGAGATCGCATGCAACGGCTCGCCGGTCCGCCGTAGCAGCAGCACGAGCACGTCACCTCGTCCCGCCCTTGTCGCTGCTCCCTCCAGCTTCATACTGTATGATGATGCCACATGAATGATACAGGCAATGTGCTCTTAATAAGAAACCAGCACACCAGGGCAAACAGTCTCACGTTCTGCACAGCGCGTTGGACTGACCATGGGAATGCGCCTACATTCCACCTACCTATGTACCTCACTTCGTGCTCACATTCCCAGTGACAGTAAATTGCGCCGCCCAGTGCTTGCTAGTCGAGGCCAGCAAGGTGCTTTTCGATGCGAGTGTTTGCTGGCTACGGCCGTGATCGCGTTGGAAGCTACTATCGGTTGTCTATCCACAATGGGACAGATATCAGCGCCTTCATCGTCGACCCTGGCAGCCTACCTCACACCCGTCCGGGGCTCTCTCTATGCATTACAATGACAGTCTGTACATGTCCAGGTTTCCTCACAGCCGCCAACGCCGCTGGACTTCACCGCCTGAGGATTATCATCACGTATGTGAGCATAAGCCGAAAGCCACGTCTTCTTTATCGATCACTTATATCGATCACTGTCATAACACGCAAGTAGGAAGGCGGATCACAGTGGTGGAAGCATTTGTATTGCTCCTGCCTGTGGGCTGTCTCCGCCTTAGGGTTTGGGAACTCTCATCGTCTGAGCACCCCGGCCTGTCGTGTAGCGGCCCGTACCGGTGTTGATATCCAGGATCTACGATCTTCTGCAATGGAGGAAAGGCGCCTTGATGAGAGTGTTTGCACCTTTGATGTGTTGTTTACATCCTCATTAACGACGCTGGCGTCGAAGACTCGGCGAGACGAGTTGCAAACACCTGTCTCATAGTAAAGCCTTCATGGAGAATCATCGTGGATGCGCCCGAGATTGAGCTGGACCATGACGAAAAGCAGTCGTAGACGCGTGCGTTGGGCCGTACATTTCAATCTCCCTCTCTCGCGATGATACAGCTACCAGGCCAGGAATCTGTCCCTGCCGAGGCTGTCAAGCCGGCTTGTATCCTTACATGCATGGTCGAGTGGGGACGTATGTATGCGTTTTGGAGGCTGGAGAACCTTTCGATGCTTCGATATATGTCTTTCTGAGATGACGGGCTGTCGAAGCATTTGCTTAGGGTTGTCACTACCCCAACGGGGACGAGGCGGCCAACAACGTCGCAGATGATCTCAACTACTACATCTACCCCATCTGTCTGGGTGCGATGGCCACAAACTTTCGCTCTACTCGGATGACACGCTACTTAGGTATCTCAAGCTTTTCGCCCATGCGATGTGTTATTCACTGACGAGGATCGGCATCGGCATGGCGGGTTGACGTATACAACGGATCTGCGAGTGCCGGCACAGCCTCAGCGAGGCACACCGGTGTAGATCAGGGAATCGGTCGTGGCAGTGCATTTACAAATTTTGGATATAGTAGTCAGCCTCTGCAAACGAAGGCACAGCATCTCTCCAAGAATTTCTCGCACGTCTACCACAAGTGCATGGTTTTTTGCCGGCGTCATAATCTGTCCTGACGCCGCGAATTCTAGCGATCGTCCCGTTCAGATCGTTGCAACGCTCTCTGATCGTCAGCGCGTATGGATGACGCCTTGCAAGCGCTTCAGGAATGGAAAGTATATGATCAGAGTGCTTCCGCACGTACAGCTGGTGAACTGGAGCAATGGTTTGATTATTACAGCAATACGAATATTCCGTGGCTTATACCCGGCTCTGATCGCGAGTCCATTAACGACGAGCTTGACGAGGCGAAAATCGACCGACAGGTGGTTGCGACTGCAAAAGGCTGCTCCGTATCCGATGGGCTGTGTCTCTGTTGTACATCGATATTGTCCACCGTCAACCAAGAGCTGTCCCTGCACAGGCCCTATCCCTGGAAAATCGTCGAGCCGACAAATATTGGAAGTGATAGTGAGTGGGTTTATTCCAAGGTGGACCAAGATCACGACTCGAAGAGCATTGAGGCGGGTAGTAGGAACGGTTGTCGCCTATGTGTCTTGCTCTTCCGCAACCTGAAAAACGACCGAGTCTTGAATGCTCTCCGGTCAATCGAAGACCGTCTGGAGCGGCTAGACAAACTAAACGATAGCTCCAAAGCCACACAATCGCTCGTCAGATGCATGCTACGGGCGGAGTTCACGATAAATTCGGCCACGCCATTCGCCCTGCGCTTCTATTGTCCACGGGCAATGCATGGTGCACAGTCCAGTTATCCGATCATCACACTGGACGTATGGGGCCGGAGGGGATGGTGTAAGCTTAGTCGCATCCCGCTCGGGTGGATCCACATCCTGACGATATTCTAGATAAAGCAATTGAGCATGCGATTGATCTCCCTCAATTTTGGAGCAGGTACTGCCTGCTAAACCATCAGAATTGTCGCCCCACGGCACAGACTCAAGTCGCTTTGCCCACAAGACTGCTCTCCATATCTGAAGATGCGGTCCGATTGATCCACACTTCCGACTGGGCAGAGCCTCTTCCCTACGCAACGTTGAGTCATTGCTGGGGCGATACAAAGTTCCTCTGTCTGAACTCGGCAAATCTCCATACTCTGGCGTCAGGCATTCACTGGGATGACCTGGCGAATACATTTAAAGACGCAATCGAAATCGCCCGCAGAGCTCGGCTGAACCATATTTGGATCGACTCTTTATGCATTGTACAAGACAGTCGATCGGACTGGCAACTTGAGTCTGCTAAAATGGGTATGATATATCGCGGATCGAGCTTGAACATTGCGGCTGCGTCGGCTACAGATGGTACACAGGGCTGTCTTCCCCGAAAGCCATCATCTCGAAGCATCAGTACTTTTCGCACGGCTCATGCAGGTGATGATACGTTACTGCGCAATACATGGGCATCTGAGTCGTATGATTTGCACCAAAATCACCTGGAGACTCGAGCTTGGTGTATGCAAGAACTGATCTTAGCACCTCGTACGCTTTATTGTACCAACAAAGGTCTGTTCTGGGAATGCAAGAGTAGACTCGCCACGGAAGACCTACAAACTCTAGACCATCTGTTGCCAGCCTTGCCCGACGTAAGGGCAATCACTACGGTTGAATCTTGGATGCGACGTATCGTGGTGCCGTACTCTAAATGCAGCCTGACATTCAGCACAGATAAACTGCCAGCTCTGGACGGTCTGGCAAGGATCATCCAGCCAAACATTGGGAGTGACTATCTTGCAGGATTGTGGAGATCTCATATGGTCCTCCAGCTATGTTGGTTCGCGAAAACAAGCGAAACTAGACCGCTGTACCGCGGAGCGCCCTCGTGGTCATGGGCATCTGTCGATGGTCCCGTCGACCTGTATCCCCGTTTGGACCAGCAAGACATCAAACCTGCCGAATCTTCGTTCGTGACCCTTGTTCATGATGTCGTCACAGAAATGGCCCATAGCAATGCATTCGGTGAGCTCAAGATGGGTCGGATGCGCATCAATTGTTCCAAGCTCGTCGTCGGTTGTTACCAGTTTGAAGAGCAGCGCGACGCCCACCAAATTCTGGTTTGCGACTTCGGTCGTGCAAGCACAATTCCGAGCGACGAGGCTATGCCGTATGAGACTTTTCAATTCCGGCCGGACTCTATCCCCAACATCTATTCCAAAGTAGCCTCAGCGGAGGCGGCGCCGGCGATATGTGAGTCGGGAGCGCAGCTAGCGATGCTCCCTCTGAAATCGATGGTCGCCCTCGATAGTCTGCAAGACAATGGGAAGGACTGGATACACGAGAAGTCCACATTTGGTCTCGTGCTCAAGCCTCTCGCATCTCGCCCCGGGGAGTACACCAGGGTAGGCAGTTTCGAATGCGCCGAGAGCCACGGTGTCGGTTACAAATTCTTGCACGAGAGCGACGACAGCGTTCGTTTTGCGCGGATCTTGGGCTCATCGGGCGCAGGCATGGCTAGAGCTGCATGCGCGAGAGTTCTCAAGGAGCCGGCACATAAGAGTGCGCGATACCAGCTTGAGATTGTTTGAGAACCAAAGCCCAGCACTTTCCCTTCGAGAGCATCGATGCGTCTCGATGAGCGGCGTTCTTGAACACCCGAAGTCCATTTAGGAAACGCGAGAAAGACATGACACCCGCAACCTCATGATCGGATCTCTCGCTGGCGGTGCACATTTCGCTGCAGCTTTCTGTCATGATCGTGATGGATCAGAACCGCTCGCTCTACTATTACATGACGATGTCTGGCACTCACTGTGAGTACCTAGGTATACACTTGCACATCAGAATACATCAACTTAAAGATCTACGCGCGGAACCGGATTTTGCGAATATCCTCACATTACCTCGCTCTGAATGTTATCCCGTGATCAGCCCAAATTTATCCTTCTGCCCGCTAACAATAAACGACCACTCAATCCCCTCGACTTCCTTGCGCCTCTGTATCCTCACAGGATACGGCTCACCAGGCGGTGACATGGCTGCAGCCATCGCATTCGAATTTAACTTCGGCGTCCACCAATGACCCTTGACAGGCGTAATATCCGTTCTGAGAACCAACATCGCAGCCACAGCGAGAATCTCCGCCGTGGCGAAATGTCTGCCCGGGCACAAATTCGGCGACGCGCCCCACGCCATGTACGACGTCGCTCGCGGCTTCGTGTGCGCCTTGGTCGCCTTCTGCCCCGCGATGGCTACATGGCTATCGAACCGCGTGGCGTCGAACTTGGAGGCGTCGAGACCCCAGTGTGTCTGCTCCGAGTGGATCACCGGCGCGGACATCTGCAGGATGGACCCTTTCTTCAGGAGGAACTGGTTGTCGAGGACGACGTCCTCGTACACGAAGCGGATGGGCGCGCCGTTGGAGTGCAGGCGGAGCATCTCCTGGAACGCGGCGACGAGCAAGGGGCAGTCGCCGCGGATCAAGCTGATATCCACCGCCCGCTTGTGTGGCGCCGACGGGTCGGGGGTGACCACGGCGTGCGTCTCGAGTTCGCGGCGGATGGCGGCGAGGAGATCCGGGCGTGAGAAGATGTCGAACATGCACCAGAACGTCGACGGCACGGTGTTGGAGAGCACGCCAATGTTGAGGCTCATCTCCAGTCTCGCCGTGTCGCGGACCGTGGCGCCGCCATCGCGCTGGGCATCCCGACGCGCACGGGCGAGCTCGGAGCAGTCTTTTTCCTCGTAGCCGCCGGATTGCGCAAAGGCCTCCATCGCGTCGACGAAGCGCTCTCGGCACTGGTACGCTTTCCGCGCGGTGATCCAGGGGAGCATGTTCGCCAGGAGAATGTTGAGGTTGGATTCGAAATACCAGAAATCCTCCGTCGTCTGCTCCGACCGGAAAGGGTTCTGTTTCCCCCAGACCGCCTCGCTGCTCGCAGTAGTAATCACATCGCGACACCACCTGTGCAAATCGATCTCGCTCCTTGGACCATCGATAAGCTGGTCCATTAGCGGTCCAATCTTCACTAGCATCGTGCGATTCATCTCGTCGAGTCCACTGCCCATCAATGATGGGATACTCGCATGCACAACGGTCTGGTTGAGTCCTCCGCCGCCCGCATGGGTTTCCTGGAGTAGCTTCAGACCGGGACCGGTGATGCCGGCCATGCGCTCGGCGGCGGCGGTGAGGAACGGGTCGAAGGAGAGGATTTTGGCATTGCGTTGCACGGCGGCGACAATCTTGGCAGATTTGACGATATACAGACGAGTTCCCAGGAGGTTGAGGGAGAAGATGGGGGCGTCGGTTTTGGCGCTATGTATATGAACCTCACATATATTAGTCTGTGATCCTTTCTCACCCAATGTGTGTTGTTCTGCCAACAATGGTGAATTTGAGCAGGACGATGCTGCTTTTGCAAATTTCCTTGTTCGTTTGGGAACGCGGGTCGACGGGAATGAACTCACGCGATGATCTTGTAATACGGCGTCCCCTGGAACATGAGTCCCAGGCCATGGCCGATGAACGGGATTCCCGGCTTCACATATGGCGGCTCGCGCTCGTCGGCTTTCGCTCCCACGAAGAGGTATATGACCAGGAGCGTCACGACCGCGATTGCGATACTGGTGATAGGCGAACCCTTGAGCAGCGGTATTAAGTCGTCGGTGAATGCCATGGCTAGCTTCGCTTGCTCGCTTGCCGCTGTGCGTGTTTACTTCTCCCAGGAACGCGTGCGCTCGATTACTTCGGCGGTCGACTCAGGCGGCTGGCCAACGGGACATTACTTTATTTCACCAAATGCTGAGGAGAAAGCTATCTGAGTTCATGATGAGGATCTGGGTCCGTAGACTAACCGATCTCGTTCGATTCCGAGTTCCATCGCATGGCGGGTCGTGCAGGAAATGCGCCCCTTGCCATTGGGCCTGTATATTTATTTGCCGATACCGAAAGCGATATCCGCGTTCTAGCGTGCAGCCTAGAAGCGGTCGAGACGGGACCAATGCCCGTTTCGGGAAGTGCTGTTCCCGCGATCCGCTGGCCGTTCAATGTAGTGTGAGGATAGAGGCTCTGAACGACGAACGAAAAAAATGTGTTCGTTGGGACATGTATCCCTCGTTCTCAACACGTGTTGGACGAACCATTCATGTACAGGAGCAGCAGCCGTCTTGGAAGTGACCTAAGCCTGCTGTAGGTATCGTATTAGTCATCGGACATGGCAGATGTTGGATTAGTCATCACACTGTGTGTGTGGCCCACGCGCGTGCAAGCCTGGAAGCCCGCCCGATGACCGTTGATCTTGCGGTGGAACTTGGCCCTTCGCCGATTCTTCCTACCCTCAATAGCTTCATCGATCGAAGAAGCTTATCGACGACGATATGAATTCCTCTTGGTATACGCCACCGGCGTTTGTACCGATCAAATACGTCCCAGCACCTAAGAAGGCTGAAATTCAAGCGAGATCGGTTTCTTGTTTACACACAATCGCAGAACCTCCTGCAGCCGGCCCTCACCCCGGTAGTCTCACGAACCACTGGTGCTTGTACCTGGAAACAGGCGAGGGCGAATCTGTCTGCGTTAACGCTCAGCCTAACCCACAGCAGGGAGCCACTACGATCGAAGGTGGTTTCAAGGCCGATGTCATCGTGAGCCTGATGCCGTATGCTATGGCGATCGATAAGGCCCACCACGTATCAATGTCTGTCATCGAAGGCGCGACAGTGGGTCGTCTCATAGATCGTCTCGTGGAATCTGGTCGCGATAGATACGAGTTCAACGCAGATGGCGTCGGATGTCGCAACTGGGTGACGGATACTCTGACCTTGCTCACACAAGAGAAGTGGCTACGTGTTGAGGAAGTCGAGGTGGCAAAGGCTGACATTCGAAAGCTCTGGCCGGAGGGAACTCCGCTTGAGATTGACAACGGTGGGTACTATGATTGACCTTGTTGCGTCGACTGCAGCAGTGAGGACAAGGTTTATTCAGCCTAATCAGGCGCGACCTGTCGCCTTCTGACGTTTCACGCCTACACGCCTGCCTGCAACCCTGCCTGCACGTCTGCCTATACGTCTACCTACAGGTCTGCCTCGACCTCCTTTTCGTCAGGACAGTAGAATATATGTCTCATCAAACGCTTGTTATGACTTGCGAACTCGTCTAGAGCAACGTGAACGAGACCTGAATGGACCCTCTTTATTCCAACGTTCCTCATCCAATGACCCCTTTTCACGATGTACTAACTCCTTTTCAAAATTTTCGGTTCCGAGCCTAACAATAAATCAGCCTACCAGCAAAAATCCATCAACAGCCTTTCCGTTGAACGGAGTGGATCTCGCTACTGGTTCAGTCTGGGAACTCATCACAATCAGCAAGGCGGCCCCGACTATCTACAGGCTCCAGGGTATTCATGTCGTGCGACTTTCCACTCATTTGGTCCTCAAGTATGGTCAGGCAATCCAAATGCAGGAGATCAAGGCGATGAAATAAGTCAATTCCAACATGGATGTTCCTACCTCTAGACTCCACCACTACTTCTTCATCGCCTTTGATCCCTCGACCTCCTATCCATGTGGATATATGGTCATGGACTATGTTGAAGGCAACACGGTTTTCGACATCTGGGAGAGCCTCGACACGGAACGACGCACAGATATCGTCAAACAAGGCGCCCATATCGTCTCCCAATTACAACTCCACAGCTTCGACCAGCCAGGCCCTCTCGGCGGAGGGCGTTGTCGAAGGTTCCGGGTCTCCGGTTACGGAGCAGGACCTTTCCACAAGGACGACTTCAACGCCTGGTTCACGCGCAAGCTGGAATTCTCCCAAAGGCGCGGATACGCCAGCAAGGATTTTCCACACTTCGACTACTCGTCGTTCACCCTAGTGCACCATGACATATGTCCTGTGAATCTGGTTTTGGACTGCGACAGCAATGTCTGGGTCATCGACTGGGGCAACGCGGGAGCCTATCCCGCCATTTTCGAAGCGGCGACGATGAACGACTCTTCGAGGTTCACGGAATTCAATGCCCTCATGCTGCCGCATATAGACAATGGCTTGGAGGAAAGGGACCATACTTTGGGGGCGCCCTGGACCATTGTTACCGGAGTTTATTCGGAATGAGTTCGTGGATACATGTGTACGATGAATCATCACGCAAAGACTGTTTGGACTTACTACTAATGTCGATATCCGTATCTCAGGCGCAGAAAACCCTCGATGTTCATTCCCAAGAACAACGACGAAGGAAGATCATTTTCATTCATAGCAGTGCCATTTCGTAAAATCCGGACCCCTCCCCATCGATCCCATTCGCCTCAAACATACAGTAAGGAAAACCAGAAACAACGTCCGCTCCGAGAGAAAAAAAAACCTCCTCACGGGCCGACCTTGAAATTCAACCGGATCCCCATCGCCGCCAACTCGACATCCAAATACTTCAACACGCCCGGGATCGCCACGAGCGTGACATCGTCTCCGCCGAACCACTTGGCGCCCGAATAGTCCTCCCAGCAGGCGCTCCTCGGATCGCTCGAGAGGGCCTTGCGCGAGCACCTCCTGCAGCGGACCCGGCCGCCGTCCCGACGGCTCGCGTAGGAGCCCGCGCTAGGCTGGACGGATAAGAACGAGCCGCAGGCCTTGCAGATGCTCGCTTTGGTGTAGTCGGAGCAGTTCATCAGGCGGTCCTGCAGGAGGAAGGCGGTGCCGTGCGCGAGGAGGGCGTCGCGTTCCATCTCTCCGACGCGGATTCCTCCGCCCTTGGAACGGCCCTTGATGGGCTGGCCGGTGAGCGGGGTGACGGGGCCGGTGGTGCGGACCTGGAACTTGTCGTTAACCATGTGCCGGAGGCGCTGGTAGTAGACGACGCCGATGTAGATGTCCGCGGCCAGCTCCTCGCCGGTGATGCCCGAGTACATGGGCTCGTTGCCATAGTAGTTGTATCCCGCGCGCACGAGCTGGTGGCCGAAGTATTCGACCGCCGTCTCGCCTTGCTTGTCTTTGAACTGGAAGGGCGTCGAGTCCTGGGCGAAGCCGTGGCAGGCGCCGGATTTGCCGGCCATGGATTCGACGAACATGCCGATGGTCATGCGGGAAGGGAAGGCGTGTGGGTTGATGATGACGTCGGGTTGCATGCCGCTTTCGGTGAAGGGCATGTCGATGGTGGGCCATTTTTGAGAACAGACACCTTTCTGTCCGTGACGGGAGGAGAACTTGTCGCCGATGACGGGTGAACGCGGGATGCGGAGACGGATGCTGACGGCTTGACAGGGATCGTTGTTGCCGTTTTCGTTACCGATCAATTTGATCTCCTCGACGTATGCCTGTTCCTGATCCTTATACTTGTGGAGATGCGTAATGCCGTCCTGGTTGACGTACTCGCCTGTTTGAGGATCCTTGACGACTGTGTATGATGCAGCGATGATCGAACCGTCTTTGATCTTGACGCCGGAGACTGCGAGACCATCGTCATCGAGTGTTTCCCGCCATTGCGCTTTCACAATCGAATTCGGAGCAAAGCCAAACATATGTGTGACACCGCCTTTGCGAGTTTTGTTTTCCTCAGCGAGGTTGATCTTCTTGGTCTTGTAAATCGTTCCAAACCCGAATCCTCGCTCGTGTGCTGACTTGTTGATGATCATAGCGTCGTCCATGTCGTAACCAGTATATGAGATAACGGCAACGACCGCGTTGGTACCATTAGGGAAGTTATCGAGACCGTAGTCCATGTACTTGGGAGTCCTGACGACGGGAGTTTGACCTGTCTGTAGTCGATAGGTTTTGTTGTCCGTGCGGTATTTCAAAGCGGTTCCTGGCGTTCCCATGGTCTGTTTGGCCATCTGGCACTGGTACATGTTTCGGGGTGACTGGTTGAAGTTCGAAAATGGCGTCTGGTTCGCAAGGATGGATAGGATGTTCGTAACATCAAATTCCACATGCGTTGAATCGCCGGATGAAATTTCGGGTTCTGTGCAGGCGATTGACATGAATGGCTGTTCGAATGGCCCAACATAGTCGAGCTTCTCGAGAGGAAGGTATTTGACAGGTCGAATCATTCGTGCAGGTCCCGAGAACAAGTAGACACCAGGATATTGGCCACCGCTTGACAAAGGAATATTGCCAATTTCGAGTTCGATCGGAACGTCGTGGGTCCCTTCGACTTTCCAGTATCTCAACGAGTCGCTAATGACTTTGGCCTGTTTCGGCGAGCAGAACCCAAGCACGCGACCATCGAGCTGTACGACCACGCTGTCTTCCAGGATTGCGCCAGACGTAGGCGAGATGCCGATCTGTGAGATGAGAGCTGGAATCTTCGATACGTCGACACTTGAGGTCTCAATCTTGCACTTATGCGCCAAGTGATTCAGCAGACCACAGGGCGAACCGTCGGGAGTGTGCACCGGACACAAGAATCCCCAACTCTCAGGCAGTAGCTTTCGGACCGTCGTCGTCTTCAACTGCGCGAAGAAACTACCTCGATGCACCATGCGGAAGTGACTGATGAATCGATAGAAGTTGATCTTTTCGGCCACCACCGTAAAACCAGAAGTTTGTTGCAAGTCTAAACCAGAAGGACTGACGAGATTTCCTGTCGAGAGGAAGTACTCTAATGCTTGACCGAGATTCTCGTTTGTCCTGCGCAGAACTTTCGTCATGAATGTCTTTTCAAACTCGTGACTTGTAAACGGCTGCCAGGCATTATCACGACCCCATTCCCGCAGACCAAGACCGACTGTACCAAGCCACTCGTCGATGCGCTCCTTGATGATCATTCCAAACAAGAAACCTGGAAGTAGAATCTCCTGATTCTGGACAGCATCTGGGTTGTCGATGGTGCATTCGCCCTCGACTAGAGAGTATAGTTTGCGAATCATGAAGAGAATCATCCTGGACTTGTCCACGTCCTGTGCCTCGCTGACATTGCAATTGCCGAGATGAGGCAGCACGATTTTGCGAAGGAATTCGGTTCCGGCCTCATCGTCGCTCATGTCCTCGGGCACCGAGAGCACGACGCGAAACTTCGAACCTAGGTATGCTCGTGACTTCGCTCGTGACTGGATGTTGTATGCTTTGTATGTTCTGAGCAGCAGCTCTACCCGATCCGAGACGAATTGCTTTGTGTCCAATCCCTTGCTCTTCGCGGGTCCCACGATGGACTCGAAGATCTCCCGATCATTGGTTTCAACGAGAGCTTTGATGATCATCAATACCGGAACGAGAAATTCATTCTTGCGCCATGAGAATCGGAAGATGACGTTACCGTCGGAAAGGTAATGTAAAACGTTTGTTTGAGAAGTCTGATCTGGACGGACTGATCGAATCTGGATACCGAATTTGGTGTATGTAGCCCCTCGATTCTCGAACGACGGTCGAATGATGGCCATGGGGAAATTCCGGCGATTGACAATTAACATTCGGATCAACTTCTCGATACCGTTGACGATGAAGTATCCACCCAATTCATCCGACTCTTCTCTTCGGTCCACAAGCTCTTTCGGAGGCAACCCTTCAAGGTGACATCGATTTGAACGCAGCATGATCGGGACATGACCAAATTCTCGCACCGACTCTTTCCACGGGCCGTCGTTGACCCGGTACTCGACTCGACCTCGGAAGCGTCCTCGGTATGTGACATGCCTCTCTCGGCACTCGACGGGGAGAATTTCTCTCTTCAATGCTTCGACCTTGTTGGACGATGGCAGCAGGCTCTTTTCTAGAAATACCTCCTTGACACGCACCTGTAGACGGTTACGAGGACTATCGTGCTCTCCGAGAGGATTGCCGTCGAGGAATGTCCGTGTGCCGATATCTTTGAGTGCATGGTGGAGTTGACCTTCTAGCGCGAAGATGGTGTTGAAAGAGTCGACATGAGGTTTGATCGTTTCTGCTAGAGTCGGGAATGCAGTCTTCTTGCTGGGAGGATTCCGAAAGATCTTCTCTCGTCGGACAGTCTCGAAGTCTGTTGACCATTTGCTGCCCGAGGTCATGGTCGTGGTCGTAGTCTCTGTTCTGGCTGGCGCCATTGCTGTGGTGTTGTAGAGATGTGCTCGATGGGTCGCAAATTATTTCATAGTAGTGTACATGCAGGCGAGAGCAAATTATTGCATACAATCGAGACTCTCCTCGATCACCGCCGCCCTGATGAGTGAATTTGGCGAGACGGCTAAAGCAAAGATGTGTGAAGGGCGTGCTATGCGACAGACGCCGACGACATTGACCGACTCTCGAAATCTTTTTTTCCCAGAGCTCGAGAGATACGGAAGAACTGATTAGGCTAGCTTATCGGAGTTAGGGCGGCCTTCCTCCACGCAGCATCCGCGGTGTCACGGCCCGCATCGTCGGCCCGTCGGTAGCATGGAGACCCGCCCATGTATCATCACGCCGGACATTGCTCTTATTGTATTGCACATATGCGCATGTCGAGACAGCACTGTCTGCCTTGAATATCCACTTCGGACAACTCGATCGCAGCTGGACCCAGGCTCTGGCGGTAATCTATTGATAATTTGATCTTCCTCCGAAATCGGGGTCGAGCCGGACGGACGAGTGATGGGAGCTGGTATGAAGCCCAGTCGCTCCTCTCGAGCATCCTCGTTCATCACCGGTATGCGCCGATGGTCTGTGAGGCACGCTCACTCTTCCCAATAATTCAGAACCAATCAATCGTGTAACGACCGTAATCAGTCTTTTCTTGTCCATATCTGAAGCACGGATTTTAATGATTGGCTGATGTGCAAATGATTTATCTGCCATGGACCGGGAGTGGGAACACCGGTGGGCAGTCCCGGGCGCCTACCGCATGGACTTAACGTTTTTGCGCCATCCGCGCACGAACAGTACGCAGCCGAGTGCGACGCAGTAGATCAATACATATGGACTTCCCGCGCAAGTGGTAAAGACTGATCATGGACAGGCCTGAAAACATGAAACACTTGCTCCGGCCGGCCGGCCATTTTTGTGTTGGGAAAATCAAGTAACATGGACCAGACGATCAGCGAGGAATATGCTCTCGCCTTTGGCGCGCGCACATGGCTGATGGACTGGGAACTCGGGTCATGATGTGGTCCTGGTTCCTGGGGCGAGGGCGCGTACTTGTGATCAGCAGTGGCATTCCATTCCCCATCGTCCCTTTGCTCTGGAGGGACTGTGCATGCGATCGAGGAGCGGTGATGACGAGCATGCTTATCGTGTGCTGTTTGTTGTCCTGCGCATGCGTCTGTGTTGGTGTTCTGTACTGTATTAGTATTACTGTGGGCGGGCGAGCGACCAGCTGACCACGAGTTGTGGTCCTTTCCTACCTAGGTATGTAGGTAGTGGGCGTCTCCTCCACCTTTGGGCTTCACACCTGGGCATCCACTGACTAGCGATGGGAATGATTGCTGTACTGCCATGTATGTATGTATGGATGTATGTATGCGCGATCAACAGCGTACCTCTGGGCATCGTGAGGAGTAGCAAGTGTGAGTATCGCTGCTGTCGTTCCGCTCCTTGTACTGTCTCTGCGATAACTTGCAGTATATGTCCCGTGGACATTATTATTGAGCTTGCTCGCCGTTCTATTGATAATCACCTTGTTCCCGGCCGTGTCTCATCACGCTTTTTGGTTTTCCCGACGCATAGCCGACACCTCTGCTCTCCCCATCTCATCTCTGCTCATCTCAAATACGCGCTCCTCCAGCGATCCCCGTGCAAATCCTCTCCCACCCAGCCGCCGTGCTGCCCATACAAATTACCTTCTCCATCCCTGTCCTTGGATGCGCTCGATCGCCGTGCGGATTGTTCCTCCTCGCAGCTCCTATATCATCACCGAGAACCCCTTCACACCTCGTACGGTCGCACATCTGCACACTTCCTCCCCTGCATATCCACCTCGTGCCCTTGCAGCGACAGACTCATATCATTCGGCAGGAGCGCTCCGCAGGACCAATGCATGAGTCCTCTTAGCCTTGCCGCATCTACATACACGCACAGCAGCTTCTTTGACCATCTGCGCAGCTACGGGGAAGTCAGCAAGGACGGTAATCTCCTGCTGTCGATATTCATCAGAACGTGAGCTCGTCGCGTCTTCCTCTGCGACTCCTCCACCACCTGGGCATATCGCTCGAACCTCGCTCGGTCGAACGCTGTCGTCATCGTTCAGCGGAACCGCGGGCAGCGGCGACGGCGCACGGCAGGCCCCGCGCTCAAGACAAGCGGATCAACCCACCTGCACTGCACTGGTCGGTCGGTGTCCACTCTATCACACACGAACCGTCGATTTCGAGCACTGCAGCATCGCAGCACCGCTATTGCACCTCGATCGCGAGAAACAAGTCCGTTTTTCAACCGTATAGACTCTGCGCATAGAAAACGACAAGACTGGACGAGTGCGCCGACCCGTGTGCATGCGCTTGACCTTCATTCCTGAATACTGGACAAGACTCACGCCGCGATTGCCATTCCCTCGACATTTCACTCATTAAAATCGAATTCACTCACGCGGTTCGTCGGCCAGACGCCATTGCTTCATCCAGGGCGTATCCTTCTCCCGCGTCTTCTTGAACCTCATCTTACCTCATCTCCTGGATCCCTACATCATCTGAACGGCTGAACGCCTTCCACTCGCCCAACATGGTGGGCTTTCTTAAGCGAATTTACGATTGGCTGTTGAGCATCTTCTGGTACGTGTATCTCCGCCCTCGGCAAATAGAGCACCTGCTTCTGTCCATCGGACGGAATGTTCCAGCGACAAGGATGGCCCGAACTGATGATCCTTCTTTGGAACCTCGTCACTCACATTTTTACTGCGAAACGGCCATGATGACTAATAAGATCTCCTCTTGCTTCGCCCTTTAGGTCAACAGAAATGGACATCACTATGATCGGTCTTCAAAATGCTGGCAAGACCTCCTTATTAAGAGTGCTAGCTGTAAGTAATTTCTCCGAAGCTATACTCATTTATATCTTCATCAGCTGACATATTATGGCAAACAGGGAGGTGAATTCACGATTGAGTAGGTAATCATCGAGACAGAGACAAGATTCACAACTTCGTTGGAAATGGTCCGAGATCTACAGAGATTCAGACGCTGACGTGATGACATGCAGCTCCATTCCGACAGTCGGCTTCAACATGAAAAAGGTTCAAAAAGGACACGTCACATTAAAATGGTGAGATCATGCGCTGATCACCCCTCGCCCGATTCAAACACACTTGAACGAAACAACTACCTCAATTTTCATCGTCGATTAGATCCTTGAAATCGTTAATTGAAGTCGAGCCCTTTGCTGACACTATTCCAAGCTGGGATCTCGGCGGCCAACCACGATTCCGGTCAATGTGGGAACGATATTGTCGAGACGTCAACGCCATTGTGTAAGTTACGGTTTTTGGTCCGATGGATTTCCGTGCGAACATCTCGTCATCCGCCTCCTGAGCATCGCTCGGGGCTCCCATTCTATATCCTCTGCGCCTCCGATGCTTGTCCACAATCTTCATCGATGCGATATTCGCCTTGTCAAGAAACATCTGCCCAGGCATCTTCGATAGCACCTCTTCTGACAAATGATCTCATGCAGATTCATTGTTGATTCCGCCGACCGCGAGGCCTTCGACGTTGCCAAGGAAGAACTCCACATCCTCATCAACAAACCCGCGACAGAAGGTATCCCTTTGCTTGTTCTCGGTAACAAGTCAGATCTTGCCGGACACGCCACCGTGGACGAGTTGATCGATGTCCTGAACCTGAAAGAAGTTACTCACCGAGAAGTGAGCTGCTATGGTATCAGCGCCAAAGAGGAAACCAATCTCGACGCTGTTCTGCGCTGGCTCATCGGGAGAGTGAGCAAGAAATGACATCGCTCATCGAACCGACGGTCCTGACAAGCTCGGTCCACTTCGGCTGCAGTCAATGACACTCCGCCTGTAACTCCGAAATCGAAACGTCTCGACCAGCTTTGGCACCTCAGTCAATAGCTCACAGCCAGAAACCGCTGCCTGACCGATCAGTCGATGCAGAGCAAGCGATATCCGGCAAACTCGAAATCTCCAGAATCGGCTATCCACGGTTTATCTCCCGATGATCCATCATCCGGGATCTCTCACGAATCACGGAAATTTTGTTTTTATTTATCTTTGCATTATTTTGTTTTGGTTGTTTACTTTTGATTTTCCATGTCACCGGCGCCAACAAAGATTAAAACGAGGGAATTGTGCGGCGCGATGCTGCGGTGCCAGCGATGGCCTGTTTGTTTGCCAGAAGGTCATTTCAGTGGGGTTTGTTGCTCCGTCATTCCGGAATCTCTGCAGGGGGAGGGGTGGAAGTCTCGAGGAAATGGATCGCGGGAGATGAAAGACGGGGATAAGATGGAGGTCGAAGCCGGAAGTCTCCAGTCGAGAGAATAGGTATGGTATAGTATCGTACATTAAAGTAGCTTTCCTGGGCGGTATCATCTTCAATCTAACGACATTATCACGATCATATGTTTCATCTCAACACAAATCTCCCCCCCTTAAATCTCTCCCCATCCTTACCACCAGGCCAACCTCATCTTCTAGGATCCCGTGAACATAAACCCACTCGCAAAAAACGTCAATGACGTCCCGTCCTCTCTCCCATCTCCGAAGGACAGCCGGCGCCGGCGCTCACACGAGCGAAAACGACGACATCTCCCGCGTCCATCCGCGGCGGCTCGCATCCCCAAGAAACCGTCCCGTGTCATGGCGAATTTCCGCTCCTGAAAGATATTGTCTCGTCGCGACTGGAATTCTACCCTTGTCTGTGGAGAGAGATGATCGGCGGCCACCTCCCCTTTGGCCCGGAAATGGACGTACGATTTTGGCCAGCGCGGGAAAGGTTGCGGCATGGTGTGTCCATGGGCAAGAGTGTGGGCGAAGCGGTGTTGGATGGAGGGATGGGCAGCGGTGAGTGTAGGATTGAGGATTGAGGATGGTCGTGATTCAGATGTCGGGATGTCATTTTCGGTGGTTGTGCTGGTGGTGGCTGGTGGACCAGGGATCTTACAGGGAGACGGATTGTCGGACGATGTCGAACTCGAGAGCATTGACTCGGAAGGTGTTCTTCACTGTGGGATGGAGTAGAATGGGTCTTATGGCGTTGCCGTCGCGGGATAGAACCCAAGCGCCGTTGCGACGTTCGAATGCTTCCAATTCGCACGTCAGAGTCTCAAAAGGCTCTCACATCGCCTCCTCGTGCGGATCTGGTACCGGATCGTTGTCTTCTACCGAAGCTGCCTCTGTATCATCGCGGTGAGCTGCGTCAGAATCTCAATCGGCGGTCGATGATGCTTCCACTTCCGAGTTCTTCGTCAGCAGACATGCTGCCAATATGAGGATCATCGCGCTGATCTAGGCAGATTTGAGTGCAAATCATCATAATCAACGACTCAGAGCGAAAAGTGCGCTCTCTGCTCCTCATCCCGCATCGTGACCAGGCTGAGAATCGTAAGAATCCCTTCAGCCGCTGTCGATGCCCCCGTTGCTCGTTGTTACACACCTGCCAGATTTTAATTTTAACCAGACCTGATAAGTCGCCTCTCCGCGGGACGTATGATCCTCAGCATACTATGAATTTCATAACGTGGGTCCGCCTCGTTTGTGTTTGCCGTGGGCCGGGAGAGAGGGAACAAAGTCCGCTCGGCTTCAGGATGGGATCTTTGTGCTAGCAGAGTGTGGATATCCTCCAACGTCGGCGCTCCCATCGCGTACAAGGCGAATTAACTCGCGGAAATTTGCATATCGCGGATGTGAACTTTCAGGCCACGCTTGGCGAGGAGGGCTTCCTAGACGATCCAGTCGCGTAAGAGCTTTTGCATCGACCAGCCAAGTCGAGAACGATGATATCGCATCTCATATTCTCGAGAAGCGTCTCGCTAGTTACCAAGCCAGATCAGGACGCGGCGTGCTTGTTGGTAGATGTCCTTGATCAGCCAGACTTGGGCATCTCGCTCGGAGATGTTGGCTTGGTCAATACATAATTGGTTGATACAAATGGTGTGGGTTTGCCAACGATGTCGTAGTCCTAGGAGGGCTTTTCAGAGCTTTCTTGTCATGAGGAAGATATCGCTGTTCGAGGGGAGAGTATGCGGGTCTAACCAGGAGTACCAAGTGTAAGACGATGCTTTATAAGGGATACTGCGCGTCAAAAGCTTCTTTGGGGACTTGTTTGGAGCTTTCACGTTTGAGATCTCCGACGGGGATGGGCCTACAGAGTTGCCGTCATCCCCAGCAGGGATATTTGTGGGTCCGGACTTTTACCTGGCACTCCAGAGGATCGTCCAGCTGTCCGAACAGCAATCTCAGAACTCGTAATTTTCTTTCCGCATCGAGATCCCGCAAGCTTGTATCCTGGGCTGCCGGCAATGTGGCGGAAGGCATGGTTGTTGGCGAACCGAGGGCATGTGGCACTGCGCTGGAATATTCCCAAACCCGCTGGCGCTTGCTTGTGGTTGTCCATCGATCAGGTTAGTCTCAACGCTATTATCGGACCTGGTTCCGTTTCCCACCGATGAAATATGCATTTCCTCGACCACGATTGTTATACACATTCCTCTGTCGGAATGTCACGGCACGAGCTGATCATCACACTGTCATTTCGAATACGGGTTTTTATGGGTCCTTGACTCCCGTGTCATTGTGATAGGTGGATAACATTCTGATCGTGATGTCTGCACTACGATCCCAATCTATTACGTTCTTGGGACGTCTTTGTCATACAGAACATTGATCCTGGCGGGAGAGATGTTGGAATTTCAGGGCAAAGACAGAGGTTATCCATTGGCCATATGTTATTTTTCAGGCCTCTGCCAGGACGGTCTTCCGTCTATCTTTACTTGCGTCCTTCTCGATACGCAGGCGGCAAGCCTGTCGTCCCGCTATCGAAGTACTCGTCGTATCACGGGCCTCGGAGCACCCGTTTGCTACTTCATAATGATGCTCTGAACCCGTCACCAACGAGTGAGCACACGACCGAGGCATACCGGGTACCCTTGATGGTCACTTGCTGATCTTCAAACATCTTGCAACAAAAGCAGAGCATTTATCGCTCGCGGTTGCAGGTCGATGGGGCAGTCTAATAGGAATTTGATTTGCAGTCGAGTGTCTATGAGCACATATATGTTCGTTGGTCATCCCCCTCATCATCCTCGAAAGAAAATCACCAAAGCACAAAAGATCTTTCAGCTTCTCATCTATCCATACTCTTTGACGAAAAGACACCTGAAAAACTCTTCACGATGTCAGAATCGTCGACCACGATCCGACTTGCGTCTCACCTGCCTCAGGAACTGTCCGGTGACCGCCAAACTACCGCCCTCCAATTACTAGAGAGGTCTTGCGGAGAGGAGCAAGTCAGCGGCTGCCAAGGCGTCGTACAGACCTCCTTCTTGTCGTTCAATGCCGACATCATCGCCTCTGCGAACGGGTTCTATGAGTCCATCTATCATGCGTACAGCAATAACCATAATCTGGTTTTGCGGCCAGATGACGTTTGGTTCGCCATACTTGCTCAGCTGGGCTTCTACCTGCACGCCAGAAACCCAAACGGCGGCAAAAATGTGGGAAGCATCGACTTCCAGAGTAGCTCGACCAATCTGACTGCTCGTATGCTCTTTCAAAGCAAGCGAAATGCCGTCGATGTGGTGAATGAAGACTGGATCGTGCCAGAGTTCACTACCACAATTGAGTCTGATCGCATCGTTGCCAGTGTGCTCATGCTAGGCGCTCTGCACGAGGATGTCACCCACAGGGCTGTGCGTTTGACCCCCGAGCACCCTGAAGGTTTCGGGATACCTTCAGTGACGCTCTTGGGGGAGAAGCGAGACTGGGAAAGGATCCAACAACGTATCACAAAGCTCCGAGATTTTGGAGAAGAGCCAAAGGAATTTGAAATGTTCCTGGGACCCATCATTCGCTACATCGTCAAGTCCTTCGATGACCACGACTCCACCGAGGTGAAGGATTTCTGGGACAACACCATCAAGCAGGTGGGGAGATATCAAAACGCCTTGCTCTCGGGATGGATCACGGCATTCTTCTTTTGGGATAAGAAGGGCAAAAGGATGTTCAAAAGTCCCGAGGGGAAATACCTTCTCGATGGAGTCGAGTACCTCTGCATTGGCACGTCATCATTTACTTCTGCACACACGAGAATGAAAGTGAAGGTGCGTGATCAAGGAGAAGAATTTCGGGCGCGTGTGATCGCAGGCTCGGTCGGAATGAAGATCAGCAGTAGCAATGAGTTGAAGGAGGACTCGGACACACTCCAGCCTGAGTCTGGATGGTGGATGATCAAGGTCGGCGACGACGGCGAGGCATGAAATTGGTCTAGTCAAGCCTCGCGTTTCGTTCGAGAGATATCGAAGGATCACACCATGGAGCGCCCGTGGTGTAGAGGAAAGTTGACATTCAACGTTCGGTGAGTAGCCTGCAGTCCGGTCCGTAAGCAAATGATCACATTTACAAGTATCCTCCAGCGCAATCATGCACATCCTTAGAACACAGCATTTCTTTCCTGCTAAGAGTGCCTCAGGCGGTAACGCGTAGGGACATGCTTGCACCTGTGTTTGTCTAGATAATACTCCACCCCAAGTCGTTTCGGTGGGCTGATCACGACAAAAGACGTATCCTGCCTGGTGATGTGCGGCCCAGCCAGCACCAATGGTACATGGCACAGAAGTCATACAAGCCCTCCCTCGACATATGAAGCATTTTGCCCTGGTATTCCTCCATTGGAGGGGATCCTGGCTAGACGATAGCTTTCGAGCCTGTGTCAGGGGGTCTCCTGATCATCTTGCTCCCGTCCTCGTTTATTCTCGCGGGCGGCAAATGATCAGGACTCCGACTCGCCCAACGTCAACATTCCAATCACCGTGACAGTGATTGTGTGATAGATTTCGGGTCATCCGTTTGCTATCATGTATTCATGTATCGGCTCTGTCACTACGCACCGACGGGCTATGTGGAGCCTGATCATAGGAATGCTGTCTACTCCTGCTCGTGATTCGTCAATCTTTTCTCTTCTTCGGTAAAATAGAGAATTTTCCGCTGGCGCATTCAGCTCAATGAAAAAGCATGGCTAGGTCTGCCCTTTGCTATCGCGAGGTGACGATCGCATATAAGTTTGCTTCATTCGCTCCTGCCTTCCACTCGACGGATATTGACCAAATTGCATACATTATTTTCCTACTCCTCCTTCTGCTTTCAATCGAGAACTGCCATCGAATGAACATTACAATGCCGATCACAATGCAGATTTCGCGTCATAATCCTGTGAAATGGAAACTGGACATGCAGAAGGCCGAATTCCAACTCTTCGAGCATTGTACCAAAAATGATCCGAAATTCAATGAGACCGCTCATGTTTGGTATGGCTCTCTCTTGCCGGGCGATTTGGAAGACGTTCAGAATCATATTTCCTGCAGCGCGCTTGGTTTCGCAGATGAGATGTACACCTCCATCACTTGGTCACACATCTATCATCACAAGCTGGCCCTCAGACCTGATGAAGTCTGGTTCACCATCCTTTCTCAGCTTGGTTTCTACGTGGCCACCAATGTCGGGAGACTCGGCAATCTCTTCAAAGTACCCGGAGCCAAGGGCAATGACCACATGGAGTGGAATGATCCTACACCCATGGCCGAGCGTTTGATCAACATGCTTCAAGGGACCATCATCGACCCGAACTTACGAGACTGGATCACGCCAACGTTCAGCACCACCAACGAGCATGACGCCGTCATTGCCAGCATGCTCGTGTGCGGTCGGCTGTATGAGGATGGACACACCAACTTCCGTGCATCACAACAGGCGCCCATCCGTATTCCTCAACCATGGGATTTTGGCATCCCTTCGGTAACGCTCCGAGGAGAGAAGGGAGATTGGGAACTACTCTACGACCGCGTCTCGAAGCTCGACGCCTTCCTCGCAGGGGAGCCCGTGGAATTCGCTAACGGCCTAGAACCGATTCTGCGTCGCTTCGTCGAGTCCTTCACGATGCCCACTCCGGAAGCGGTGCGGGACTTCTGGTCGGATATGATCGGTGTGCATGAAGATGATGGCGACGGCTGGGTGGTATTTTCCGGATGGATCACGGCATTCAGCTTCTGGAATGCAAAAGGCCAACGGATCGAGAAGAGAAGACAGAACCCCTATGTTCTCGACGAAGTGCCATACGGCCGCATGCACACGCAGCAGAGATCTTCCGCGCACGCCAGTCTCCCGGTGACGTTCCACTTCAAAGACACGACCCATCGCCGTGAGCATTATACCCCGGCGATTTTCTTCGCTGGCCCCGCAGCGATCAGGGTCACTGGAAGGAAAGACCGCATTGAACCTGTTTCGGCCTGGTGGCTGGTCGAGAAGGTCAAAGATGAGGGCGCGGCATGGGACATGAACGAGTGAGCTCCACCTTTGTACTTAAAGCATGTAGGCGGGACTCATCCCTCGAGCGTATCCCGATGGAGGATGTCAATCTACCTGCAACGTTGGATAAGTGGACTCGCTCTCAGCGTGCAAAAATGAAAACAAAGCATACTTTCAGCACAACCGTGGAGATTCTTGTGGAAATAAGATTCGTCTCGTCGTGCCGTACGCTTCTCAAGCTGTGACATGTAGGAAACCCGTTCAGCTTTGTTTCTGTGAATGGTCGTCGTTTCCTTCGAGCGGTATGGGTATGAAGGCGAGCCGACTCTCAAGGCTACCTTGAAAGCGGGCCAACGTGGCATCTCTATTTCGTCGCCTGCAGGGATATCCATATCCTACTATCGCCGCAGTTCAAATATCTGCCAGCAACGACCATGCATCGCCTTCGAGGCCGCGGGGCGCATTACTTCGAATGAGGACTTCCATTCCAAAAGGCACCCTGCCTTCCCAGGTTTGATTCTCATTCCTGTCTCGAAATTCTCTCCAGGGAGACCGAAAATTAGGTTCCGATGTGGGAGGATGGCATACAGCCGCAGCAGCCAAGGATCCTGTGCTTTTTCAACGGTCGGCTGTGCGAGAGAACGTCTCGCATAGACTCCCTTCAGCCCGACCGCCGGAAGAGCTTTCATGCAGGGACTCAGAATCGTACAGGGCGCGGCAAGCTAAGGCAGTCATGTTCGCGGCTCTGGACAGAGGCGCGACACACAACCTTGCAAGCCCAGGCTACCGCAGTGCTGTGGTGGTACGTCAGCTTACATTTGTTGCCTGACCATCAGGCAGCTATTTCCATTACATACATATACACATATATATGTACACCTAGATATATATATATAAAGTCGCTGCCACGGGGTTCGCTGGTCATTGAGGAAATACACACGGAACCTGAAAACCAGCGACCAAAAAAAGGAAGAAACACACTCAGGATTATACGATGCCCGTCACGATCCAAATCGCAACCCACAAAGCCCGACCCTGGAGCGGGATGAAAGCGACATCCGCGACCGAGCTGCTGAGGTCCTCGTGTCGAGACGAATGCGAAAAGAGCGCGGGCATCATCCAAAGCTCCTTCTCGCCCGAGCTCCTACGCGATCAACACATCGATCCCTCGGAGAACGGGCTCGTGCACTCGTGCTGGCGGGCCTACAGCAACCACCACCACCTCGCGCTGCGGCCGGAGGATCTCTGGTTCGCGGTGCTGTCGCAGACGGGGTTCTACATCAACGCGCACGCGGAGGAACTACGGCATCTCTTCGTGGCGCACGAAGGGCAGAAGGAACTGGAGGTCGTCGAGGTCGGGAATCTGCATTCGGTGGATTTCGGCGCCCTGGCGGAGCGGATGACGAGGGAGATCCAGAAGAATGTCCTCGATCCGGAACTACGGACTTGGGTGATGCCGGACTTCACCACGACGCGGGACTCCGATCGCGTGGTGGCGAGTGTGCTTATGATGGGCGCGTTGCAGGAGTATTTCAGTTATAAGATGACGCTGTGCTGTGGCATTCCCTCCGTGACGCTATTGGGAGAGAGGGAGGATTGGGTGAAGATTCAAGGGAGGATTTCGATGTTGGAGAAACTTGGGAGTGAGGCGGTGGGGTTTGCGACGCTTCTGAGGCCGGTGTTACGCTACTTCATCGAGACATTTGATCATCCCGATTCGCCTGCCGTCAAGGATTTCTGGTCTCGAATTGTGCATTGGCAAGGTGGAGGAAGCGGACCGAGTTACCTTTCGGGCTGGATCACAGCCTTTTGCGCCTGGGACGCCAAAGGTCAACCTCTCTTCCCGCTTGAGGAAATTTCGCTTCGACAGTCACAGTCACAAGATCAAGACGACCAAGTCTGCGAACTCGACGGCGTCTATTACAACCGTGTGGACACATCTGATATACCCAACGGATATGCCGGCGTGCCAGTGTTGATCGACGACAATGGCGTGGAGATCAAGTCTCGCATGGTGGCCGGTTCGGTGGGCATTCTAGCTACGAGCAGCGGACGACCACTTGATCGTCCAGCATGGAATTCTACCGTGGACGAGGAGACCGGCTTGGATTCCCTGCAGCCGGTCTCGGGATGGTGGATGTTCAAGGTCACGGACGATGCTGAGGGTGAGACGCCGTTCGATACGGCTTGAGGTCCTCAACAGGAGAGTGCATCCCCTCTGATCGTGGAAGCCGAGCAGCGGGACTTGCAGGGTGAAGAGACTCAAGTAGCATGATAGCTGCCGCTCTCACCTCCTGGCTGGCTCTACATGTATCGTGAACAGAGGTGAACATGTGGTTACTCCGGAAGCCCGACAGAGCGTTGGCTTCTGACGAGCCAGGTCGATGCACAAAGGATACCTACTGTACGTGCTGCAGAGGCCGTATATGAGCCCTACACTTGCGAGAATGCAGCCCGGGAAGTCGAATTGGCTTCGGCCAAGCTGGGTACTAAATGGCGACGTCATTCAAACGAGTGATCTGCGGGTGGTTTCTCCGCGATGGCTGCAAGCGATTGACTTTCGCGGAGAGAAACCCATCCGGGAGTTCAGTCACGGACGCGACAGGCGAACAAAGACTTGGCCCACGACATCGAAATGCACTCACACGACTCAATCTCACCACTCTGGGGGTCTTGGCAGATGCTGGTCCATGAACGATGTACATCGATGCTCGATTTCGGGTGGCGTGAGTGGGTCAGCCATCGTGGCGCAGTCCGTCATGTCCACCGTAGATGAGTCAGAGGTTATGTAATGGTGGTCTTCGCATCACCCGAGTTCAGGACATGAGTAGAGTATGTCGCAGAGCAGCCTCAATGAATAACATCCAGGTAACGATGAGTATGTGCAGCAATCATTCTATGAGGTGTATAAGGTATCCTTCCTTCCAGACAACGATACTTCGCAATGACTGTACGTGGGAACGCCGAGTGTTGTTGACTCCATTCCTACTGCACCTGCCCTGAGTGAGACTTACCCAGGTAAATACGTACTGTAGTAGGTGGTCATGTACATCATGTGACTTGACTGGGCAGGAAACAAGAATGCCTGATGAAATGCGTGGGAAATCGTCATTGCCATGTGGCCTGCACCAAGTATGGAGAGTTGCAAATCCCCAGCCTCACCCATTCTTTTCAAGGTCGCTCAGGCTTTCCTGCAGAAACGACGACTGACTCATGATGACAGACAGACAGACAGACTGCTGCGCCAGGATACATCATCCATCACGTTTATCCCCATGGGCGTTTAGTTTATTACACAGCCCTGTTGCGCTTGGCCTGCTTGCAGCTGGGCTAACGTCTCATCACCAGCCAGCAGCCAGTGACCACCACCACCACCGCCTTCTTTCTCGCCCATCTCACCTGAGCAACACCTGTTCGCGACCTGCTATTCTATTCCATTCCCCTCCTCCTTCTCCTTCTTCACCTCTTTATCACGCAGTAGGAAATATTCTACCTGCCGCATTTCTCCTCCAGCATCCGCGACAACATCGTCGTCGTCGTCGTCCTCGCCCGCAGAAGTTTACTGCGCGTCGCATTCTCCACCACTGTCGCGTGATATTCAGGCGGCGCTTCGTCCATTCATCCACCAGAAAGACAACAACAACCACCACCAAAACCTTCCATAATGGCGGCCACCTGCTACGACCGGTATTACAACCGATACTACACATGTAGCGCCTGGGACCGCTACGGTCGTTGGGTCTTCCTCGGCTGCATCATCCTGTTCGCCCTGTTCATCTTCTTCCTTGGAAGGTAAGTCATCGTCGTCGTCGTCGTCGTCGTCGCGATCCCAACCCGCACCATGCTCCACTCGCGCACTCCTCCAACCTCTCTCAAAAAGAAGCCACAACAACTAACCACCCATCTTCCCTCTCGACAGCTGCATCTCCGCCCGCCGCCGCCGCAAGCTGGGCTACCAGCCCTACCGCGGCACCGCCTGGACGCTCGGCCGCGGCCCCGCCGCCCACGGCCAAGCGACCTACAACCCGAACTCCCAGAACCAATACCAACAACAGCAACAACAACAACAGCCATACTATAACAACACCGCCGCACCGCAATACAACGCCACCGGCCACAACGGCTACTACGGCAACGACAACAACGCCGGCGTCCAGCAGCCCGGCGCGACATACGGCGGCTACAACTCCGGCGCGCCGCAGTATGCGCCGCCGCCGGGAAAGCCGCCAGGTCACTAGATTGAGCGTTGTCGGACGTGACGAGTTGAGGGGATTTCGCGAGAGGCGGGATGGGAAAAATGCGAAGGCGCGCTGTTGTTGGTTTTTTCACGGAGGGCGGTCTGATGATTAGGATTGTGTTACGATAATGTGCGATCGTTCGTTAGCAGGCAGTTTAATGGGGACATGGAGGCCACGCCCTATCCTCCGGAGCGACGGAGGAACTTCGATCTTTCGTCGGGCCGGGGAAGCTGTCTCCTGTTCTGCGGCCGTGGGATGTGGTTACGATAATGGAAAAAGAAAATCTTTCACCCCGAAATTGAATTCCTTCGTCGTCGATTGAATGTGACGTGTGTGTGCGAAGAATCACATAAACAGGTATCAAGTATGTATGTATGCTAAGTCCATGCGGGCGGTGTGAATATACCGAGCGATGAGATGCCGGGATTTCCCACAACGCGGCCGACTACGTAACATATATATAGGAGGGAGAGAAAGGGAAGGCGAGGGATGAGTCCGCTTCTCGTCAATCAAGAAAACGTGGAGGGAAGAGCGAAAACTCTAAGCAAAGACGGCGGCGGCGGCGACGGGAGAGGGATCGTCACGACAACAACAAGTGGGAGAAGAAAAAACGAAACTGGCGAAGGTCTATTTTTTTTCCTTTTTCCCTGGCCCTGGAGAGAAAACAACAGGGGAATTCTAAAACAAACCCAGCAGATCCTCGTTCGTCTGCTGTTTCCCTCCTCCACTTCCGCCGCTTCCGTTTAACTGCGTCTGCGGAGGCGGGGGTTGATCGTTCATGCTCATGCCCGCGAAATCATTCATCAGATCTGCACCACCAGCGCTGGCACCGACCTCAGCGGCACCACCTCCAAGGCCCATCAGATCCGCCATTCCGCCCGCCGCCGAAGAAGAGGGAGCCGCACCGTTCGCGAACGCAGGACTGGCGACCCGCTGCGGCGTGGCCGTCGCCGCCGACGCCGGCGCCGCGCCGTCGAAGTCGATGTCGAGGAGGTTCTCCATGTTGCTCTGCGGCGCCACGGGGGTTCCGCCCGCGACGGCGGCGGACACGGCGTCGGCCGCGATGGGGTTCTCGCGGGCGTTCTGCTTGGCTTCCTCGATGGCGGCGGCTTGCAGGGCGGAGCTGCGGCCTTGGCCGAGGAAGGCTTGCGGCGGTTTGTGGTAGACGGAGGAGAGGGTCGAGAGGTTCGGGATTAGCGAGTCCAGGAGGGGACGGGGCAGGACGGGGATGGTGCTGGTGATTTGCGGACGCTGGGAGAGGACGATTGCCCGCGCGGTGGCGGGGTCGGAGGAGAGGAGGCGCCAGTAGACGTAGGCGCGGTCCCGGATGTCCGGGTTGTCGGATTCGGCGGTGGCGGATTGGAGGATTTTTTGGATCAGGGATTGCGAGGTTGCGGGGTTTTTGAGGTAGAGTTTGATGACGGCCGTGAGGATCTGGAGCTGGGTCTGCGATAATGTTGTGTCAGTAAAGTCGATAGTAAAGAATTGCGGGATCACCAACGTACCTGGGTGAATTCTTCGTTGAATCCATCAACGAAGCCAGTGAGAATCTCTTCCGCGTTGGAAATCTTCTCGGCATATTCTCCCACGATCCAGATCAAACTGCCACGCGCATTGGGCTCGTCAAGGTCATCAATACACTGGCATAGCGTCGGGATAATGCCCTCGTATCCGGGATACCGTCGGAAGATGTCCTTGATCACCACAATGACCTCCTGTACCACATATCCGACCTTGGAATTAATCAACTCAAGCAAAACATTGACTGCTTTCTCGGCGCATTCTTCAATCTTGATCGCGACCTGTCCGATAGCACGAACAGCCTTGCGCACAAAGTCCATATCCACTTCCATCGCGTATTCCTTGAGTTCGGCCAACAGTTGATCAACGTTCGATGAGTTGGCGATGCGAACCATGATTTCCAACTTTTGTAATTTGAGGTATGGCGGGTCGTTGTACTTGCAGAAGAACACACGCATCTCCTTGTCGAGGATTCCAGGCTGCTTCTGCAATAGCAAATCAATGTTTCGTAGGGCGACATATTGTACTTCGGGCTGACTTGAGACCAAGGTCACCAACGGCGGGGACATCTTCTTCAGGTAGGTGGCGTGTAGTGTGGGATTGTTGATGTTTTGCATATGTAGGAAAACAGCCTTGACAGCTGCGAGGACGACCGAGGGGTTGACATGCTGGAATTGTGGACTGACGCGTTCGCAAATGTGTTCCGACTCTTTGACATCTGTGGTCTTGTAATCGGCCAGTGTGGTGAGAAGTGTGATGCGACCCCACTCCGTGCATTCATTCAACGCCAATAGCAGCTTCTTCAACATCGGTCCAGTCACGACAAGCGCTTTTGTTTCGGGGGAGGTATCGCTGATCTCGGCCAGTGCTGTCACCGAGTTTGCTACCACCATCGGGTTACTGTCTCCCACCATCTCTTGAAGCGTCTCCAGGAATCCATTCTCAATGCACAACGTCGGGTTCAGATCGAACAATTTTGCGACACACAATGCTGCCGTCTTACGCACATACGGTGACTCGTCCTTCAACGTCTTCCTCAGCGGCTCTTCCATGTAGTCCACCATCTTATCTACCCGGATACATCCCATCGTTCGGATCGCAAGAGCTCGAACCAGCGGATTCGGGTCCTCCGAGTCCTGGACAAAGGTGTTCACCGCCAGGATACACAAGTCCGGATGTGATTTGGCGTAGTTCATGAGGTAGAGATATACAAGCTTTTTCTGGTCCAAGTCTGGAGTTGCAATGTTCTTCAGCACGTCTGGGAATAGTGCTGACACATCTTTGCCCAAAGTCATGGACATGATGGTCTTTTGAATCGACTCCTTTCGTTCCCAAGCATATTGTGAGACCAATCCAGATCGCAATTCAAACGTCTCGCCTTTTCTCGCCGTGCCCAAGGCATTTCGTAATCTGTTGACCGCCATGTTGGGCTTCCACAGCCGTGCCTCAAATGTTGTGGTCCTCCGTCATGCGCGAGCTTGCGGCTCGTCTCGTATCGTGGGCTCGTGGACCGGAGTTTGCGGCGATTTACAGTTGAGCGTGAGCTTGGACTGAGTGCTGGATCGGCAGCAATTGCGCGAGCGTCGGCCGTCTATTCGTGGTGATCGTCAACGTGTAAAACAAGAGAGCCAGTGAACAGCTTGACTGGTTCTCGGCAGGTGGTCTAAAGTTCACTCCACATTTGATCGACCCGCCCAAAGAGGGACACTGCGATCCATGCCAAGACACGCCCCTTCGAAAGTTTGACGAGCCTGAGGCTTGAACCGCCTCCGCGTCGAGCATCATTATCGGGACGCGTTTGTGGATGATGCCAGAACCTCATGGCATAGCAAATTGATAACATCATGGTGATTATCAAGACTTGTCCATTTCGAACTCATAGCTCGGCGCTAATTTCAACGACAGGCATCGAGTTTCCCAAACCTCCGCAGGCTCTTCGTTGAAGCACAAACCGATGCTGAAGAGAGCGTATATTCAAGAAATGCTGTATGTTATCTCCGCCCCTGAAATCGATCAACTCCATCTAAACATGTTCAGTTCTATAATCTTGTGCTTTTCATGACATCTGTCGCTGTCTTCAGCCTCGCTGCACAGAAAATGAATAGCTCACGTGTGGTCTTATGAATGGCATCCGTGAGCTCGCGATGGGACCAGGCTGTCGCCCGGAATCATAAATTCCAGGGGTGGGACGCGATGCACTTCAACGACATACGATCATAATATCATCATACAAACACAGTATCGATCACTCGATCCGCGTTGTATGAAAGTTTCTGGGCTGCTTTGAAACATCGCGCATCACAAATGAAGAAAGCTCCTCGAGAAATCACCCACTTGTCTGAGAGTGATGGTGCGCTTCATCATCAACCCGGAAGCTCGATTTCAAAACACCATTTGTTTACACGCACGCGAACGTAAAGACAGCCGGGGCACCTGAGGCATGATGACAGAGGGCTTGCACATCTCACGGGCGTCTGAAGCTTCGCAAACACGACTACACCCTCTGAACGATTGATGAGTCAAATCTGTTGATCGTCAGTTCATGCGCTCGACACCTTCCAGCACGAAACAAAATAGGGATGCTTCCCTTCCCTCGTAGCTGTCGGGAAGCTCTGCATACAAGAAATATTGTCAGACTCTGTATCGAGTACCAAATACGCCGACTTACCACGGTCGTCCTACCTTGCCGAGTCCGATAACGCCAATGATCTGTGTTCTGTGCCCTGTGGGCTGTACCTCTGACGACATGGAAGCTAGACTTCGTGCGCAATGACTGCTGGAAGACGGACGATAGATGCTCTTGCTCTATGTTGCACTGCCGCATATCTAGAAGAAAGAGATCTGTACGCTCATGGACCGTGGCTTTCCTAGCGAATGGTTGGCGCCCTGTCCACTAACACAAGGGCGGTTCAACAGGGATGTACTGAAGGACTATGTAGCCACACGTCGTTGTCATTGTCGACGTACGCGTAGGCGACACGCACTAAGATTCCTTTTCGAGTTCAACACAGACGTTCAAGTTGAGATCTGACGCGTGCGCCATCCAGCAAATAATCCTCCTGGCTGCTCTGTGAATCACTTTGCCTCAGCGTGATAGCTTTAGACAGTACATATAAGTAGCGAGCACAGGCTGGCTCAGATGTCCTTTTATAAATCTTTGATCAGTTTCGCTTTGACTCCTTAGTATCAGAAAAGTTCGCAAATTATAAACCTCTACTTGTCTATCCGCTCGGAACGCGCTATCACGATGTGTTGGAAAGACCAGAACCTCGAACTCTATACCGAGCTCCCATGCTCGGAGTCCTGCAATGTCAAAGGTTTGAGAGTGACGATCTGACCCACGTCACAAAACTCGGGCGCCCCGTGTCAGCCGCTCACGCCTCGCCGTTGATATCAAACGGAGGAGAAGCTCTGTCCCAGACATGCTGCGGTGCAACAACACCGCTCTCCGGAACCACGGCACCGATCTACAGGCGAACGGTATCACTTTTCATGAAATACTTACGTCAACCACGGACCATCGAGTTCTGGACCAGGTCGTCAATATCCAAATACACGGCACTCGACATACAGGAGCGCTCCTCGCGACTACAGACAGCAGTATCCCAGCCACTATCGCCATACATCATTCAATGACCATCCTTCCCAAGCACGACATCCAGATTGTCCGCCTACCCAAGCCGCTCCTCCAGAGTATGCACCACCATCTCGATACGAGCCGAAGTCCGCCTTTCAATTCCGGACTTCGTCCGGCGAATGGGGTGCCATATTGTGCCGCTCACCTTCGTCCATAGCCCGCACAGCAGGCGGGACCGTCGAACGCTGCACCGCCACATGTCCCGAGGGAGATAAAGGGTCCAGATGGTGACACGTCATGACGACTCCGGCCGCGAGGGCGCATGGAGGCCTCACTGATGTCTACTGACAAGGTGCGTCAAAGATATCCTTCTTCTCTAATTCATAGACGGAACTTTCCTACCGTCCCTATTACTAATTGGATGGAAAATCCAGAGGAAGCACGAAGAAGGAACGCTATGGGTGAACGATTGAACGAGTGAATGAATGTGGAAATTTTTGTTCTCCAAAAGGATGTACAAGAGAATGTGCGTGGGTCTCTCCCAGCAGGGGGAGTTCCAAAGAGAAAATTTGTAATGAGAAAAGTGTAGAGAAACACGAAAAGGTTTTTTGCGCCGACCATGCAAGAGAGATAGACAGACGAGACGATGAGGCAGAAACGACGATGTCCTCTCCTCCGAGTCTCGCCTCAGATCGCGATCAAAGCGCCATCCCGAACCCACCCGGTGGCTTCCCTCCCTCCTCCTTGATCAGAACGGGCAACTTCGCATCCCGTCCTGGCTCGGCGTGGTTCGGCGCGGGACTCGGTAATCGCGGTTCCCTCTCCCAGAGGCTCCTCGTCGTCGTCGTGGCAGAAGAGTCCGATCGCAGGCGCGAAGTCTCCAGCGAGCGGGTGCTGTGCTGGGATTCATCGCGGACGCGGCCGGGCCCGGCGGCGTGCGAGACCAAGGGGGCGATGTCGGTGTCGCTGCTGAGGGAGTCGGGCGAATCGCTACGAAGGGTGTGCCGGCTTGGCGGCGGCGGTGGTAATGGGCCGGTGGGAGCTGGGTAGAGAGAGATTCCGGAGGGTGGGGAGGTGGAGAAGGCGGTGGTGGAGATGAGCGGGGTTTTCTTGTCGTAGTAGGCGTTGGCGTATGGCAGGGCGGGAGGGTTTTGCTGGTAGGGCGGCAGAGGTTGATTGGTGTAGGCGGAATGGGCGTCGGCGCCGTCCATGCTGAGGGATGCGCGGCGCGGGTGGCTGCCGGGCTCGAGATCTTCGAGGTCCCGCTCGAGGGCTTGTTTCTCGGCGAGTTTGCGTTGACGGCGGTGCGGGTTTTCTTTGATGCAGCCGATGATGGCGTTGACGGCGATCAGGATGGCGAGGATTCCGGTCAGGACGCACTGGACGACGATCAGGATGACGCCGGTGATGGTCTTGGTGGTCTGCGAGATGTTGAGTTCTTCGACGAAGACCAGGACGCAGCCGACGGAGAGGAAGCGAACCACCTGAATGGTAATGTTGATCCATCGAGTGGACTTGCGCTCGAAAGGACGAGTCCACAGAAGGAAGACCAACATCAGGCCCTCGACGAACAGTTGGGCGGAGACTTGGTAGAGACCATTGCCGTTGAGTCCCGCAATCACGCAACCGCGGGCGAACATATAAAGAATCACAGGAACAAAGATCCACCAGTAGCTCCGTTTGTAGGATTCGTAGAAGAGGCTGTAGCGAATCCAGACCTCCTTCTTCTCGAAGAGACCTTTCGAGTCGCCCTCGAGACGCTTGTACTCACGTGCCTTGGAGTAAATCTTGTAGGTGAAGCCGAGGAGAACACCAGTGAACAAGGCGAGTGTGATACCAGCAAGAGCCTTGGCAGCCCAGGAGTCGCCGTTGGTGAACTGGTAGATACAGTAGAGCGTCCACATGCCGTACAGAAGGAGTACCAAGTTCGTGAGGGCCTTGGCCATGCGCCACCAGTATCGCTTGCGCCAGGATTCCATAGAAGGAGGGAGCGGCCTGGACAAGGCGATGAGCTCTAGGACAAGCTTACCGAGTAGGATAGCGACGATGATGACTCCGACGACACATGCCCAGACGAGGAGAACAGTCATGAAAGTGTTGGCCTTGGGAATCGACAACTGCTCGACGTATGCTTCGATGCCGTGCACGAAATGTTCCGATTTGGTTGGCGGAGCAGTCGTGTTGGAGAAAGTGCCATTGCCGTAATCCGTGCCATTGACGCTGACGACCGTGTCTCTACGGAACAGAGAGCGAGTGTTCAGAGTCTCGTTATGCGACTTGTCGGGAAACACCAGCGTCGCATTTTTGGTCAGATATTCATAGCTTGCGGCAGTGAGATTGCCTCCAGTAGCCTGGCGGAAACTGTCAATGGTCGTCTGCAGGCCAGCCCAAGGCACTAGGCCAGTGGAAAAGGCAAAGTTGGTGGTGAAGCTCTGGTAAACTTTGGGATATGCCACGCTCAGCATACCGCTCGTCGCCAGACCCTGGAACCAGCCGATGGTCTCGCCGAAGGATGGCGATGTTGTGGATCCGACGCCGGGGTGGCCACCAGCCGCGATGGATCCTGCTGCCGAAATCGCGAAGGCGCCAGCGGCCACGCCAGCCGCAGCGTACGACACCACAGGCATAATGAAGGTGTTACCGTTAGTGATCGCAGACTGCACACAAGCAATGACGACTCCTTCAGTGTTTACCAATTTGAGCTGGACCAGGCCGTCTAGATCGGGAATGCTGAAGGCGATGCTCGGGATCTGGCTGGCATATTTTTCAGGGATAATTTCTTGTCCCTTGGAAGCAAAAGAAGTCGCCGGAACCGGGCAAATCTGAGGCATGTTGATATCGTTGATATCACATGGGTTGAAACTCCGGGTGTAGACCTCCTGGCCATATGCGGTGACCACCAAGTCCACAGTGACCTTCAACTCCGTTGTGCTCTTTCCCGCTACATCAAATGTGATTAACCTGGAATGGCGATTGTATGTGACGTTAAGGCGTTCGACCTGGATGTCAGGGTCGTTGAGGCACATTGAATAGCCCGAAGATGAGAGGGTCTCGCCTGCGAGTACTCTGGCCGGCAGAGCACTCAGCATGAGGAGCGGCAATAGTCGCCGCAGCGGTCGAAGGGACCACATGGTGAGGGTGTGAGATCCGGCTCTCGCCTTAGGCTGAGAGAGAGTTGTGTCCAGCGTCCGGTTCGAAGTAGTGGTCCTCTTCGGCTGTGCTGAAGGGTTGACTGTAGACGCGATTCCGCGGAGAGATTGTTGTGAGAGAGGGAATGCAAGGAAAACAGAACAAGATACAGCAACGTCTCACGCTGCGTTAAAGATGCTGTAAAGGAATGGCAGATGCTATGCCGTCGGAGAAGAGGCGAATATCCACCTCCAAGGTCGAGTCGAAGATACGAAAGGAGAGAATGGCCGATCTGGCTCAGTGACCACAATGCGATAGACGATGAATGTTCCTGGGAGACTCCTCAGGCCGTACTGACGATGATTGTAAATGCAGCAAATGAGGCCGTTCAATGGAGTCTTTGGAGATAGGAAAAGATTGTCGAGAATCGTCGTCACACACCGCGATACTTTCCAGAAGAATCAGGTTGCGACCGGGCTGGTTGGCAAAAAAAACAAGAACACAGACAGCAGGAAAGAATGAGTGTGGTGACGAAGACGTTGCTCGTCGAGCGAGTGGATGGAGTGTTGGAAGTCGAGAACCGCGAGAAGGGATGGACAGAGAACCGTAGATTGAGATCGCTCAATCGTGGTACACACCACGGTGCATAGTCGTGAATTGATGGTGTGGACGTTCCAATGAAGTTCATTCAGGAACAGGGGCGTAAGTGGTCGGAAGTGGCTTGCATCGGTGCGGGCCGCCCATCCATGCGTTCGCTCGGGCGGGCGGGCCTTTTCTCTGCAGACGGGTGTAAACTCTGTCTATTTGGTTTGGCATGAAACGCTCCTTTTCGTCCCTTTTCCGCCTCTTTCACGCCTTTCGTCCTTTCCACACCCGCCCAAATCGTCCAATGCCGGACCAGTGGGCGCTGTGGGGTACATGAGAATGCCTGTGATTGGGTTTACCGCTGCACCGGACTCCCGGCTGCCGGACTCTAGCGTACACACGCGTCCGGCTGGCTTAATTTGGATCGGCATCCAGATGGGGGGAAATTGATGGGAAATCCTGGAAGAAATATATGAACTCGCCGCCCGTTCTTTGTTGAGCGCCTCATAGACTTTGACTCGTTCTATGCCTCAACACATCATATGCAGGTTGTCAACCGCCCATCATCATATCGCGTTGACTAGGCGCCCGATCAAACATGCACCAGCATGCACCACCGAGGGAGAATGACGTCGTCGCTTGTGTATTCTTCGCGATCTTGTTTTTCCATCCCAGTATGCAATATTGACGGCCCAACAACAAATGCCCTTGTCACGCAAGGCGTTCCGACCGCAATTTATGCATCAAGGATCGAGGACAGACTGGACGCTTTTTTTCCGTTCAATTTGGCATGGATTCCTGCCCAGCCTACCGAACTAAACGAGCAATGAAGAATGCAGGTGGTGGTGCATATCGTCGCATGCAGCACGGAGCGTTCGCCGGGCGGTATCCATGGCAGCTTCACCCGCCATTCATCTTCATCTGACTGGGACCGAGGAGCCGATTCGTGTCTGCCCAGCCCTCTACATCTTTGGTGATATGTGTCCCCTCATTTGTGGTCATGCTCATTCGTGAAAACATTCTGCGAATTTGGGGATTATCCACCTGGCCAGAGATGCTTTGTTGAATGAAAATATCTCTTGCCAGAACGGTATCGCAACCCTAACCCCGGCCCGGCACGACGACCAGCCCTGGGAACAACCCTGGGCTCAATGCCCCCGCCGCACCGCGCTTTGCTAAGACAGCGCGCAAATTCATTCATGTCAATTTCTATCTCTTGGGTCATTCCATCCCAGATTGTTGCGAAAACAGTGCGAAAGGCAAGTCTCTTTTGGCCGATATGTAAGCCTACGAAGAGTTGTGAGAAATATTCATCAAGTCACTCATCCAGGCATGATACGCACGCGATAGATGCGGAGGCCTTGGGTGAAACGTACAGCCGAGATCCAACCTCAAAATTCCCCGGCAAACCGACGTGCTTTGCATGACGATCGTCTGAAGACGCTTTCATCGTTTGCAGAGCAGTCCCATCTCTTCTTGCCGGGCCCGATTCTAATCTATTTTCAAGACGAAAGATATGTATTTTCAAAAGCAAAGCGTCGCTCCTCTTCGGTCAGAGGTTGATCGTCCCAGAAGACGATACATCGGAATTCACAGCTCTGGCGCGCCGGGCCAGAGTCATCTGGATGTTTAAAAGCCGAATGCAAACACCGGCGGCAAGTCGTACCTCGGTCGATTCTGGTGTCGAAGCATTTGATTAGATATCCTTCGTCGGGTCTGTACGGCGATCGGTCAGCGACTCTCCCGAACAGACGGCATTGTCCAATCTGCTCTTCCACCTGGAACAACTCACGTCATGTTGCTCGCCCAGTACCACTTATGGCCGGGCTTATGGACGGCCTGCCAGACTTCTCCGACGGCGCCGCCGACCATACGGCATACCCGCAGATCGTCGTCCGACACCGATCGGCCGTCGCTGCAAGCCAATGGTTCTCGCTGGATACGCGCAAGCGGCCGCCATACGTTGATGATGCCCCATCGGGAATCGCAGCGCGTCTTCAAGGCATCTGCGATCTCCTCGCTGCCGTATTTGATGAGAGCCTCTTTTGACGATAGAGCACACGCATAGCTCTGATCTTTGGCGCAAAAGGTAAGTCAATGCTTCGCGCGCTCTGCTAGATCTTGCGGTAGTGGAGATAGACCTCCTTTGATCACTCACCCACATGTGCCCATTGTGCACTGGTCTGATCGGGTAGCCTTTTGTTCGGATCCTCGCACTTTGCGTCGTCCACGACTTTATCATACAGCGCGAGGCGTAACGTGTGGGAGACTACAACGGCATGTGCCGCTCCGGTCCTTCGTAAAGGCAAGTCAACGACCTCTATCCTCAGCTCACGATGTAAAGAAAATAGACACAGCCTCACTTTTCCTTGAGGAGCCTGACGGTCTCGGCATAGACGCGATCCCTCAACTCCTCATTACCGTCCTTAAGCGCAAACGGTACCCGAAACCCGATGTTCTCGCAGAATTCGAAACCGTTCTGGTCTATCGTTGGTCTGAAGTCGGATTGGCGGATGTCGATCAGCCTCACCTTGGGCCGCGCGAGCCCGGTGGTGTACAGCTGGTGACCGAATGTGCCGAGTTCAATGTGTGCGTTCGTAGGGTCGTAGTCTTCAGGCAAGTATCCGATGGACACCTGCACTGGCCCAGCGGGCATGAGAGGCGAAATAGTCATGTCGTGATGCCTTGAATCTGAGAGGATCAATTTGGCGTTCGTGTCCTAGGAGGCCGGTTTTCAGAGAGGCGATATTTATTCTCCTCGGCCATGGCTTGATGGACTCTCCGTGCTTAAACTGCGTCTCGTATAAGTGTAACTTTATTATGCGCCGATCTTCGTTTAGCATGATAAGGCGATCTTCCATCTCGTTCGAACCCGGAATGTGAAATGTTAAAGACCCGACAGCGGACAGGCTCAGGCGCTGGTTGGCACACGCCATGTGCGCATGAGCTGAATGCTAACGCGAAGGTCGTAATACGAGGAAGGTGCAGCACACGGTGGGCTGACTCGGACCGCGGGATTTTCGATGTTCCATGACAATTCTCCTATCGTTCGACACGATCGTCAAAGTATCCCATACGACGATTTGAGTTTTGCCGATAGAGCGCCGACATCGCTCTCGACACTTGTTGTCACATATAACCTTCTTCTGCTCATTTTATCGATCTCCAGAGAGCCCGCGTCCATGATTAATCTCGAGTAGCCTTTGTCTTTTCAAGCCATCAAGTCTCACATATAAGATCCGCATTCGGCTAAAGCTAATGTACCACGCAAAGCCACGTCCCATACTAGCATCACGCGATGACACAAACGTCATGGTCGGTTGAACCGAGCACGAGTGTAACGAAAGATCGTCTAAACCAACGTAAGGTCCATTAACTTTTCCTTTGACCAATATTTAATACCCCTCCCGGTATAACATGTTTTCTGGGCCTTGCCGTGGCTGTCACGCGTCGTTGATTTCCCTACTCGACGAGAGATGCCGACGCCCCTCCGCGTCGCCATAATCGGCGGGAGTATCTCCGGCTGCACTTTGGCGAACGGACTATTACGTCACGATCACCTCGAGTTTGACATCTTCGAAAGCAAAAGCAGTTTCCAAGAACGAGGAGCGGCCATTGCTCTGCATACCAACGCGCTGGCAGCGCTTAGACACCTGGGCTTAGATGTCGATGAGCTCTTGCGTGAAGCTCGTGCAAACAAGCGAGATAGGTTGCAAACAATTGTGGTTCGTGTGGACTTGAATCTCGACATCAGCCCGGATGCATTATGCTGAAATGCTTGTCTAGGGATGTGGCGAGCACAAGGGCAAGGAGTTTATGGAGACCATTCCTGGTCCGTGGGGCGCCGGTATGCATTTTGGGGATACTGCTCTAATCGACCAGAGAATGAGCTCTGACTGATTTATCGAGATAGGAAGACAACAACTCCTAGCTGAGCTCATCAAGCATCTCCCCAAAGACCGTCTCCATTGTAACAAAAAACTTGTCGCCATCGACCGAGGGTATCCCGACTCCTCGGGACCACTCTTGCTCCGCTTCGATGACGGAAGCACTCATACAGCCGACACAGTCGTCGGATGCGACGGCTTTCGCTCCAAAGTCCGCCAGCTCATACTCGGACAAGAGAACGCTGCCAACGCCCCCGTCTTCGCCGGCTTCTGGGACGCCCGCGGTCTACTCCCGACCGAACAAGCCGTCGAGAAATTTGGCATAGACATCATCGACGCACGCGCAGACCAACTCACGGCAGTCGTGGGCGATGGCTCCTTCATCCTCTCTGGACCCATCGACAATGGCCAGATGACATTCATCAACGTCGTGGGCACACCACCTCCAGGATGGGATGGAAGTGCGCTCAAGACGGAGCTCAACCGGGAACATCTCGAGCGGGCATTCAGGGGCTGGGATGAGCGCTTTGTGAAGGGAATCGTCGATTGCGTGATGACGAGCGGGCCGGGTGTGATTTTCAATCAATGGGAATCAGCACCTTCGCCGAAATACTTCAATGGTAATATCTGCATGATTGGAGATGCGGCACATGCCACGTCAAATTGGTCAGTCTCTTTTCCTATTCAACTTCGTATGGAAAACCAGCGCTGATGGAAATTCCGCAGGCTCGGACAAGGCGCTGCAATGGCCATGGAGGACTGTGCAGTCCTTGCCGGAATCTTCAAGGATGTGAAATACGAGACTGATTTCCAGTTGGTGTATCAAGCATTCGACCAAGTCCGTCACGGCAAGCGACCGGAGATGGTCATCGAGCAGAGTCGGCTCTGTGGGCAGATTCTGACGGGCCAAATGGGCCTGGACCCAGCCGCCGTGGCGAATAATAACACGCAAGCCAAGAGGTTAGAAATCCTGTCCTTTGACATAGGCGAGGATGTTATCGCCGCACAGGAGGCCTTTCATAAGCTGAGAGATGAGGCCCGAAGACTATCCAAATCATGATTATACAGAATGCAGGGGACTTGATATGCCAGCGATAGGCGAGAACCTGAACGCCTTCATGCACACATAGTCGGTCGGAATATCACCGAGTCCTCACCGCTCGTAAATATTCGTAATCAGGCCAAGCCTCACGAACTCTGCTCGCCAAAACCTCCGCACGCTCTGACCCGAAAGTATCCCTCCACTGCACCTGTCGACTCTCTAACGTGACGCCCGCCGACGTCCTCGCCCGATCAATTCCCACAGACTCCTGGATGGTCCTCAAAAAGCGCTTGAACCGCTCATTCCCCGCAAACTTCTTCGGCGTCGGCGTCGGCTTCCACTCAAACATTAACCGCGCGGGATCCATGCCCAACAGCTCACACAGCTTCTCGAGCGCATCTGTTCTTTCAATTACATCATCTGCGTCCAAAACGATGGGCTTCAAAATACAGCCCGCAGCCTGCGTTTTGTACCAGTCTAGAATATAGCGCTGGAATCTCATCGTCGTGTAGATCTCGGCGTACCGCGATTCCAAATCCGGGAAGGGGGCGCCTTCGGCTCGCAGCCAGCTCTCGAAGACGAGGATCGGGTTGCGGATGAGGATTATGGGCTGCCAGGAGAGCATTTGTTCGTTCGAGAGGACTGTTGGGTTTTCGGGAAAGGGTTCTCGGGAGCTTCTGTCGTCGTCGTCACTGTCGGTGAATGGCGAGTCGTGCCGGGTGGGTTTGCCATCGCCGTACAAGATGTCCACCGAGGTGATTAGATGGGCGTGGTCTTTTAGCAGAATGTGTTTACGCTGGATAATGTCTTGTCAGCGTTCTATCGCGTCGTTCTCCCTCACGCCGGCTGGCGAGTTTCCGGTACTTACCTGTTCGTTTGCAACTTGCAGTGCCGCTTTCAGCTGCTCCTGCGCATTGCTGATAAGCTCGGCGTGCTCTTCTCTTGACACTCGAGGAACATCCTCCAGACGACGGCCTGAGAAAGCGTCTCGGGTATATTGGAACGCATCGAAGAAGAGATAATCCGCAACCTGCCAGTCAGGCTGATCCGACAGAATCCGCGTTAACAAATTCGAAGCCGTCCGAGGATGGCTGAAGAGGAACGCTCTCTTCTGCCCCCATCCTGCCATCTTGATCTCCTTGTGTTACGTTTTGCAGCGGGTTTTGGCGGCGGTCGAACCGTGAATTAATTTCCGCATCATATATTATTGAACACACATAATTTTTCGATCACCGCCCGGCTACGACGGCGGTGATAATGGGATAAAGCTACATCGCTAGTCCGGTCGATTTGTTCGATAGAAGTGGAGGAGTCCAGCGAGGATCAGCGGTCAACTAGTTTCAGTATTCTACGGCCAGTCGTCTTGGCTAGCGCTGTGATCTATCGTCATGATGAAGCATGTTATCAGTCAGATGGAGTTGTGTATGCGCTAAAATCAGTATAGTAAGCGAGGCGATGTCGTCGGGCAAAAACGCCGAGGAACGACGAGACTACCAACCCTAGGAGGAAAATGGTGTATGCGCTTTTCGTCATTCGACAATCGCTTTTGAGACATTCAACCAATCGGACCGCGTTCGTGCCTGAGAATTCAACATTGGCGACTCTCGTAGCCTCACAAGGTTGCGTTCGTACGGCAAATACTGAGCTGAAGTCGCATGTCGCTTTGCTGCATCGATGATGGTTGAGACTTGTGTCGAACAGTCCATGATCTTTGGTGCTGTGGCTGACTTGCTTTGGACAATGCATGCACGACCTCCGTCATTGTTCCAAATTTCCGTTTTTGACCAAATACACACTATTCTGGCTTGCTTCAAGTCTCCACTAACATTCAGCAAAGGTGCTGAGGCGTGTGCTGTAGTGATGTACGCAACGCCTGAAATTTCGTGAGACATCCACCCGCTGTGATATTGCAGTGAGCGCGAAACGAGCCCTGTGCAGACCATCAGATGATCGCATTTCAGAAATTCACATGCTCGACATTTTGCTACAGGGGTCTTTGTTTCAAACGCGCAAGAAGTCGGATATCTCCCTCATCTGGTTCTCGCGATAATTCTCTCACAAGCCGCGAACGGCATCTCTACATTCGCTGCCCCAAATGACTGTAACTTCTAAGCATGCAACCTTGCTTACGCCGGGGCCCATCGAGACCGATGATGATGTGCTTCTCTCCATGGGCCATCCGTCCGAGAGCCATGTGGGCCCATCGTTCGCCCGTGTGTTTGGCGAGACCCTCACCATGCTACGACGAATGCTCCAAACAAGCAATCCCGACAGTCAGCCATTCATCTTGGCCGGCTCAGGTACCCTGGGCTTCGATCAAGTCGCGGCCAATCTTCTGGAGCCAGGCGACCGTGCTCTCGTCTTGAATTGCGGCTACTGGGGAGACGCTTTTGCTGAATGTCTAAGGATTTACCGCATCGAAGTCGACGAACTGCAGGCGCCCACGGTCGGGAGCCAACCCCCTGTATCAGATATTGAGAGGATGCTACGGGCGACGAAATATAAAGCCATTACGATTACTCACACAGATACCTCGACCGGGGTCCTGAGCGATGTAAAATCCATCGCCGCTCTCGTGCACACCGTCTCCCCCGACACTTTAATCATCGTCGATGGCGTGTGCAGCATTGGTTGCGAAGATCTTCGCTTTGACGAATGGCAGCTAGACATTGTCCTGGGCGCATCACAGAAAGCACTGGGAGCACCGGCTGGGTTATCCATCGTGATGGCATCCTCCCTCGCCATGCAGATTTTCCAACAGCGCCAAACGCCTCCAGGAGCGTACTATGCATCGTGGAAACGTTGGGTGCCGGTAATGTGCAGCTACGAGTCTGAGCCCAGCCCGAAATACTTCGCTACGCCTCCCTGCCATTTGATCCGCGCCTTGCACGTATCATTGACGAAAATACTCTCGACGTCATGGGAGGAACGTCTCCAACAGCACGAGGTTGCGTCTTCAAAAGTGAAGGATGCTGTCGCCGACCTGGGATTGGAGCAAATATGCGTGGAGCCTAGCAGTCAGGCGCACAGCATGACGGCGTTTTGGCTGCCGTCGGGTCTGCGATCCGAAAACGTATTACCATTTCTCGCACGGAAGGGAGTGATTTTGGCGCGTGGTCCGCAGAAGGAAATTGCGGGCCAATACATCCGCTTCGCACATATGGGAATCTCGGCGACAGATTCGAGGCGTACGGATGTTGACAAGGGTATTTCGGCACTGAAAGAGGTGCTCACAGACCTACGCTTGGGTTGAGCAAATTTACACGCCGATCACAAATTTGGGAAACGCCCAGGCCAGAGGCTGCCTCATTACGGGCACTCGTCTGGTGTCTCATGAGGCGAGGGCGATGCAAAATATGTTGCCATTAATGGCAGCGATTGCTAGCTTATGCATGGCGTTCTCCAATATTATATCGTTGCAAGCTCAGAATCGCAGCTCAAAACGGCATTTTTGCATGATACAGTACTCATGGCTTGCGTTGCACGAACATGCTCGGAGAGAGCACTCTGCAACGTGGTGCTAGTGTAGGCAAAGGAGGAAAGAAAACCAGTGCCCTTTTGTCATTTCTGGATACATCAGGCGATGGTCGCATCTTCGATCGCGCGTTTCGGCACGCTCTCGTGTCGACGCAGATCCTCGCCAGCTGCAGAACGGCCTTTGGAAAGAGATCTCGACAGGAGATGTGCAGTAGTTCTTGAATGGTTAATGTTCGAGGCAAAGCAGCCTTGAGGAATCGCTTTCCACAGCCCAAGGCTTTTCAATACATGGTCACGAATGAGGATAAGGGCTGGATGAGACGTCGAGCTATTCTCTACGACACGCAGATGGTGGAGAGAAACAATGGGCAGGCCTATGCGCCGGTCGTCAACGGCCACATGAAAAAGACGATTTGCTTCGGGATGAATCGTGTTAGTCCAATGAGAGATGGTGCAGAAACTCGTCCCGTTGGCCCTTGGCGAAGGGATAAACGCCGATGTGCATTGCCGTCAAGATGGAGTCGAGGGCTTCAGGTCGGCCACATGTCTCAGCACCATATTATCCTTGCTGCGTAGAATCTCGCGAATGGCTGCTGTTCTGGCCGTAGCTGATGCTGCCTTGTGTGCAATTCCTTGGAGACCGTGATTTTGCTCGAAATCGTACAAAGCGAGGAATTCCACCTCGGACCGCATCTCAGTCGCTGATGCTGCCGGTAGCACTCGCTCGAAGCGGCGACTGCGGAGCCAGCCTGGCACTTTCGCCATCAGGCCCAGATGTTCTTCTTCGTACCAAATTTGGAGCTGCTCCGCGTCCTGCTCTGCAACTTTCACTGTGACGGCCAGCATCACTGAGGCGTGACATTTTGCATCGCCGCATTCCGTGAGTAGGTGGTAGATCTTGCAGCGGAAATCTTGAAGAGACTCCAAGATGGCGCTCTCAGGTAGTGCCAAGGGCTCCCCCAGCCACGCTTGTTCTACCTGTGCGCTCAATTGTTCGACGTCACTAACTTCGTATATACCATATAGCTCAGTGTCGACCTCCCAATTGGCTTGGCAGACCTTGACGTTAACCAGTGATGATACGTTGATCTTGATAGGTTCATGCTCAGAGTGATGCGCGTCGTCGAAAATGCGACAGTCTTGCAATGGCGAGATTGCGATAAATTTGGCCGCGCCCATGCTATCTTCATCCTATTTGGTGACTCACTCAATGCGATGGGCGCCACGAAGTGAACGATCCCGCCCAAGTGTGGTGGAAAGGCCGCTCGTCCCATAGCTACATTTAACCCCAACCCTAGTGACTCAAGGAAATCTGGCAGAACGCTATGACGTAAACGCATACTGTCATCCGGGCCTTGAGCATCCTTGATCTTGGCGTCTCTCGCTTCGCTGATCTGCCATGATCCGCTGTGAACATTCTGGGAATCCTTATATTGCCAGAGGTACGTACCTGATTACGTCAGCCATCGGTGGGCGCTTACGTCACCCACCGTCCAACGCCCACCGGTTAGTAACCCGATCCGGCGTAGTGCCTGAGGCATCAACTTTCTTTTACCCTTTTCTCTTCTGTATATAGAATTTCCCCTAGACAGGGAATAGGGAGAGAGACATAACTTTCAATACAATTTTAGCTGCGTCTGCATGCAGGCAGCCCGTTCCCGCATATCACCAGTGCGGCAATACCTTGCTCAAGTTCAATTCGTTCGGCGGTACGATCGGGATGAATGGATATTGCGGCAACTGCATCGGCTGCCAGCATTGTTCTGTAGCCGGAAGGCGTGGGTGGCAGTGAAAATAAAGTTTGTGGCCAGTGACATCCTCGCTTTCCTTGACTGGTCTCACTGGATCCGCCAAGCCCATGAAGGCCGGAATCAAGATCCATCAGATATCAACCATCTGCAGATCATGGCTTCTAGTTGTCGTGGTCATCCATGCCGCCGCGTGGTGCGCGTTCCTTGACGCGCACTCCTGTTCGAGCTATTCGACCCTTCACCAACCATGAGACCTGGCTGTATGACGTCAAACAGGATGATCAAGCTTGCGGATCACGGTTTTCTGATCTTTTCGATCCTATGCGACCGGTGCTCCTCGAGATGTTCTACCGTTCCGATCTCTCGGCTTGCGATTCATGGCAAAGTGCCGTCTTGCACTGACCAATCAGGTACAGTGTAATGGTCAGCACCACGCGGCCCTGTCCTGGAGGCGTATTCCCGACCTTAAAAAAGTTCCCAGACTTTTGCGGGAGTTCTTTCCAAATTTAGCTCCCGATCAGACGTCGGTTGATGAGCTCTGTAAATGACTCGACCGAGACACCCGCTGACTCTATCGATTACGTCGAAGCCCAAGATCTCTCAATGGGATCTCTGCTCATGGCCACAGTCATGTCGTCATTCGAGTCCGATGAAATGCTTCGTACTGCTTACATCTGTCGCGCTCACACGTGCAGAAGCGGGTAGCCTAGTATATCGTGTCGTCCAGAGAAGCCCGGTGACATTCAATAAGCTTCGAGATCTGCGCTTGTGGATCAAGGCGAGTACGCATTCGGCACTTGCGATAGCCTGAAGCTTCAACGGTCTTATTTTCTTTTGGCTTGGACGATTCATTGCGAGGTTTGTGAGATTGGTCGCTGCGTCATGACATGGTCCTTGAACATTGGCGGAACAGTCGGATGAGTCTGAGGATGGAGCGATGCATCTACGTCCCCGGCACAGGCCAGTGATTTAAATAATACTTCTCTGCCCGGAAACTTGCTCATTCTCACTCATCCCAAGAAGCTAAATCGAGAATGGTGTTTGCTATGGCTTTCACACCGGCGTGGCTCGTACTTCTGCTCGCACTTTCTACCTCCGCGAATCCCGTTCAGCAAAATTCTGGAAGAGATACTGTGCAGACATGTGCATCCTCTATGGATGGCGTGCTGCCACAGTATACCCCTCCCGGCTTCAAGTTCAGCGGCAACGTCCGGAAGTACTACATCGCAGCCGAGGAGGTAGAATGGGACTATGCCCCGACGGGATGGGACAACTGGATGGGAGTACGTTTACAATGCTTCTCGGAATGCATCTCGCATCGTGGAAACTCATGAAGATATAGGTCCCGATCGAGAATTCGCCACGAGCCAAGGCAGCTGGCGCTCTCACATACGGCACCAAGTGGTCGAAGGCGCTCTACCGTGGATATACCGATGATACATTCACAAACCACACCGAACAACCTCCTTATCAAGGAACTCAAGGTCCTACCATACGGGCTGAGGTCGGCGACATGATAGAAATTTTGTTCGTAAACAAGCTCGCACAAAACTACGCAACCATGCACTCAATGGGTCTCGCGTACACGAAGTATAGCGAGGGTGCTACTTATCCAAACAACACCATGCCCGGTCAGAATGTCGTTGTTCCACAGGCCGAGGCTGTGCCACCGGTCATGGCGGGAGTCTCACCGGGCGCTTGCGTCGTTTATAAATGGGTTGTTGTCCCAGAGAACGGACCTTCGAATGGCGAGCCTGCCAAGGTGAGACATTGAGCTGTGATGAATCTCGAATCTCCCTCTGACGTATTTTTGTAGGCACACAGCTATCATTCATATGTCTCCATGCAGGAAGACACAAACGCAGGCTTGATTGGACCTACTTTCATCTACGCCAAAGGACAAATGGACTCCACCATGGCCAACTACCGCGAGATTCCGCTGCTATACATGTTCTACGACGAGTCGGTCTCTTTTCTCTCCGGCGTCAATTCGGCAAAGCTGAACGGCGGCAACAACACCAACGCTTTGAACTCTACTGTCATCTACTCTGGCGGCAACTTCACATCATGGCACCCACAGAACGTCAACTTTGAGAGTGCACAGCAGTTCTCCTCGGCTCCTCGCTTCGCCACGATGAACGGCTACATCTTCTCCAATAGCCCCGTCTTCAACATGTGCTACGAAGACAAAGTCATCTGGTATGTCAACGCATACGGAAGCGCAAGTCACGTCTTCCACATGCACGGAAGCGGTTATACGTACCAGGGCGTCAGCGGCTTCGCCGAGTCGCTCAATGATGGTGTTGCCAAAACCTTCCACCAGACGGCGACTGCGTTGGGCAAATGGCAGGTCATTTGCCATGTCAACAACCATCACTCCGCCGGTATGGTCGCCGATTACCAGATCTGGCCCAAGGGTCAATGTCCATTGGCTCCGCTGGGGTCTTCCGGCAAGGGCAATGGCACTCACCCGACTTCTGCCAGCAAGAGTAGCCATGCCACCACTTCACGCGCTCCGCATTATACTGCCTCGACAGGCGCTCGGTCGAGATTGTGATGCTTGTGGAGGACTGCAGGCGTCTTCTTTTCGTTGAGTCCAGGATGAGTTGGTCATGACGACAATTGAACCACGGCAATCACACGAGAAGTGCAGAATGTCTTGCAATACATACAAATCTAATGATATATGCTTGAACGAACAATGCTTTCTTCACTCATCAATTAATACCTCCTTCTCCGCATATCATACGTTCCGGTACCACCAGAAACGCTCTTGGTGTTCAATCCCCGCAATCTCCGCCGAGCGCGCAACATGTAGCGATTAGAACCAGAGTCTGTATACTTTGTCAAATGCGACGTGAAGAACGTTTGCCTTCTAGTCCAGCATCACAGCAGAGCCGCCACACCTCTTCATGAAGGTGATCGAGGACTCCTAGATCGTTCTTGATGTCAACAATTATCAAAGTAGTCGAGTCAAAACCCCTCGGAGTGTGACTGCTCACACCTTCCCGGAATCTAGTGAGGTCTTTTCATGTGTCCGCTCTAGCATGCCGCCACCCATCGACATGGGGTTTCCCTGAGACTCATGGCCATGATATTCGCCCGTCATGACGCACTCATACTCACCCACTGAGGGTATGAAAGCGAAGCTTCGCACCAAAAAGTTCATGATGAAGCCTTGAAGTATTCTGCTCATCGGGACGTAGTCTGCAGGGCCATCCTTGAGCGTCGACATCGAATAGAAAATATATATCCTCTGGTTGAATCGAAGCAATCGGGAAAGTGGTCGATCAATGTACCTGAGAGGCTGTGTCTCTTCCCTGAATTCTCCCTGCGAGCAAAGCAGACGATATATTGATGCAGTAGGCATTTTGCATAATGAAGACCAGGCATAGGGCAATACGTCATGCTGGAGTCACAAACCGTGCAGTTAATTTGGAAAAAGGAAAAAGAACAACGTCGATGGGGTATCTAAATTCTACATGCCCTGGAACGGGGTATTGTACAGAGATAGGAAAAGAAACTGTGCGCCAAGTTATGTCAAGGAAGCGGCGCATCTAACACGTCCCGCATCAGAATATTGAACCTTGTCTCTTCCAACATTCGATCTTCCGGCTCCACATCAACTTTCAGATGAATCGCCAGCTGGTTCTCAAACATCGCGCCTCTATACTCCGCCATCTGTTCGTGGAGTTCCACGATCTCATCTTGGCTCAGAGGGCTGTGCATGAACGGGTGATGTACCGCAGCCCAGGTGGGCCAAAAGAACGCCGACGGCCCGAGCGCGCAGATTAGATTGGGATTCTCGACTTGGAGAAGCTTGGGCAGGCGGATGGAGTGGTAGTTCCATACCCATTTGTTGAAGGTCGAGTAGCTGTCGATCCACTTCCTGACGAATTTGCTCCGAGGCCGAGCGGCGATGACAGCGTTGCCGAGCCCGTAGCGGTTGCCCCCTTCGTGGCCCATGACGATGTCGCGGTCGTTGGAGAGGATGCCGGCAAATGATTTGAGTGGGAAAACATCGGTGTCGAGGTAAATGCCGCCTTCTTCGTATAGGATGTCAAGGCGGAGGAAGTCGGCCTGATGTTGGACGAGGAATTCTTCCAGAGGCCGATTGTGAGGGCCATGCATACTGTCGCGATCGTGTTCGACGAGTGTGACGTACTCGCTCAGAGCCTGCCACCAAATATTTGAGGTGTCGAAGCCGTCTCGATAGATGTGCATCTTGATCTGGTCCGGCTTCATCCTGATGATAGCGGCCTTGATGGCAAGGTAGGTGCGATATGGGATGCTCGCTGGCTTTTCTTTTGTCCCAAGGTGAATGTAATGTACCACATGTGGGATGGGTAACTTCAATGACTCGTTGTGATCCAGGCATGATTGTTCCTCCTCTGTGTCTCTGCCATCCCACCATGCGACTCGCTGCTCAACTCCGGGGGCATTTTGGTTCAGCCTTGTGAGGAATAGGCTTGGCTGATCGGGACGAGTGACATAAACGAAGTATGCTAGGAAAAGAAAGAGTGCGACGTAAAACGCATTGCAACAAGTGATTCGTGAACGCGCCATAACGAGTGTTGCAATAAAGGACTGGCGATGGCGGAGATGCAACAACGGCTGAGAGACGTACGGCAAATAAAGACTTGCAATTTGGAATCGAGTGATGGTTCGGAGGTATACATCTGCATATATTGGTCTGCTACCCTACCCTGCGTACGGCAGGCAAAATGAGCGTATCCTGACCACAGTGAAAGCATTCGATGCCAGCAGGCCCAATTTCACACCCGAATTTCCTTTTGAGGCAATTGCGATGCGCATGTTGCGGGTTCCGTTCAACCTTAAAGCTCAGCCACCTGCACCAACAACACTCCCGGTCTAATTCTGGCGTTGGACGCTAAAGCGTGGAAAGGCTCCGCTCTAGTACAAAAATCATGACCTTGCGATGATGTGTTATCCCGACTCACTCCCATTCTTCATCGGCGGGCAATGATCATCGACCGGTAAGGGTCTGAGAGACTGAAGCCTTATAGACCTGAAGGCTGCTAAGGACTCCCAATATTTGATGGCGTCCCTTCAATATGTTGGTAGCTTCCATGTACACCGGGCAACGCCCACAAGGTAAAAACCGCAGTCATCCTTTCGACTCGAGTCGAACGCGTGCCTCGCCGCGTCAATGATAGGCTGTATTAACTCTGCCTGACGGATAAAATTCCCATAACAGGTCGTCTTTTCGTCGTCCAGCAAGAGATTGAGACGGTAGAACGCGCTCGAATCCCGCGCTGAGCGCTGAGAATTCGCGAGCGGACGTCGTTGATAGGCTGTCGTGAGGCCACGCTAGCTAAGCCCCTCATGCAATGTCCTTCCGCTACTGGGGTTTGTGAGAGGACCAGTAAGCGCTTGTCGATCTCCCGGTCTACCGACCGCCCGAAAACCCTCGTCGCAATTTCACGCTCAGAGGACATCACGCACCAAGGACCACCAAGGACATCGCATTAGTGTCAGGTTTCATGCTGTGCTGTGCTAAGCCTCAATGGTGATCTCACCCGCGCGACCATACACAGAAATGCATATTAAGTTGACGTGTTTCAGTCTTTTGCCAATATGACGTGGATGCCTGACGAGGCTAGGAAAACCCAGATATCAGGTCTGGATGCATACCCAGGTACATACTGACACTTGTTGAGTAGACACAAGCGATAACGTGACGTGAAACTTCTTACCACGACCATTCTCAATAGAAGTGTTCTGCTTTGCGCCAGCATAGCAACCTCGACGTCTGGATAGGGAGTCACGGGAGTGAAGAAACTACCCCGGGGACGATGCAGCGAGAGATGACGCGTAGTCTTCTAGCGCTTTTTAGCATGAAGTGTGCAGCACTCGTCACCCAGATGAGTTTCGTTGGTGGCCGCACGCAGGTTGCAGGAATGACTGCAAACATGCAGTCGTCATGCACGACTGATGATGCCAAGCCTGGAAGACGGAAGAGCTTCGTCAGCTTTTCGCCCACTTCTCCTTGATCTGACCTGTTACTTAGACCGACGACACTTGCAGGAGATGATGATCACGAATATTGAACATGCCTGTTAGATCAGTGATCTTCCAATTAATTGAGTAAATCTCGTTCAATTGACATCAGCAGTATAATTGGATCAACTATTTCAATGTGCCTTCTTTGACCGAGTATTTCCTGCCCGAGCGACGGGACCGGAGTGTGGAAGATGCTTGAGAGCAAGGCATGTCAAGCAGACCGTATGTCTTGCATGGACATCGAAACTCGGGTTCGTCTTCAATGAGACTTAATCTCGAATGGACGTCGTTATGGACCGCCACCAGAGGTCATATATGTTCAGGCGGCACTACAGATATATTACAGAGTCGCTCAATCGGATCACTAGACAGGGAGAGTTAATTGAGGCGTCGCATTGAGCAAGTGTCGTGCTTCGACTGAAGCACTTTGCCTCGTAGCTCGATCGCCTCTTAGCGCGCAATTTTAAACTAGAGCGGCATTCCTTGAGATCTACCCGAAGCATGCAACATCATTCCAACGATACGCCTCTGACGCCGAGAAACAATTTTCGTTAAAATTTCTGTTTTCGATTGCTCCTTTATGAAGCTCAATAATTTATGGACAGCCAAGTCTCGATCTCGCATTTATATAGGACGGATCAATGCCTTTGAATCTGCTTGCAGCTTACACACACCCATTCAAAGTACATGTACTTCGCGTCGCGCCAGTTAGTCACATGGTCATCAATGAGAGCTGTTGAGCGACGAGCACTTGGACTAGTATAGCCTACTCTATCTATCGAGCTGAAGGACAATCATTCACAATAGCTCGAACACCTCAATGACACGATGACTCAGCAGCTACTGCCTTGAAAGCTGCCGAAATTGGATATCGAGATCCTGCGATCAATTGATGAGCGACTTCTCGTCACATTTTGTCCTCAGATTCTGCTATTGTCTCGATAATGTCACCGAATCCTCTTTGCGTGCACATCAATGCTGTCAAGCCACGGTATTGCAGGCTGATAAGAACTTGCTCCGTCCAGTGACACTATCATTAGAGATTTCGCTAGAACACGCTGTGGTCGGGTGGCTCGGATGTGGTCAACTGATCCATTTAATCATAGAATTTACGAGCAGAATTCGATGTCTTTGGAGGTCCGACAGGTAAGTAGCTCCGCAGGGATGTCATGGTGTTCGAAAAGTGACTGAATTGCAACTAGCCTGATGGATTTGACAGTCAAGAAACAAGATTATGCTCCAAACGAGCATAGCTTGTGTTATTCTTCGCTGATCCTGTACATTCACCGTTTTTTTATCGGCGTATAACTACGGCCAAGCTCAAAGATCTTCGAAATTGAGCTGCTCGGCCAAATCATGTGTGACCGCCACGCCCCTCACGACGCTTCCCTGTTAAACCTCGACCTGCCAATCTTTACCGCAAATTTAGTATCGCACCACGCTCAAAATCCGCTTTGCGCTATTTTCGGCATTCATTCGAGCTGGCTCGGCAGGCAATCGCACTCTTTTCTGTTCTTTCGAACGTCGCGATCTCAATCGGCGCATGGATGTTGCACGTCGTGTGTGTCCCCATCGGCCGTCTTGTCGGTTGGAATAAGGAATTACATCAGCTTCAAGCTAGCATTGCTTATACCAACGTTGCGCTTTGGCTACAGGTAAATTCTCGAGCTTGCGAAGGTCGTGTACTATGTGACGTCCTGTATGTCGTCCGTGGAAATAGGGAGACGTAACAGAGTTGGGGTGTCCGTCAGAGGTCTCTGCTTTGCAGACTGGAAACGCAGGGAAATCAAATGAGAAGGAATGATCCCTCAGAGACTCTGGGCTTGTTCCTCTGCAGGTTGCATATGAGACTCTGGAAACTAGTGGCAATAATCATGGTCGCGGAAATTTATGGAATGGAATGCTGAGGATCGATTATCACAGACGCGTCTCAGCGATTAAGGGCTGTCAGAGATGTGCCTCTAGAGGGCGATGTGGGAGACATCTAGGAGGCTGGTTACTTGGTCTACGCACGGTGCAGAGAAGAAGCTCTCGCGCGATGAAAAATGCCCCGATCTACTACCGAACCAAACTTCTATCCAGGCTAAAATGATGCTTCCACGTCAAATGTTGAGTAGTCATATCTGTAAATTCACGGTGAGTGATACACACAGCTACGGGCAGCCGAGAGCAAAGAAAAACTATTCAGATTCTGAAGTTTTCCCCATATTGCTTACTGTGAAGATGCTGCTCTTCGTCAATCGTAGTTGGGATAATGGATATACAATCTGGATTGGCTTGACGCCAAGCGAGCTACATCTCGAAACATTGTGAAGGTCAGAGCCGGAGAGTTCGAGTCCAGCAGCATCCCGGCCTTCCTCGACTTGGACAAGAGAACTCATATCTGAGCTTGCTATCACAGACGATGGGCCGAGATATCGCCGCCGCCAGCGTGTATGCAATCCCATCGCACTGATAGGGCGACGAACAGGAATGGGCGAAGTGGATGAAGATTTGAAGTGCTGCTGGTCGAAATTACCTTTTGCTCGCATCGCTCCTCTCTCTGTGAACATCGGGCGGAAATCGGGAGGATTGTTCCGTATTAGCGTCGACAGGTCAGAGGTGCATCCCCGCTTGAAGGTTGTACGCAGCGGGCTAGGTTTGATTGACAGATTCAGACGGAGCTGACACGACCGGAACACGCACTTTGTGTTCAGCCACAACCAGGCATACCCTGACCTTCGTGAAGGACACGGGGTCGCGTGATACAGCATTACGAGAAATCATGGTTTTGTCTAAGATCAACATTCGTCTCACAAGCCGGGAGCTATCATAGCTTCACGTTGGGGCTACAACGGGGAAATCTTCTGTGTTGCAAACCGTGTAGTAGACGGATTAGTTGTGTGAGGATAAATGTTTCACCGTTCCGCTAAATACTTGATCTCAATCGGGAATTTCCGGTAGCGGATTTATGTGGAGAATGATATGAAAATTGTCCCATCGAACACTCTGAGAATATTTTGAGCGGAATTCGAAGAAATGGTCCTATTGCAGGAAGATGTTCAGAATATTGGATGGTGCGTTTCACCTGTGAGAAACCGATCGTATATCTCGTTCAATATTCCGCGACATTTCGCTAGAGGACACAACGTCCAATAATGCTACCTGGCACGACTTACCGGTAAATGCTCACGGGTTTTGTCTCATCCGTTATTCTCGGCCGTTTTCGAAGTCTTGGACTGGACCGGAAATAGAATCGAGCAGCCGTGCACGTGAAACGCTAGTAAACTCTGCTTTTAGGGGCAAACTCATATTGCGGAGTTCGGTAGTGTGCACCCTGACACTCCCGAGCCACCTTGCTGTGCACCCCGATCGACCCTCGAAAGAAGTGACCGGAATTCATCTTCAGCCTGGAGCCGTTTAAACAAAGAAGCCGATTTTGACCCAGGGATCACATGAAACAGCGCAAAACTCCGTCAAGGAGCCAAGAGAATTCTGCGCCATTCTCGACATCCTAGCATCCTCCGTCCTCACGCATTTGCACATCTCCATACCTTCGAATCATGCGCTGGTCCACCATCTACCAGATCTTGGTTGCTGCCGCGACCCTGAGCCAGGCTCTTATCATCCCGAGCGACATCTCCGCCGATGGCGTCTACAAAGTCATCACCAAGACTGATGGCACTGAAGTGCACACAAAGGTGGCCAGCGTCTCCGCCAGGTCCGAGATCTCCTCTATCCGCTCCCTGCACCGCCGCGCTTCATCAGATTACACCTGGTGCGGCTGCGGCACCGTGCTAGATCCTGCACGCTGCGATGATGCGAACGCGGATCTACAGAGGCAGCTGGTCCAATACGGAGCGATTGGGCCCGGTCTATCGTACTACTCCATCCGAGGAAACGTGGTCGCCTTCGCGTGTAGTCGAGACAGTGTCCCCATACGCTGGGGCGGCCGACAGATCGAAACGAACAATTGGCACATCACGCAATCCTGTGGCCCTTACACTGCCGGAACACTACAAATCGGCAACAGCTATTTTGGCTACATGCGATATGCAAACGGCGTCGATTTCTGCCGCGACAGCGACAGATATACTCGCCACACTTGCTAGGACGACTCTTTTATCTTAATCGACACTCATGGGAACCTCGAAAAACGGCGCAATCCTCGAGCTCGCACATGGCAGATCCGTAGGCCCGGGAATCTACTCGGAACCCAGGACTACGTGTACGTGTAATGCGATACTTTGGCGACTCATCGACCGAAAACCAATCAAGCTTCACCTCTAGACCGTTTCGCGCCCGTCTGCATATCTTTGCACAGGCGGCGTCATCTATGGATCGGAGAGCAACACACAACAGCTCAATCCGATACAGCCTCCATGCGAACGTGAGAATGGAACACCAGACTTCGCCATTGGGAGTAATCCATTGGTCTCATGACACACTCGCACCTTTTCCCATCCATATAATCTCACCTACAGGCACGATCGTGTATTTCTTATCTTTAGCACTTTTAATGGATTTCCCTTTCTTGTATAGATCCAGTTCACCAATGTGTGCAGATGTATGTTTTCCTGCGGGCTGTCGGCATCTAAGGAAGACAGGGTCTCGAAATTGTGGATAATCTTAGTCAACAATTCAATCTCCGAACGATGGAGGCTTCGATGCTCGAGGGGGCGCGTTGATTGCGTTGCCATAATTTTGATGATGATCATGAAGGCTGCGGCCCTGATAGGACGCACCCTGGACTGGAGAGGTTGACTGGTCGAAAGTCAGGGAGACTCGCGCTTGAGCAGAGGGAGAAACTTAGTAATGATGTGCGTGGGCAGCGATTGTTCTATCGCGCAGCCACGTACATGCTGAAATAAAAGCGGATATTGATGTTCAGACTTGTACGTTGGGCACGAGAGCTGGCCAGAAACTTCACGAGAGGGGCGCGAAGTGTGAAGGACGAGTTCAAATTGGTCCTCGATGATTTCGTCGCTTCGATTGCAAATCATTCGTGAAAGGGGAGCATAGGCTCAGAACACAGGACTGTCCGTCATCGCTCTGATTATGTGCTCTCATCAGAGGAGGAACAAGTCTTGAGTATCGCAGTAGCCCTTGCGACGCAGCAATTTGCCTCTGGCGAGAGCATCGTAGGTGTCACCCATGGCGAATTGCTCAAGCTCCTGTTCCAGAAGGCGCAGAGACTGCTTTTCCACGGGGGGTCCCTCGTGAGGCATCGAACTCACGAACACGAAAAACGCAGCCATTTGCCGAAGTGGCGTGAATAGCTCCATGAGTTGCCTTAGCGCGTTTGCGCAATTGCTGATGCGATCTTCGTCTGGCGCGAAGTCGACAGGTGAAAGCCCCGGTCGGTATGTCATATCAATGTGTACTGCAAGGGTAAGGCGGCTCGCGTTCTGCGCGAGAAGATGGACGGCTTTGATCAATCCGCTCAATAGGCTTGTATCGATGTCGACGAATGAAGAATAGTCGAAAAGAAGGTCGAGTTCTCTCAGACAGCAGAGGAATTTGGTGGGAATTGCTTTTGTTAGTAAAGCTCTTGTGTCCACAGACAATGTCATCTCGTCCAGAGTGTCGTTCAACTCATGATCTTGGGGAGTTATGATGAACCGATTCGAGCTGTAGAAGATCATACGTGCATCTTCCGTCATTATTCGACAGACAAGAAATAAAGCCCGCGGGGCGCGAAAACATCCGCAAGGTGGATGCATCGCATTGCCCGCTTGAGAGCAAAATTCTTGATCGAAGCAGCGCCCTGCGGGCAATCGAGGAGCGTCCAGATGATGGTACAAAGAAAACTCATTTCGCTCCCACAGCACCTCCCTTGTTGGGGCTACGAGGTCCGTGAAGCGAAGAACATGCTGACGAAGTTCGATTGGTAAGTCAAGGAAACGAAAATGACCCTTGTGTGAAGCTTGTCTGTGGGCTACTTTACGAACCGAGGACTGAATCACTTCCATGATCTCTGGGCTGAAAGTGTCGCTCAACTGGACCGCGAGTTTGGAAACATTGAGGTCCTCCAATGGACCTAGAATCGCTGCCGCGTAGCGTGCAGTGGTGAAATAGCAGTCGACGTAGAGAACGAGTGATGGAATGGCAGACAAGCGACAGCAGAATTGCTTCCATGTGCGAGGAGGGAAAGGGACCTCACGAGACTCTGGGAGAGGACTATCTTCGCTGGTAGAATCCTTGTTCAGGTCGAGAAAGAGACGTTTGAAAGATGGAATCAAGCTTGGTATTGGACTTTCCTCGACTGCGAGATATGAAATGTCCATCCAATCGAGTGCAATGAGATGCGTCGAGCAGAACCAAGGGAGTTGATCGGCCGCGACGACGCGACTTACGAGGCGTAAACGGCACCATGTCTCCCATAACTCTTCAGGGAGCGAGTCGCACAGCGTGTGCTTTTCGGTCGTGACATCAATACAATTATCCGTACTATACAGCGCTTCCGGTCGGACATCGTAAATGAAGCTATAGATTCGCCTCCTGATTGCAGGGGGAAGATCAGTAAAAGTAAGCGGGCGCGCTGATCCATGTTGGCGATTTGATGACCGGAAGTGATGGCAAATCCTCGTCGTCAACAAATGTGTGCTTGCTGAGCGAGACATCTTCGAAAATAGAACATATCAAGATGAGCAGCGCCTGCGATATGAGGTCAGCCGCAAGAAATTTGAAGTGAGTAGGAAGCATTCACTGCGAACTGACACCTACCTAGGTACTTGTGATGTGAGTCGCTCGAAGTTCCCGCTACACAGTCTTTGGCGCTAAAAGTGAGCGCTGCTGGCGCGCAACAGCGACTGCCGATGCCTTCTGTCATGATGGCTGGGGACGGGATGACCCTATTAGTACGGCACAAACACGGGAGTCTCCATAGACGATGTCGCAGTCCAAGGCAAGCAGACGAAATGCGAGAAAGCCCTGGAGCTGATCCACACTCTGCTACACAGGTTTCTCCTGAGCGTGCATACCTCTCACGCCCGCCACAGGTCGGCTATCGAGTTATTCCGGGGCCAATGGTTTGATGCAATACACTCTTCGCGCACGACGTCAGAGTAAGATTGCTGGTGGTTTTGGGTGCCCCCAGTCTATCGATGTCGTTTGTAGCTCATTGAAGTCCGCACATACAGACCAACAAGTTCACTGCATGCACATTCGAGTGAAGCCGTGGTGTACGTGAGTTGATGAGTCTCTTCATGTTAGGCATAAGCGGAAAACCTCTAGTACCATATTGGTATCTCCGCTATCTCCGCGGAACAAATGGCTCGTTGCAGAGCTCGCTCTTCCGCCGACATCCCAAGTTGTACATGACCAAGTTCAAAACTCCGTTATATTCGCAAACATTCAAGGAGTTTCGCATGGTCCAAAACGTGGCACCTTACAACATATCAACGTATCTAAACATCATTATTTTCATCACGTCAACAGTTGCGTGGAAATAGCACGCCGCCATGCAGCCACTTATGGCGGCTCCAGGGCGGCCTGATGAGCAAGGATGTATGTATACATTGCATCGATTGGTCCAGCTCGCCGCGCCACAAAAGCTGCATACACTGGTCTGGCTTCGGGTCATATCATCAGCAGCGTTGGGGAGCGCTGCTATTCAGTATACACACTGATACACAATTCATTCCTCGACTTGGATATTGGAAATTAGAACGAGCTTTGTGGATAACGAAGACGGTCGTGACCGATCTTCAAACTCTGCTCTCTCCAGCCGGATCGCACGTTCGTCACGATGCAGGCCAGCGGTCTCGGGCCCGATGACTACCGCGTAGGTATCATCTGCGCGCTTGCGACGGAGAAGATGGCTGTTGAGGGTATGCTGGATGAGGAGGACCCAGGGTTACCGCGCCAACCTGGAGACGATAACGACTACACCCTTGGTCGAATTGGCAAACATCGAGTGATCGTCGCCTGCTTGCCGGGCGGCATGACCGGGAACAACAGCGCCGCGGTTGTCGCGACGAATATGATGCGCAGCTTCCCTATCCGGATCGGTCTAATGGTCGGAATCGCTGGTGGCGTATGGAGCAAAGAGAAGGATATACGTCTCGGCGACGTGATTGTCAGTCAGCCAGATGACATGCACGGCGGCGTGGTGCAGTGGGACTTTGGCAAGATGGAGGCAGATGGTTTTAAGCGAACAGGTACCCTGAACAAGCCGCCGCGAGAGTTATTGAATGCAGTACAAGGCCTACGATCATCGCACGGGCGAAAGGGAGATACCCTGCACGTGCATTTGGAAAAGATGTTGGAAGACAACCCGAAAATGAGGGACGAGGGAAACTTCGTATATCAGGGCCACGAGAATGATGTGCTGTACGAGGCGACTTATAGACACGAGAACGAGAACGTCAAGACGTGTGCTCAATGCGCGCAGTCGCGGATCGTAAAACGAGCAGAGCGCGTAGACGACCGGCCGAGAATCCACTACGGCAATATTGCTTCAGGAAATGAGGTCGTTAAGGACGGACCGTCGCGCGACCGTATTGCCGAAAAGGAAGGAGTTATCGGCTTCGAGATGGAAGCAGCAGGATTGATGGATTCATTCCCGTGTCTAGTTATTCGTGGGATATGTGACTATGCGGACTCGCACAAGAACAAGCGATGGCAGCCCTATGCAGCTGCGACGGCGGCGGCGTATGCTAAAGAATTGCTGTTGCGAATCGCGCCAGACGATGTAATCCAGATGCAGACCGCAAGCAAAGTTACGGGTAGGAATATATGAGCATGTACTCATCGCACAGGAGCTGATACTGCTGTAGAGAAAGCTTCGCAACCGATAGTCTACATCCCCTTCCCGAAAAATAGTCAATTTGTCGGCCGAAAAGACGAGCTTGCAACGTTGAAGAGACGGCTCTTCACCGCTCGTGATTCTCAGACATTGGCTGTAGTTGGCCTGGGAGGTATGGGTAAGACTCAGCTTGTTCTGAATTTTGTGTATGCGATTCAAGAGGAACAATCCGATATATCCATCTTCTGGATCCCCGCGCTGAGTGCCGAGACCTTTTCTCAGGCAATGAAAGAGATCGCCGGTCTGCTTCGGATACATGTAGCAGAGGGCAGCGATCAGGACGTACGACCGCTAGTAAAGCAGCGGCTTTCCGCACCGAACATGGGCAAATGGTTGCTGGTTGTCGACAATGCGGATGACTTTGACGTCGTCAATGGCTTGCTTCAATTCCTGCCAATGAGTAATGAGGGAATAACTGTGTTCACGACCCGGACAGCTAAGGTAGCACAGCAAGTCGCGCGAAGCAATGTAATTACGCTACAGAAACCCGCTCAAGGCGAGGCAAAAGAGCTGTTAAGAAAGGCGCTTGTGAGAGAACAAGATCTGGGTGATGTAGAAAGCACAAATACTCTCCTGGCCGAGCTCGATTGCCTACCCCTCGCGATTACTCAAGCAGCAGGATACCTCAACATTAACAGCATACCAATCTCGGAATACGTTCGCCTCCTCCAGAGCGCCGACCAGGAGAACTTAGTCTACCTGATGAAGACGGAAATCCGCGACAACACACGTTACGAGCAGGCAGCGAGTGCGGTGGCAACTACCTGGATCGTATCCTTTCGACAAATAGTGGCAACAGACAGTGTTGCGGCAGATCTCTTACAATTCATGTCATGCATCGAGTGGAAAGCCATCCCGTATTCACTCCTGCCTACGGTCGAACCGGAAGCGCGGACCAGAAACGCTATCGGTACGCTGCATTCATATTCTTTCCTCAGCACTCGTGCCGATGGCATAACGTACGACATGCACCGGCTCGTGCATCTGGCGAGTCGGATCTGGGCCCGGGATAGTGGTCGTACGGCGGAAATTCAAGCAGAGGCGATCGCGCACGTCTCCGTGAGATTTCCGAACGGCGAATGGGAAGATCGGGAGACCTGGAGGGAATACATGCCGCATGCTGAGCGAATGCGCAGCCAATGGTCAAGCGTTGACATAGATCGTGACTCGGATACAGAAACCAGAGCTAAAAGCACAATATGTACTAGAGTAGGATGCTGTCTCTACAAGGATGGCCGCGTCAAACACGCGGTTCAATGGATGCAAATCTCATGTACTATGACAAGCAGGCTTGCGCAGGACGATCCGTACCGACTCTATACGGAACACGAGCTTGCAAGGGCATATCAAGCAAACGGGCAGGTTACCGAGGCCGTCCAGCTACTCGAGAGCGTCGTTAAGATTCGATCGCGTA